CGCCATTGAGTCCCAAATTTCTCAAGAAATACGTCAAAGTCGTACCCTACAGGATGGGGCTACGCCGCGTCGAAGGCGATGTGGACGCTGTCGTGAGGTAGGACATCGTATTGAAACATGTCCTCTAGGTCGGCAAGATACTGTATAATAGACTGGATATTATAAATAATTGATTTTATTTGGCGTTGTAGAGAAATCTGTACTTGAAGTGGTTTGGTATAGGTTGAGGTGGCGGCTCGCTTGTAATGGCGGCTCGCTTGTGGAATACCATACTCTAATTACGTTAATTAAGTGATTGATTGATCTGTCCCAGTTAACTATGTTATGTATCCGCGTCTCCCCCCACATCTCCGCGCTCCCCCCGCCTCCACTTCTCCGCACCTTCCCCGTCGCTCGCATTTGCAGAACCCGATATGATGGTACTCGCCTCCACATTTCGCTTCAACTTCCCCGGATTCTTCGCCGGTGCTTCGTGGAGACGAGGACACTCCGGGGTGACACCACATCATGCCTACATCAGCCGATCAGAGGGGTGTGGGTACTCCAGCGCAGGCACTGTTCCAGTGTGCTGAATGCAAACGGACATACACGAGGCTCGATCACCTCTCTCGCCATGTCCGCTCGCGTCAGTAAAATCGGGATTTATTGCTACTGCTGCTCGCGCTAACCCATGTCGTCTGCAGATACGAAGGAGAAACCATTCGTCTGTGACACGTGCCTTAAGCCATTCGCAAGGGCCGATCTAATGAAGCGGCATGCTGCTGGTCATAGCGAAGCTGCCCTTGCCGGCAGGCGCCCTAAAAGGCTTCGTACGAGCCGCATCTCCGAAGCGTGTGAGGAGTGCGCAGAGCTGCACCTGAAGTGCGAAGAGGTGAAGCCGTGCAAGCGTTGCCAAAAGAAGGGCGTCAACTGTCGATTCGCATCGTCCTGTACCGTGTCTCGCAACCCTGGCACGGTGAACGGGGTCAGAGATACTGGGCAGCGGCCTACGCAAACGCAAGTCTTACCCAATATCCCCAGCGATGGATCTGAACCGTCCGGACCACAGCAACTGGCGCCGGTCTACGATTACGACCCACCCCGAAGCGTGACTGAGAATGAAACGGATCGAGACGGCCAACACGTCCTTCCGGTAGGAGAGGATGGCATTCTTGGTCTTCAGGTGAACGTGCTTGGGGTGCAGATTGATGGCGGATGGGCGCCAGCGACCGCACCCGCGGCGGATGAAGGGGAGTCGATCAGAATGTCAAATGAACTCCTAAATATGCTAGAAGCCACTAACGAGCCCTCCTATCGACCTATGAATGGCGTAGCCGTCCCAGGAACGTGGACGCCAAGAGGAGTGACGAATTTTGGGCTCGACACTGATCTTGAGTTCAATGAAGCGGACTTTAGCTTTCTGGAGACATACAATCAATCCGCGCCGTTTGAACCGTTTGACTGCCGGTCCGCAAGTGACAGAGGGCTACTGCCCGATGCCTGCGAAGCCAGAGCGGTTCCGTCATATCGAGGAGTCGCTCTCGGTGCAGAGGCGTTCCGAAAGTCCGTCTGGAGATTCACGCCTGTATCGAAGGACTGTGCTACATCCGAACAAGAAAATATCTCGCTCCCTCTCCGGGATGCGTACGACTCTCCCGAATCGCATATCGGAGCAGACCGTAGAGCGACAGCCGAGAGACTCTCTCAGGCATCCCGAGACGCCATCCTCGCCATGGTGTTGCAGGCGTCGAAGCCGGAAAGCCGTCGCCGCCTGACAATGTCCTTCCCGTCGACTGAGTTGCTCGATACGTTACTGCAGTACTACTTAACGTGTCCGTTTTCAACTGCGTCGAGCTGGTTGCACTTTCCCAGTTTTGACCCCAACAAGGTCGAATGTCCTGAGTTGCTTACCGGCATGATCGCTACCGGCGCGGCTCTCGCCCCGGACTCTGCTCTGAATAAACTAGGGTTTGCCCTTCAGGAGGTATTACGGACCACACTTTCAGTTGTAGTGAGCAACCTGATACCTAACAATGGTCCACGATGATGAACTTACGGTGCGTTAGTTCGAGGAGGACAACACTCGCGTCAGAAACCTCCAGCTTTGGCAGACGTTTTTGCTGGTATTGCAAGTCGGTCTATGGAGTGGTAACAGCCGTAAAATCGAGATAGCTGAAAGCTTCCTGCAGCCGCTGGTCACGGTAAGTGTTCTCCATGACGAGGGAAGCTCAAGATTAGCATCCCGCATACTCACACCCATAGATGGTCCGTCGGAGTGGAAGCTTCAGGAGGTCTAGTTACGCGCCCATAGTAGTTCAGCCCGACGACGATGAGAAAATTCTTGCCCAACGTTGGAAGGATTGGGTTCGACAGGAATCGTACAAAAGGTAATTCTCTCCCCACGGTGAAGACTTGCCGGCTTTCCTCGAATTTATAGATGTAAAAAATCTAACGGATTCAGATTTGTGTATCATCTTTTTCAGCACGATACCCAGGTGTCCATGTGTCTGATGGTTAAGTGAGTGGCCGCTAATGACACCATCATCCTCCAAATGAAATCCTGACCAGTTCTTCAGCCCACTTATCTCGTACGCAGAGATGCATCTGCCTCTGCCAGAGTCTCGAGAGCTCTGGCTTGCCGAGTCAGCTGAAGCCTGGAAATATGCCCTAATGCGTGTGACGCGCCATATATACTCCGACAGACACATATCCCTTGTCGAGGGCATCAAACAAATTGACTGTTTCTCAATACTAGGCCCTGTTATCGACCGACATGAGTCCCGAAAAGCGCTCCTATACGGCTTGTGGCGACTGGTATGGGAGTATCGTCAATTCAGTTCGCTGATCAAGGTCAACACCAACCACTACGGCCTGATCATGTCCTCCCGATTCCAAGAGCTTCATCAGTCGCTGCAGAACTTTCGCATCTGTTGCGATGAACCACTGGCGCCCACTGTGGACTCCAAATGGATCACATTGACCCTTGAACTAGTTTTCATGCATCTGCACATGTCCATGGAAGATGTCCAGGTGTTCGCCGGTTTGGAAGGTGAGGCAGACGCGAAACGCATCTACCCTTCCCTATGCTCGTGGTTTAACACTTCCGCTGCGCGCCAAGCGATCTGGCACGCGGGCCAAGTTGTCCGTGTAGCCAAGTTACAGGCATCCAGGCACCTGCGGGGGTTCTACTCGGTTGCTTTATATCACTCGACCCTTGCATTCTGGGCATACGGCGTTATATTGCAGTCTCGAGATCGCGTGGAACCCTTGTCAACCGAGCCCGACAGTCAGCCTACGCACTCAGATCCGGTTGTCTGGCTCGACGGACCGGAAAATGTTGATGTTAAACGATTCGTTTCACTCAACCGAGGGTCACCGGCTCTACAAGATCCCCAAGCTCACGGCGGCGTGGCACTTATTTCCATCCCGCCTGCAGTAATGGACATTGTTATCAAGACTTTGCAAGACAATCATGATCACGACGGGACCAGTTCGAACGGCTCGAGACCACCACTAATTGAGAATTTGGTGCAACTGTTGCGTGGATTGCAATCGGGATCAAGGGCTGCGGCAAGTTAATGTGAGCATTGCTCTGGCTCCCTACCTCTCAAACATTTCACGAGAGGATGGTCGGTTTTAGACATACTCAGTGGGCGGTTACATTACTGCAAACGCTTTCAAACTTTGGCACATCAATGGAAGGAGGAACTTGGGAAACAAGAGTGTGCGGGAACCCCCCTGCTTTATCAAAACTTGACTGAATACCATTGAGGCTGCCGAATGTTGAAAGCTATGCCAAAGCGCACTGTTAAATCGAACGGTGGCACCTATCACATTATGGCCAGGGTCTTGCCGGACACAACTGGCCAATACACTCTCCGAATCCAACTCCTGCTACGCCTTTGGTAGACGAGGCAGCGCCAGTCAGTCTCACAACATCGCCATCCTCCAAGTATACTCTGGTACTACCATCGGTCAGGGTCAGCGGTTGCTTTCCGCCCCTGGTCGCCTCCATCAGACAGCCGCGCTGCGAGTCTGCCGCTCCTGACACGGTGCCGCACGCAACGACATCGCCAGTTCTCAGTCCGCTGCCGCCGACCGCTTGATGGGCAAGAATGTGGCGGAAGGTCCAGTACAGCGTCTGCAGTGCTGTCGTGCAGACGGTAGTGGAAGAAGCATGATCCGACCCATGCAAGATCTCCACAGTCAGGTCAACGGTGTACGTACAACTGTGTGGGTCATCCAAGTAGCTCGGCACAGTTCTTTGGGGAGAATCGAGGGCCATTTTGAACGGCTCCAGAGCCTCCAAAGTGATAATCCATGGCGAAATTGATGTACCGAAGCTCTTTCCGTTGTTTGGACCCAATCCGGTCATCTCGTGTGCTTGGATATCTCGGGCTGAGACCGATATCCGCCAAATGGGCTCACATTAGTATATTCTGTTACGACATGCGCGATGTTTCCACACGGGAAGAAGGCCTTGACAGCCTGTGAAATATGCACTTACCGCTCCAGTCATTCAACAGAACTAGTCCAAAGATATGCTTGTCTGCATCGGCCGCGTGGAGCCGTTCCCCCCTCGATAGCCGCCTCCCAATCACTGCCGCTACCTCCAACTCATAGTCGACTTTCTGCGATGGATTGAACATAAGTCGCGCCGCATTTCCACCCCCCGCCGCAGCTCCCGTATTCTGGTCTCTCGGGGCATACTGTCCGTACGGCCGCTCAATCGGCGTTCCGGACACGACGATGCTTCCCGCTCGGCCACCGTAGCCCACGGGGAAATTGTAAAAGGACGGTGGTGTTGCCCGTCGGCCAGAAATGATTTCCGACATATTCAACATGTGGTTCTCCGACGCCGAATAGTCGGTAAAGTCGCCAACGGCCACTGGCAAGTGAAGCTGCACTTCTGAGATGGGGGCGGCGCTTTCCTTCGGGAGCCGCGCCAGAAGTTCTTCCGTCGATGCGGCCATGGATATGATAGATTGGAGAGCAGCGCGGACCGAGCGAGAAATAGATTTTGGCAATGCAGCGAAGTCATTGAGGGCTGGCTGGGGCGCGGTTAGAACTATACACTACATTGACTAGACAGAAAGCGATGCACCCACCTTTGAAAAGACTTCCTCAAGGTTACCCGCTATATTGTCGAACATGCCGGATCTGGCCAGAGGGGCGAGGAAGATAACTGTATCATTGATTCGTGTCGCGCATGTTGGCTGCCGATGTGTGGGAGACGAGGCCACACCAAATGGTATGTTGTTCGGCCCAAAGTGCTCCGGGAAGGTCTCTGAAAGTCCGAGCATGATTGCTTGCGTACTTCAATCGTCCCTTTCCATGGACAATTCTTGGTCATGACGGTGCTGAAGATGCTGGTCACTTGTTTATTAAATAGGCAGCACCTCCGCTGGCGGACAGCCAGTCTGTGCATGGCTGAAATGAGTTGGTCACCCATTTTCCCCGCATATCCGGACAAAGACCTCTGCTCGGGAAAGGTAGAACATAGTGGTTTCGGTTTGGTGCCTAATATCGCGAGACTCATTCTGAATAGGTGCTGACATGGGATCGCAGATCTGAGTATTGATCAACTTCTCTCCTTATAAAGATATGTTCACGCCAAGGTGGCATGGCTGATGGAGAAAGATTTGCATCAGTTGGGCTTGTTTTTAGGAAATTCTATAACTTTAAATGCCAATAGTACGAAATATATATCCATCCTATACACTTCAGCGAGAGGATCTAACTACCATTCGCCGCCAATCTTGTACCTAAAAAGCGAATCATTCCACTTCCCCCCCGTTGCTCTCCAGAGATGTGCCAAGTTCTGCTCATGGAAGACAGTCAGCCAAATCACGCGATCAATGACTTCCTTGGAGATAGACTTACCGAATTCAGCCAAACACCGTGCAGCATGACGTTGACGAAGGCCTGTTCCCCTACGTTCTGGTACACAGTTCGCTGCGATCGGTGCTCGAGCGACCGATTAAGCGGGCGGTAAGGCGGAACGCGGCGGTAATCGCTTCGCCACGTTGGAGTGTGGGCCTCAAACACGACAGGAGGGGTCAACGACGGAGCAGATTGTGGAGTGGTGAGGGGGGCGCGGGACCTATGGACCTCGTGGTCGCGGAGCAGGGTCATGAGGGTGGCAGCAGCCGGCTCGATGGCGGTGGTGCTAGACATGGTGAGGAAACGGTACAGTTACGAGCGTAGGATTTGCTGGGACAGTGGATGCGATTTCATAAGGGGTGCATGCCGGATCCAGGTATTTCACAGTGGGCAACTCGTCGGGATGTGGGGAGCGCTCGGGACCTGGGGCTTGCAAGTACAAGGGCTCTGGATGGCTCAGCTTCTACTACCGTACCAGGAACCGGTGTTGCATACAATCCTCGAATTCTCCCCATATAGTCAAGATTCAATGTTCAACAATGACTCTCATGCAGTCGATCGTTCATATGACAGCGAGGCACCAACAAGTTGCCAATTCCAGAAGGCGTGTATAATTACGGACGGACAGGGGATCGAAACGTTCAGAACAACCAAGTCCAGTCCTCTCTTTGATGGAAGGGCCCAAGCCAACGTTTGGGACTCCAACCCATCATCACGAACGAGTAACAGGTAGAAACAAAAGCAACGAAAGAAACGAAAGTGTAGGCCGGGTGGGTTGAACGGACACAATGCGATATCACGGAAATCTGATCCCCAAAGTGGCTAGACCGAAACTTTAGTGGAGACTTCAGGACCACCCTCTGACTGATCCAGGCCTGTGGTTCGCTCCTACTCCATACTACGAATGTCTCCAACCTTTTTATATACGAGCCGAGTGATACGCCCTTCCGTCAGTCTTCCCATTGCTGCCAAATGCCAATATCGAACTTGATGATAGCCATCCGAGCCTCTCATCAAGGTAAAGGGAGTGATGCGCTTTGACAAAACGCAAGTATCCAAACTTCAGTTGGGATGAAGCAGCTTGGGTTTCTCAAGGCTAACACAACTATGCCAAATGCCAATGCTTCTTCTTATCTTGTCCCACCCGTCGACTCTTCGTACGAAGTCACAATCCATAGCCACAAAAAACTCCTCTTAAACCATGTGGAAGAGGACAGTGTCCGAAACGATCGACCTGTGGTGTTACGTTGCGGAACAGGATGTGCCGTTCACCGCTTGCGAAGATATGACCAGTCCAAATCACAGCGTCAAGGTCACCTACTTATAATCTACCCAAGTCAAGGCAAACTTTGGACAGATTGGATGTAGGAACCCTTAGGTTGTGATCACTTCAATCCCTAAGAGCCAGGGCACCATTATTGACTCTGGCTAGAAACGGTTGAGATCTCGATCTCGATGAAGATCAGAGCTTTGGAGTGACGCCTTTTTAGTCTACATATAGGACAGTTGTTCCGCACCTACCACTCTGTTCTCCTACCGTTTCAAGTCGATCTTTAAGTTTCCTACGTCCAAGACCGATATGTTAGCGGGAGGCGGGCGGAAATACACTCTCTGTACGAGCTAAGAACACTCCGTATGATGATGGAACGAAATTTTCGAATGAGCACTCGAATCTATGCTGTCACTATTGGTAACGGAATAGAGGTTGGGAAATTCTAGACTTTGGGGTGGACTTGATTTGTTCCTTGACATGCGTTAGAATTGGGCAATCTCACTAAACCCGATGATAGTTAATGAAATGAACTTGTCTTATTGACCAGTCGAATGCCGGATCTGAATCCGCAGTCCATGCATGTGGAGAACCGAGAAACCAACTTCGGCCTAATGTTTACCTTGCTAAATTGCAGACGCACTGCAAGGCAATACCTATATTTCCTCCGTTTTGGTTACTCGGGGGGACCCGAATCCTCCAGACTCCAAAAGGTGCTATGGCTGCATAAACACCAAGTTACCAAGTAGGTAATTTATCTGGATCATAGGAGCCAACATCATCCTAAAGCGTACTCCTACCCTCAATGTAATGCTTGGTCGGTGTTAAATTCGAATTTCGTACCGGCATGAATGCAGGTATCTTCGCTTTAACTAATAATAGTCTAAACAGGACAGTGCGATCCTCCACGTCTATCACATACTTCTTCATCCCCTCCGTCAGGGTTCCTTTGGTCCTTCTAGTTTTATGCGTTGATTCACGAGGCGAAGAACCAGAACATGCATTTTTCTGACTATCTGTTCTTTACTCCTTCATGGACTATCTTTCATGACTTTCTAGTGTTCTATTGCCTGCGATTTGCTATAAGATATCATATTTCAAAACAAGCCGACAAATCACCATCGATATTGCGTTTGTTGGCTGGGGTAACTAGCACAACTTGTCGAACATTATACTATCTACCCTTCTTCTAGATTCCTAGTAGGGGCGTCCCTTTTGGGGATTTGGCTTAGTTGGGTGGATTCATCACATCTCTATCTATATCATTGTCTTACGCCCTTCTCCTTGCGAAAACGCGACCAAAGCCGGCTTGGACCGAGTCAATTAGAGTTACTCTGGCGAATGTATTCTCAGTGGTTGCTCTCCTGGCAGGCACTCAATTGCGAGATTTGTTCGGCATCAGTCTCCTATTTGTAGCGGATTACATTCATCGCCGAGTTGTCCGAATAGGTGACCTGTCTCGAACGCTAGTGAGTCAACCTTCCCAAACTTATAAACAGATATACTTATGGAAGGTGAGCCGAATTGGTCAAATGTTTGCAGAGCTTACAGCTATTGTTATAATCCTAGCAACACTCGCAATTCTAATCTTTGGCATTGCGTATCCTGTCAAAGAAGGTGATGATAGAGTGGCTTGATTGAGTGCTGAATCTGTGGGGTATACCCACGAATATAAGTACACTGGTCGATCTGGCGGTTTAGCAGTTACGTGACTACTGATAGACTCCCACCAAGATGACATACACCACGTTTAAATGGGCAAGCCGGTAATTGCGACCCCCTTTGATGAATGCTGGAGGAAGATAGAAAAGGTTGAGGGTCATCAGTGTCTCCGTTCAAATACAAATATACGGTAATAATTACTTCTAGATTGCCACTCCATTGATAACATCTGCTTCTTCCAGCCATTCCTCAGCAAGCGCAAGCGAAACAAGGTCCCCAGCTGAATGTAAGCCGCTCTTCCTAAAATTTCGTGGATGCAAAAGATTAGAGACTTTTTCCAATGACTGTGAAAGAGAATAACGACTTTGTTGGATTTCAACCATGTTATCCGTGTCGAACTGCGATGATGCGATGTCTTCTGTAGCAGCAATAGTCTCCAAATGTCTCAGCAGCTCATGCAAAATAAAATGCAGCCACACAATATTTGACTGTGGATGATATCCACGCCACGTCCGGCCTGACCGCATTGCGTCCCTTCTTCTCTTCTTGAAATTCGCCAACGGGTCGTCAAGGAACACTGCACCGCGCATGTATCGGTATATCTCATATTGATACTCTTCGGTGCTGTCCGCCTCAAACAGGTAAGAGTCTTTGTCGAGATCCAGATATGCCACGCGTGGCTCCTCGTCTAGATCTTGTGGGTCTGACAATTCCGCCCGGGACAATGTGTAGTCGATGACTGTGACACGTAAGGCTGTGAAGCCGAGTTTTTGATTCCGCAACCGTATTCGTTGAGAGGCGTCATCCACACTTTGGCATGTGGGTAGGACACAGATATTGCCTAGGTGAAAGTCGCGATGCTTTGGAGAAGAATGTTAGCATTGTAGATGGCCCAATAATGAACAAGACCTTACCTCAAATCTGGCAGCTTCCTCACCTTTGGCGAGAGTAAGCGTGGCGCCCCAGAATACATCCCAAACGGACCAAATATCATCCAGTTTGGCATGCTCAAGGTCCGTTCCAGCATCTTGCATTTCGATGACTGCCCACAGTTGGTTCTCCCAGTAACTGGTCTTGCGGCTCGGGTCAGGGAATAGCGACTTTTGACCCTTCGGCCGTGCCTTATTAAACGCTTTCCAGGCTTTGATAATTGGGGCAGGGGGTCGACCTTGCAAGACGCGAATATCCCGAAAGTTCGTGAATCCGGGAATGTCAGTCATCCTCTGGAGCAGGCGGACTTCGGATGCGACATTTTCAATGTCGCTCATGATTTCAATATTGGACGGTTCTCCCTCGTACGGCGGCAGTTTCAGGGGTAGAATCTTTAGCACACTCTCATCGGCAGCGGTAAATCCCGGGAGGGATGATTTCAACGCCAGCCGGTATACTTCTCCGTACGATGCCTCTGCAATCTTCGCGATGTTGAAATGCTTTTCCAAAGTTTCCGCATACGTTGCGTAGTCAGTAGGTCCTTGACGTGCAACGGGGTCGCTGCAAAGGTCTAACAAAGGCGATAGATAAGATTTTTCGGCACATTCCACTGTCTTGGGTTGTCGTTTTCTTCGCGAACGGGGCCTCGATTCCGCTGAGGCAGGCACTTTTTGCTGACACTCACATCGCGAGTGCAAAGATTGAGATCGAGATCGGTTCGAATCGGCATCTTCAACGTCCACACTCGATTCCCCTGAGGTAGTGTTCAAGGTGGACGGGATCTCTAGGGCCTTCTTTGTATCGACTTCTCGCACCTTCGACACCGTTGGTTTGATTTCGTCCTGCGCATGTTTCTCGACGTCTTTGAGCTTTGTATTTCCGTTGATTGCCTTCAGGGGTTTCCGCCCAACGTTTATTCCACCTTCGGTTGTAGAGTCCACCGGATTATCCAATCCCAACCGTCCAAGCTTTTCAACAAGGTCCTCTGCCCCCTCGTCGGTCGTGTTGGTTTCAGTCGTCTTCAATGTCGGCTTTGCGGGACTCGTTCTTGCAAACCACGAAAACGACTGGGTAGCATTCCGGCGACGCCCATAAACTTGTCGTGGAGGCATTTTGTGAAGTCTTGGGGAATCCAAGCAATAGAAACAGCTTCGTGGATGAATATTCGTTGACATGGTAAGGATCTCAGTGATATTGATGCCTTACTGTGTTGTCAGGGACAACCAGGCCACAAGGCACCAACGACCAAGTCAAAAGCGTGAGGCAGCGAAATATTTATACCCGCCAAGACTCCAATCCCAAATAGGACTAGTTCACACCACTCGCTAACTTTCCTCCCACAACTTCAAATCTCCAACTTCATCCATCTTGAGAACCGCACATCGAAGTCGAAGCACGGAAATCGTCACCATGTCGTCCGCCGCACTCAACAAGATCGCGCCGAACAGCCCCTCGAGGGCCAGCCCCTCCGAGGTCGAGACGACCATCGCCAATGCTCTCTACGATCTGGAGTCCAACATCCCCGACATGAAGAGCGCCCTGAGGCCTCTTCAATTCGTGTCGGCACGCGAGGTAAGATAGCCCAATACCATGACAGCGTCATGTCCACATCCGAATATATACATTTCCCTCATCCGGACCATCGCAATCGGTAGATGCTATTGCATCTTCCCGTTTGGAGAATCCTATGATGAAAAATACGAAGAGGCGGTGGGCACTGGGCAGCAACAGAAGGCTGACACCAGGAATCTTCAGATCGAGGTTGGACACGGCAAGAAAGCCATCGTCATCTTTGTCCCCGTTCCCATTCTCGGGCTGTGGCACAAGTCTCAACAGCGGTAAGTATTGACATCCCTGATCTCTACGCCTAGCAATTTGCTCATATCGTCTTAGCTTGACTCGGGAGCTCGAGAAGAAGTTCTCCGACCGCCACGTCCTCATCATTGCGTCGCGTCGCATCCTCCCGCGCCCGAAGCGCTCCAACCGCTCGCGCACTGCCCTCAAGCAGCAGCGACCGCGATCACGAACCCTGACGGCGGTTCACGACGCCATCCTGACGGACCTCGTCTACCCCGTTGAGATCGTCGGCAAGCGCGTCCGAACCCGAGAGGACGGAAGCAAGCTCCTGAAGGTGGTTCTCGATGAGAAGGAGCGTGGTGGCGTTGATTACAGGCTCGATACCTACTCCGAGGTCTACAAGCGATTGACCGGCAAGGGTGTCAACTTCGAGTTCCCTCAGTCTGTGGCTAGCGATTATTAGGCCGTTACTTCATAACATGGTCGGCGTCATGGACGAGATGGGTATTCCTCGATGATTAGAGCGAGGCATTGTGTCTATCAAAAAGCAATTCAATTGCGATTTCACGTTGACCATTAATGTCATTGTGCCATTGAAACTTGACTCCACGGAAGGATTATATCTTCCCCTACGCCAGAATACCGTTTTGCGGTCATGCTTCACCGTTAGGAACTCTTACTGCTGATCCAACTCGGGGTAATGCCTAAAAATGCCATCGGAATACGACAGCCTCCGGTCGCTCGCAAGATATTGCTTGATGCCCTTCTCTTCTTGGATGCCTGGGTAAAACGTCTCAAAGAGAAGAGGATAATCCTTCTTCCGCGCTTCCACTTCCTTCGGGAAAGCATAGGATACACTGCGCGAGACATCCATCAGCCTATCTTGCGTTTACGATGAGAGCGGACGATCGACTTACCCGTTCACTACTTGCCAGACGGTTGTGTCCGCATATGTGAGCTTGCTACCAACCAGATATTTGCCCTTCGCTTCGCTCTCATTGCTCTTCAAGACTCTCTCGAAGTATCCAAAGAACTTCGGAATGCGCGAGGCTCGGAAGTCCTCCGCCTTCTTCAATGCCTCCTCCTTTTGCTCTGTAATCGATTAGTATATAGAACCAATGTCTCCGCTACGTGGACGTGTACCAGCGTAATACTTCACCACAGACACCGGATGATGTGTGTCATGGCACTCATCACAGAGATCCAATGCCGTCAGGGCCACTTGACTAACATGATACTTATCCCCTTCCTCCTCCCCGATTAATCCCAACCGCTCCCCCAAATACGCCAGAATATTCGGCGTCTGGTGAATCAGCAGGTCCTTGCCCTCACCCTTCCCATCAACGATCTTCAGCGCTGGCGGCGCGAAAATGGGCGGGTTGCCCACATCGTCACCGACGTGCTTGTCGGAGATGAGGGACAGGACGGGTTTCACGCCCGCGGACGAGGCGTTACTGACGTCCAGGTAGGCGGTTCCGGCGGCTTCGAATGCGAGGCGGACGAATTCGCCGCGTCCGGGTATGTCAGGCCAATAGATGAGATGGTAAATGGGGGTGTGGCTGCTGCCGGAAGACAGCTTCTGCCGCTTGGATTCCGACATGGTTGGTGTATTCGTATGGTAGATTCTGGGAAATCCGCTTGCTAGAATAGGATGTCGGCTCTGGAGTCGGAGCGTTAATTGAATGGAATTCGTGGTAGCTGAGCGGAACAAGTGGAATTGGGTTGACGTGGGAGATATGAGTCCAGGATGACGGAGCTTTACGAATGAGATGCGATGGTGGGGTGAGACGAGTGCAACGGATCCATCATTATCCTATGTCCTCTAACTCCGCATTACGATGATCAGCTTGTAGGCGAGGGTTCCGACTCCAACCGCCCCCGCATTAATAGAAATGGACACCATCTTGCCTTGAAACGTAGATACGGTATTGGAATACATCGAATGGGTCATCTAACCCGTTGAGTGCGTATCTTGGTCAATGGCGCTGTCATACAAAATAGAATGTGCTCCGGTGTCATTCGACGAGAGCTTTCAAGCATTCTTCGAAAACTTCTATCGGATATCAGACGACCCTACTGCGAACAACGAGTATGTTAAGCAGTTCACGGAGAACGCTACTTTGATCATGGCATCGAAGAGGCTCACTGGAAGCTCAGGTACGGGGAGAGTGACCTGCTCCATCGTCCATACGTTAACCGCAAATCAAAACAGAGATCCAGACCTTCAGACAGGGAATGTGGGAGAAGATAGGTTCGCGGCACCATAAAGCGGCAAAACTTTTCCCGTACGGGTCCAATGCATCGGAGGCGATGCTATATGGCACGGTTGATTACGTGCTGAAGGACGGGCAAGAGATCAACGGCGTTGAATGGGCCGCTCGAGCGCACCTGGTCAAGGAAGGGGATGCGGTGAAAATGGACTTCTATCAGGTTTATTTGGTGAGCAGATAATGCCAAATTTTTGTTATACAACGCATGTTTGACTGTTGATATAGGATTCGGCGGCCCAAAAGCCTCCAAAGTAATCGGATGCCTCTCGCAAGTGTCTAGCATCGCATACTGTACATATTCTCGTCGACTAGAGCGTGGAGAATAATCAAGACATCTGCCACGGAGTATTAATCTGCTTGCGCCGAACCTATGAAACATGATCAGTAATTGCGCTCCCGAAACGATTCAACGGACTTACAAATGGTGCCACGCCCAACACACCCGCCCACAATCCCGCCACAGTAATCAGCATCTGGATCTTATCAAACCCTCCCCCAAGCATATCGAACGTCCCACTCGGCGCCGTAACCGTTCCAAACAGATCCAATCCCCACGCGAACACCAAGCTCGTGCTCTCCAACCCGCTAGGGCTGCTAATCACCTTCTTCAGGCCCCAGATCTCCCTCTTGTGGTTGATCGCCCAGGGCGGTGCCAGGTCGAAGACAGGAGCATACCTCGATAGCCCTTCCATTGCCTCCTGAGGTGTTGGGTCTCGTCCGACGGGTCGTCGGGCAGACAGAGCATTGGTAGGAAGCGAGTATAAGGTGGTCGGGTAGTCCGATGAGTGAGTGATGCCTAACAAAGAGCGCGTGGTGATGCCCTGAAGCGTCGAAGTCGTTGTGAGGTAGGAGAGGGGGTGCGGGATGAGATAACTTGCAGAGACAACGTGTGGGAGGGATAGGTCATTCTTTCCAACTGATGACACTTCATCCGACGCGCCAAGGGGGCCTCGGTCATCGGGGATCGATGACTCGTAGAATTCGGTGAACGTAAGACTGGATCCTTTAGCCGATGCTGCGGAGGACGAGGTGTTCAGAGTAAATGAGTAAGCGAGCCAGTTCTCCGAGAGAATAGCTGGGATCGGTTGAGATGTGTCAACACCAACATGGGTGGACGTGTGCAACACATTGGACGAAACGCCGTCCAGAACCGTGAATGTCGCTTTGCCAGATGCTTCGGACACGCTGGTGATCAGGACCAGATTGGGATTCAAATACTTGTAAAGGACTCTCCGATCTCCAAGAACCCTTCCGATGGATGCGACGGGGTCGTGTGCAGCTCGACTCGTGACCACGATGATGCGCTCGCCAGGCGGCGGCTGGAATGTCCACAGCTCTTGCCGTTCGATGCCATCTGGGCTTTGATAACCTTGAACCACATTGTTGATCTCCGAAAAATCGTAGTACACGGATAGTCGAGCCGGAGTCTCCGGCGTCGCAACCGCGACGCGGTTGACGAGTTGCTCCGGGGTAAGGGGCAGTCCAGTCGTTGCGTTGAATTCGAGGACCTTCTTCGACTGATAGCCTTGAACAGTAATCGTCCCCGCCACAGCTGTGTCGAGCTTCACTGGCGACCACTGCTCATTAGGATCCAGAGCTTTCAGGTTAATGTTCCACATCACCTTGCCTCCTTCCGCAAAGTCGAGTCCGAGAAGCCGGCCTTCTGTGGTTGCAATCGCAAGGATCTTGTCAAACCCATATCGTTTACCGCGCACGAGGATGCTCTCGCTTTTTTTAAAGAAGGATCCGAGGACCAGCTGTGGAAGCTGTTCGAGCCTTGCGGGCAAGGATTGTAGGTCATGTAGATGCCTCTTGGCACGGTGGAAAAAGCCCTTCACAACGTTTTCATGCCCCTCGACTTCTAGATTCAAGGCAAGGCTGAGATCTTCTGGGGGATCCACAAAGACCGCTTCATCCGCATATGCAAGTGCTTCCGGCCTGATCCAATCTTCCTCTCCATTCTTGACCAACTTCCAGTCGCCATCAGAGTAGAGCACAACGGAGCGCACGGCAAATGTATTGCCCGGCTTCGCCACAACCTCGGAGGATGCCTGGACCGCATGTGGCAGAACAAGCCTTTGGGTGGCTGGAACCACCGGCTTCTTCGGCCATCGAGAAAGGATACCATGCGATGCAGATGAGACGATGATGATCTCATCATCCGTAACTCTTGTAAAGTAAACATTTGCATCGATGGTGCTTACTGAGAAAGCGCCCGTACCAGAGAGTTTGGGAAGGTCGTATGCTTTCGTGACCTTGCCTTTCTTGACGTTGATATGGAAGACCTCCGCCCAATGGGTTTTACCGGTCTGATAATGCACAAGAAAATGTGGTAGCGCATTAGGCTGGTGAGGCGCATGTACGCTGACGTCTCGAATTTCCTCACCGGTCGGACTGTCGATGCTGAATGAACTGATCGATTTGCTGCCTAGAACGTTCACTTTCAAAGTCTTGGACGATGTATCAGCCCACACGATAACCGGCGCCGCAGAGTTTGCGCCGACGAAGATGTTTTCCGGATGGGAGATGTCGATTTCCGTGCTGAGCGTCTGCTTGTCGATGTTTCGGCCGGTCTGGGGATCGTAGGATGCAACCTTGACCTTGACGTTCCCTCCAATCAGGGTCGATGTGTATGACACGACAAAAATGGTGGTTAAGGAGGAGGATAACTGAAATGGGATGTCGCCGCTGCTATGACTTAGCAATGGAAATAGGACCCAATATAGATGCCATACCTCGTGTCCAGGCTTTCCCAGACAACCTCGCCTGTCTTCCCATTCAGTCGTTTAAGAATCGAAGTCTTCTCGTCCTGCACAAGCGCCAACACATCTTTCTCGGCTCCCTCTTTTCCTTCTTCAATCTGGAGAACTTCTACGTCTCTGACTTGGCCGGATTTGACATCATTCCTCCAGGCCTGCTTCCCATCCGCCGCGCTCCATGCCTCAACCTTGTGCCCGCTGCCCGAAACAACAACATCCTGCGCAGGGCCGGGTCGTAAAAAGGATTCAGTGGGCGAGCTAGAGTTATGCTCCAGCAGTTGCCTCCATACTGTGGAACCGTCCTTTGGGTTCACAGCAGCGATAACGTTCTTGTCGGTGACGGTGTAGAGAAGAGAGCCTTTGGAGCCGGAGTAAGGTGCTTGGAAGAAGGTAAGGTCGGGGTTTCGAGGGTATCCGATCAGAGAGAGGTGAAAATCGCTCTTGTAGGCTTCGTCCGCGAATACCGCCGATGCAGATGGTAAATTTCCTAGCAGGAGAGCCGGTAGCAGACACGATGTAGCTGCTGATAGCAGCCACCGAGGGGGCATTGCGATATCAAGATCCAGTGGGGAACCATATGCGACCTAGAATTCAAGGATGCATATTGGAAGGGATAAATGGATGGTGTGGTCAAAATTGATATCCAGGAACTATCCAGCTTAGCATTGTAGGCGAGGAGTTCCTATAATTCTCGTGTAAAGTTACAGTGAGCTGGTGTTGAACGACTTCGTGATTTGGCTGTGCAGGGGTCCTTAGACGCCTTTCAAGAGACGTGACGTGACGTGGGCGGAAGTTGCCGCTGCTACGTTCCTGGCAATCACCAAGTCTCCGTCCTTCGATATCAAACCATACCAGTAGTTGATGAAAAGTTTCATGTCTACATTCGTATCTATCGTTTAAAATCTATACGCTCTACGCACGTAGGCAATTTCCAGAACGTGGCTGCGTTACAAGCCGTAAAACTCAGCATGGAAGTCGACAGCGTAGCCGTTATCAACCCACTCGCTGACCTCCTGTCGCACATCCCTCACCATACCTTTTGGCCCACATACAATCACGCAAACTGTATTTGAAGCACCGGAGAACGAGGCGCTTACCACTACCCCCAGACTGGGCCTCCCCCTTCTCATCGTCACACCTCTCAAGCCTCCTGAGGGTGCCTCGCCAGGTAAGGAAGTCTCCATCTCCTGCAGCTCGACGTAGTCTCCGGATTCTTCTGAGACTGCAGCTTGGCCGCTTCTCTCGCCTGTCACGTACAGATCCGGGCCCTTCGAGTCGGTCAGGGCGTCGCCAAAAACGCATACTGCTTCTTCCATGCTTCTGACCGCCCACACGAAACGCGCTCTTGAGGGCGTCTCCGAACGTCGGATCATGCTTACCCACATGGGAACAGCATATGTACCACCCACTCCGCCCGCCACTATCAGCACCGAAGAATATTGCCGGAGTCGAGCGGGTTCCAAGTAACGGTGTGAACTTCCGTACGGTCCCTCCACACGAAATGGAATTGGCGCGGGAGACAGTTTCGATTTCTCGGCGAGTTGTTTTGTAGCTCCTTTCTGACAACGAGCAATGAGTGTCATCTGTCGAATAGATCCTCCCCCCGCATCCGAGGAAGAGATATTGCAGATTGTGAAAGGATTTTTGGATAGGTAGCCCGGAACCAGATTGAACCACCGTGAAGACTTCGAGGAGATATAGACATGCTGCCCTGGCTGCCACTCCCTCGACGACCCTTGTCCTTGCGAAACGGGACCTAGTGCCATCTCAACTCTGATCAAGCCAGTGGTACCAACGACGGAAACTGTTCCAGAAAGGTGAGAAGTTTCGGTCCATCGTAGCGCCACATTGAGCATGGATATTACGGCGCACTCAATGATGTAGATCTGAATGTGCACCACGTGGGAGTAGAGCACCAATAGGAGATATCCCCCTAGGATAACATGGATCCAATAGAAGGTCCTGTACGAGAGCATCCGAACGTAGCCCAGTGCGGAGAGCCCAATAACAGAAATCACAGCGATAGCCATAAGTCCAGAGAGGACATCGTCATCCTGGAGCCGTTTCTCCAGAACACCGGCCTGAACGAAGAAATTCAGATATAGACCAGCATGCGCCAAGAACATGGCCGATAGGATTCGCCCGAGGTATTGATGGATCCAATTCAGTTCCTCGTGAGATCGGTTGAAGATGAGAGCAAGGGGTGAGAATCTGCTCTTCATTACCAGCAGGTAATGGAGCGGAAGCTGAGATGCTCCAACGAGACCCAGCCGCTTCGTCATGTGGAGATAATCTGCAGAAACTCAGCCATTGTACATTAGGAAGAATCAGAGCACGGCCGGAGGTCATACCGTTTCCTGTTTCGCGGATGCTCAAATACAGTAGCCATACTGTCCACCATCCCGCGAGGATCCATTGTCCGCGCGTGCCCCAGCCTATAACGAATTCCCCAGAAAGCCACCATTCGAGTCTCCTAACAAGCAACCTCCATGAAGATACGCTCCAAGGGGACCTACTCCGCTGGAACTTCGCATGCGGAGAACTAGGTTCGGGTGTGTCCTCCTTACCCACTCCGGCAGGTCGCTTCGCTAGCCAGACTAAGTAGAGAAAGGTCTTGATAGCAACAATGGCCCCAATAGCAGACAGCTGAGCAATCAATGCGTTTTGATTCAGCAATATTCTTCTCTGAACCTTCTCTTCCTCGTTTAGGCTGACAAATCCAAACCAAAACATGGTTGCTGGGTGGGATTGCCTTGCGTGTTCTCAAAACCTGTAAACCGCTATGATCCGCACCGGATGAATCTAGGACGACGCATATATTCGCCGTAAATAAAGCGAAGCACAATCAGAGACCAACGTAAACCCGAGGAATAGCAAACGATGTAGACCGCATAAATGCAGGCTCCTTTAGCAGTTTAAGTCCACGGTTAGTCGACTCAAATTAGTAACAGGAGGGTATTGTCAGCAGCAACTCTGGGGAGCGGAAAGGATCCGAACACCGCTCGACACGGCGTTTCAATCTCTCCCTGGACTGCTACCCAAACTGACAGCTGTTCCGTACGATTCGATATCCGAAAATGTCGACCGATGCTTGGAAGAAGGCAGAGCAAGTGTTTCAGGGGCGTACGGAAGATGGGGATTCGATGCCTAAGATTCCGCTCTGGCTAGATTGTGACACCGGTACGTAAGGGCCACCCCGACACCACCGAAGCCAGATGCACTGACCTGGGGCATTCCTTTCGACAGGACATGATGTAATTACCCATGCCTCACCACTTGCATTATATTACCGTCAATTAACCTATATTCGGGCAGGATGCCTTTGCCATACTATTGGCGGCCCATTCTCCGGCAATTAAGCTGCTTGGGGTGAGCACCGTACATGGAAATGCCTCACTAGGACACACGACCGAGAATACTATCGCAGTGTTGGAAGCCATTGGAAAGCAGGATATTCCGGTTTGTGTTGGAGCAGCGAAGCCCTTCTGCAGAGATGCAGTGCACGCTGGTACCATTCACGGTGTGCGCTCGTCCATCGAATACTCATGGTCGCGACCAATTGCTAATTGATACCAGGTGAATCCGGCCTAGAAGGTTCCGAACTCCTGCCCAAACCGGTCACGAAACCATGGACGACCACGGAGACCATTCAGACCATGTACAAAAGACTAAAGGCGACTCCGAAGGGGACCGCGTACGTCGTAGCCACCGGAACGCTCACGAACGTCGCCCTGCTGTTCTCCGTCTATCCAGACATTGTCGACCACATCAAAGGCCTCAGCATCATGGGCGGCGCGATTGGAGGATTATTCACAAATGCGCCGATGGGCCGTATCAAAGAAGACCGAGTTCTGTTCACACGGGATGTGCATGAAGTGTTCGATGGAAGGCTCCCCGACGAGGAGGGAATGAGCCTCGAAGACGTCGTCCTCGACTTCCGACAGAAAGGCCTCCTGCACGACGGCGATAGCGTGAGCGACGAGAGAATACGATTATTGCTCGAGCAGGCTCGGAGGAGATTTGGCAATTGGACGGAGTACGCCGAGTTCAACGTAAGTTTGTGCCCTCGGTGCGGAGCTTTGTCGCAACCATTGCTAATGCTCAACCAAGATATACTGCGACCCTGAGAGCGCTGCATCCATATTCACGAACCCTAAGCTAGCCGCTAAAACGGACTTGATCACACTCGACCTCTCACACCAAGTCCTTGCTACGCCAAAGATCCTTGAATTGTTGCTCTACGGTAGAGGAGGTGATCCCTCGACTACGAAACCCTCGAACATGCGGATCATGTTCCACGAGCTCCTGACTTTCTTTGCCAACACCTACGAAACGGAATTCGGGATGAAGGAAGGTCCTCCTCTCCACGATCCGCTGGCCGTTGCAGTGGCATTGGCGCCATTTTTGTTTAACGACAACAAAGGGGAGCGGTTTTCGTTACACGTCGTCCGAGGGGAAGATAACGGAATCCAGATTGAGTCGTCAGAAGAGTTGGAGAGGCCGCGAGCACCCGCGAACGCCGAACAGTGTGGAAGAACGGTCATCCAGCCTGTCAAAGACGCGTCTGGCGTCCGCATCCCAAGGTCATGCGACGTGGAGACATTCTGGCTCATGCTTGAGCTTGCTCTTCAGTCTGCCGAAAAGGTTTCACCGTTGGGGTCATCTTGATACATATATGTTCACGATATAAATCATTTAAGAATTACGCTTTTCTCGGTATTCTTCGTATTTCGGTCATTGAAGTCTTCACACGCATTGTTTTGTTCATGCTTTCACTTGATTGTAGATATGAGAACCACTACAATCCATGCCAATCCCAAATGGCTGTAGATTAAAATAGCTGTATGTACCTAGAGCCTTGAGGTGATCATGGACTAGCGCACCCATCCGACCACTGACATGGAAATTGAGCCATGATATATATTGTGAAGCGCTGCTGCTTAGTTCTGCGCTTTATGACCGTGATACGAGATTGGTTTGTCCACTTGCAGTGGATTCAATTTTCTTCTCATACCCCATCCGCCTACTGCTTCAGTTGTGCATGTGCTACTTAAATAGCCGCGGGACAGCAGTGATTTACAATTCAAGATGCTAGAAGCCCGTCGTTCCTTGTGTCCATGTTGTCCTTTTCATGCCATATTATGGTGTCTCCCAAATATCCCCTTGGTCAATGGCTTCTACTTCTCTTTCAGAGGAGGATATATTAGTGAGGCCATTGGGTAACGGATGGCTTCGGCGGATCGGTATCGTTATACTCAGCATTTCTGTTTTTATTGTAATCAGAGAACCCATTAATGCCAGCATGCTGTCTCGAGAGCCACCTAAACCCCTTCTTGGAGAGAAGGAGTCGGACATGCACCTCTATTATCCTCCAATAGGACGCTCATTTCACCCACAAACGCCATTCCATAACCAGCCAACTCGATTCAGGCCGAGAACACCACTTATAATCCCTTTCACAACCAACGAGACGTTTCTGATTCAAACCGCGTTATCATACATTGCTGCGGGATGGCCTCGCGAAGATATCATAATCCTAGACAACAGTGGCACGATGGATGCGAACCCCCGAGAGGAACTACCAAAGGACAATCCGTCCCACCTGAGCTATCAGAAACTCCGAAAAGATTACGGCATCAGCGTTCTTCAGACGCCGACCTTGCTAACGTTCGCCCAAACCCAGAAATTCATGCTCCGTCTAGCGATTTCTAAAGAATGGCGTACCTTCTTCTGGAGCCGCCCCGATGTCGTCGTTCTCAGTGATGAGAGCGCTAGCCCATACCGCTCATTCTATAACCGTACTGTCGATCATCTTCTTTCTTCTCAGAACCAAAATCAAAAGTGGGCAGCAAAGTTCTTTGGGATCGATGTCCTGGTACTGATCAATGTCGACGCATGGAGAGGCATCGGCCAATGGGATACATTCCTGCCGCATTATAACACTCACTGCGACGCATATGGTCGAGCAAATATAATGGGATACGCGATTGAAAATGTCACCGCAGGGTGGGCTTTTACGGTAGCATCTGCACTGGACGACCCTGAGACGGTCCTGTTTCCTCCACCTCGGGGGATTGCGCCTCTCACAGCTCCGAAATGGTTCTCACAAGATGGACTGTTGCAATTACTGCAGGAAATGAAAGAATCGAGGCGAAGGACGGAATTAAGGGGGAAGCAATGGGAAATTAGTGAAAGAGATTGTCCGCCGTCTTTGCGTTATGACCATAGCGAAACCAACCACCTCGCAAAACAGTCAAAATCCGCCAAAACTGGCACAGCTGCCGAGGAGGGATCGGGGTCGAAGAGATGAAGCAAGAGTGGAAGACGTAATTGGCACAATTCTCAGGAGAGGCAATATCCAACAAATCCCCAGATTGCCCCTCTAGAGCTGCTAGACCTTCTACCTAACTCCAGACCTGGCAGCTCCGTCTCGTCTTGTCATCCAGGCATGCCAAACTATCCGTCAATTAATATCGACACGCCAAGGTCCTTCCCAAATCCACACTTCCCCTATCTTCTCGCGACGTTGTATGCCATGGCGGAGGACCAGCATTCAGCCCAACTAGACGAGATGGATGGGAGAGCGCAGGATATACGGGAAGTTAAAGAATATTGGGCCCAAGGAGTGTGACAACCTGCCACGGGACAGATGCTCGTTTTAAATGTTATATTAGTGTTCATCTATTAGTGGTGGGTGGTGAAGTACAGCAACCGGATGTCTGTGTGTTGGGGTTTGAAATCAATTACGTCAAGTTATGAAGGCGATGGACACGGTTAAGGTTAACTATGCATAAATGGGTATCAGGGAAGCAAAGCTAGACATACAGGCAAATCATGATATTACAATCTACTGCCTTGGGCACCTGGTTTCGCACTTACACCTGCAGCGCCCTCCTTCTTCGGCATCTTCTTGTTATCCAACCCCAGCGTCTCTAAATCCTTCTTCTTATGGTAATGGGGAGCCGCGTCGACAAGCCACTCAGCCTGGATCGGCAAGTTGCTTCGCATATACTCCTTGCTAGTCAACACGAGCTCGTAAAAAATCACCCATCGCGGATTGACCTCCATCAGCACGGAGCTGGGGTGCAGGTAGACAGTGAGACCGTTCTTCACCGTCCGATACGAGTCCCCGCCGCGTTGCAAGCGCGCTGCATTCGGGAAGAAGCCTGCCGTGATGGCTTTCTGGATCGGGACGAGTTCGCTCGCGCCACACGTGGAGACGGTGATCTCCACCCGGTCGCAGAGCTTCGTCAATTGATCGCGCACATCGCGGGCGCGGGAAAGGCTCCGCTGCTGCAGGAAGTTTTCTTTCGCCCACACGTAGCTGAAGTCAGAATCGACCCACTGGTTCCAGATGTTCAGCAGCGTGAGGTGGTCGCCGCCTTCTTTGATGGTGAAGCGCGAACGCGCGGAGTCGGCATGGATTTTCTTGTCCTTCGGGCGGAAGAATAGGGCGGACGATTCGGCGAGCATGGCGATGATGGAAAGAATCTCTTCCACGCAGCCCAGTTTGTCGGCGGCGAGGATGGATTTGGCGAGCATGGGATCGGTAGGGAATTCGGCCATCTGTCGACCGATTTTGGTGAGCTCGCCCTTGTCATTGAGCGCGCCGAGGGCGTATAACTGCTCCAGAGCTCGGATGAGGGTGTCGGCGGGGGGAGCATCCATGAAGTCGAAGTCAATGAGATCGTTAATGCCAAGCGACTTGAGCATCAGAACGATACTATTGAGATTCGAGCGTTGGATTTCCGGAGTCGTATTTTGTTCCAGTTCGTTGTAGAAGGCCCATTTCGTGTATAATCTGAAGCATTTCCCGGGACCAACACGGCCAGCTCGTCCCGCTCGTTGTTCGGCTGATGCTCTTGAGCAAGGTGTCACGACGAGTGACTCCATGCCGTTACGGGGATTATATACGTTCTCTTTAACAAATCCGGGGTCTATCACGTAAACAATTCCGTCGATCGTCAATGAGGTCTCTGCAATATTCGTAGCCAAGACCACTTTCCTCGCTTTCGGTGGTGTCGGTTCGAAGATCTTCGCTTGAAGGTCGGTGGGAAGGTTGGCGTAGATCGGACATATGATGAGTTCAGGCGCTTTGCTCCCGAGTTTCCGGGCGGTTTCTTGTAGATTCTGCTCGGCAGCTTCGATCTCGTCCTGACCTGTGAGGAATACCAGCACGTCACCTTTTGGCTGGGACAGATGGATTTGGAAGACGGTGGTAACGGCGGCGGCTAGATAATTTGCCTCCGGTTGAGGGGTATAGTGTATGTCGACGGGATATCGTCGTCCTGGGATGTTAAAGATGGGGGCGTCGTCGAAGTATTTGGAGAATTTCTGGGCGTCCATGGTGGCAGAGGAGATGAGGAGTTTGAGGTCTGGTCTGAAGCGGGAGATATCTTTGACAAGACCAAAAAGGATATCGGTATGTAGTGTTCTCTCGTGGGCTTCGTCAATCATAAGACATGAGTAGCCTGCGAGATCCGGCTCGGTGAGAAACTCTCGTAGCAACATTCCATCCGTCATGTACTTTAGAACCGTCTTGTCGTTGGTCTTGTCCTCAAATCGTATTGCATATCCCACCTCATTTCCGAGTTTGACACCCATTTCATCCGCTACACGAGCTGCTACACTCATAGCTGCGACTCTTCGAGGCTGAGTACAGCCGACTTTGAGCCCTCCTTTCGTATATCCCGCTTCATGGAGGTATTGCGGAAGCTGTGTAGTTTTGCCACTGCCTGTTTCTCCAACGACGATGAGAACCTGATATTGCGCCACCGCTGCTAGTATCTCGTCTCGAAACGTGTACATCGGCAAGCTCTTCCTGGTTTCATCGATCGATTTCGCCCGCTGCTCGGCCTCGTCGATCCTTTGCATCATCATCTTCTGCTCCTTCGTCATGGGCTTCTCCCCGGCCAGGGCACCCGCAGCGATGAAGTTGATGCGCTGCTCTTCGTCGAAGACATAATCGTAGTCGCCTTCGTCAACCAACGTCGGCTTCGATATCTGAGCCTTCGCCTTCTTCGACTGCTCAATTTCCCACTCGTCCTGCTCTGTGACATACCGCTCCCTCCCATATTCGTCACGATCAACATAGCGCTTGTACAGAACGTCATGTTTCCGTTTCCGATCGATCTTTCCTTTCTCTGTGATGTAGTCTTCCGGTAGTTCATAGCCGTCGATGTGGTCGTCGATTCGCAGGCGCTCTTCCGCCAACTGTAAGGTTTCTCGATTTCTCGCGAATTCCTGGACCTCAGCTTTGGATAAAGTCGGATTCGTTCGCTCTTCTTCGGCTTCTTCCACGACCTGTTTTCTGAGCAGCGCAAGTTGTTCGGTTTCTCGTTTCTTGAGATACTCTTGTCGCGACCGGAGACGAAGATCCTCAACTGCGCCGGCACGCCCTTTTAGGTCGTCTCCAAGCGCCTTCCGACGTGAAGCCTCTCCAGACATGATCTCGAATGCCGTCTTAAAACACCATGTAAATATAGTCACATGAGAAAGCTCACGATGTGCTGTGTGCTGTTCATCAAATGATCAATCAATAATTGAAGGGGCGTGTTGATGCCTCAGGCATAACATTTTTGCCTCAGTTGATGCCTTACCAGTGGCTTGGCTGCTGCAGCTGCAGTGCCTCCCTGATATTGCAGTTGGACATGGACTGTTGGAGGTCCATCAGCGTGTTGAACTAGAACTGCGACACCACCCATAAAGTTCGCTTATTTTACTAGTGGTGAGAAATATAAGGTGATGAGAGTTACTGTAGCAGAGTGCCATCATATATTGGTTCTGACTTTACGGTGCATTGACCATATCTACTGTTTGTGTGGGGCAGTATATGGAAGCATAACATGAGTCTCCTTGAAATATACGATGCTTCAAAGTTCGCTATTTAACAATAGCCTACGCTTCAGGGGGGATGTTATACTCTCGATACCCTTCTGTTGATAGGAGGACCACCACCGCATCCGCTCCCAACTCCAACTTCCCCTCGTCCTTCAGCATCCTCAGCGCACTCACCGACGCCGCTCCGCAGGGCCCGGCGTTGACCCCACGGCCGTGAAGGTACTGCACCGCCCGATGGGAGTCCCAGTCGGAGATCGCCACCGCGGCATCCACTCCGTTCCGAAGAACCGGCCATGCGATCTCGGAAACCGTGCCGCAGTTCATCCCGCACATGATGGTGTCGCCTGTGCGGATCGTGGTCATCTTCCCGGCTTCGAGGCTCGCCTTCAGACATGCAGATGTCTCCGGCTCGACCGTGGCGACGGTGCAGGGTGGGTTCTTGGCTTTGAAATGCGCAGTTACGGATTGCATCCAGGAGCCCACCCCGACAGAACCGATGATGCATGTCGGAGGTTTGTCACCGGTCAACTGCACGAGTTGCTGGTCGACCTCTTCCAGAGCGGTGGAATAGCCTTCAACGACCCACTACTTACATCGAGCTCAGCGATTATCTATCAGGAACGCAGAGGATCAAATAGGACGCACTGAAGACACTTCCGTGAACCCGGCCCATGAGGTGTCCATAACAAGCAATGCGCCCGTCCTCTCCGCTTCTTCTTTCGCGGTAGCAATAGAGTCATCATAGTTACCCTCGACCACGCCCACCGTGGCGCCTTCGCTCCGAATCCTGACCTGCGTCGCGTCGTCGATATTCTGCGGCACGAACACCGTTGCCGGGATCCCCAGATATCGAGCCATGCGCGCCGTGGCGCGGCCCCAGTTGCCATCGGAGCAAGTCACCAGATGGATGCCCGATTGTCGCGCCGCATCTCCGAGTGAGGTTATGGAGATGGGTGGATCGACGGTCGCATCGAGGCCGCATTGTGCGGCGACCGCGCAATAAATCGCCCATGAGGCGCCGAGGATCTTGAACGATGGGAGGCCGAAGCGGGTTGATTCGTCTTTGACGAGGACATGGCTCACTCCAAGCTCTTTTGCTAGATCTGGGAGAGGGACGAGTGGTGTTTGCTTGTATTCTGGGAGTCTCTGGTGGAACTTGAGGATCAGTGGGTTGCTAGTGGTCGGTGGTTGGTGGCTCCAAGACGCTGCCGACGGATTATGGTAGATACCATGGCTTCTAGAAGGGTTAACTACGGTCATTTTGAACGGTGCAATTGCTTGAAACAAAGACATGAGGTCGTCAACCGTCGAGGACTGTTGATCGTTGGAGATCATGAAGTTGAATTTTCATCGTTCTGATTCGTCAAACCGAACCTCCCACCTGCAGAGCGCCAGACCCTGAACCCGAACTTGCATCAGCTCCGCTAAAGATTTCAAATGACATATTCCACCATGTAGTCCCATCTCCCCCCAAACATCTCCCCAACCATCCTCGAATCCCATTCTATCCCCTCCATACCACCACCATGAGCAAATTCGGCGTCATCGTCACCGGCCCCGCCGGCGCCGGCAAAACCACCTTCTGCACCGCCCTCATCCAACACCTCCGCACCGTCCGCCGCTCCTGCTACTACGTGAACCTCGACCCGGCAGCCGACGACTTCGCCTACGAGCCAGACATCGACATCAAAGACCTGATCAGCCTCGAGGACGTGATGGAGGAGCTGTCCCTAGGGCCCAACGGCGGGCTGATCTACTGCTTCGAGCATCTCCTCGAGAACATGGACTTCCTCACCGACCCACTCGACCCTGTCACCGACGAGTACCTGATCATCTTCGACATGCCGGGCCAGATCGAGCTGTACACCCACGTGCCGATCCTCCCAGCCCTGGTGAAACAGTTGATGCACGGGTCGCTGAACATCCGGATGTGCGCGACCTACCTCCTCGAAGCGACGTTCGTGGTGGACCGCCCCAAGTTCTTCGCCGGCACGCTGAGCGCCATGAGCGCCATGATGATGCTGGAGATGCCGCATTTGAACATCCTGACGAAGATGGATCTGATCAAGGGGAAGGTGCCGCGGCGGGAGTTGAAGCGGTTCCTGGATCCCGACGTCGGGTTGCTGGACGATGATCCGGATCGTGCGCTGCCGGAGGAGGCGAAGGCGGCAGGGTTGGATCCCACGGAGACGACGAACGTGATGAGCGGGGCATCGTATCATAAGTTGAATAAGGCGGTGGGGCGGTTAATTGATGATTTCAGTATGGTGTCGTTCCTGCAGTTGGACGCGCAGGACGAGGAGAGTGTGGGGGCGGTGCTCAGCTATATCGACGAGTCGATACAGTACCATGAAGCACAGGAACCGAAGGAGCCGGTAGAGGAGCCTCTGGATGATATGGAGGGGTATTGACGGATCAACAACTTGGAAGGCGGCTCGTTGGCTGCTCCGCATATGCAGGCGTTCTCATGGATGATTGATGGATTGGCATAGCATCGGAGTTTTTTGGGTTTCGGAGGAAGATCATCTTGAGATATTGCTGGCTGAGGGTTGGCATTGTGGTTTTCGAAAAGAAAAGCACACGATCAAGGCTTGCGATGACAAGTCCGTACTGCGAGAGACTGCATCAGGACATCCTGATGATTATCCAACATCGCACCGAGGCTGAAGGTTCGGTGGTGAACATGGTGTAGTATCTGCCATCTTAGAATAGAGAACCCTACACTATCCTCAACCAACCTCTAGTAACATTACCGTCCTCCCCATGAAGGATTCCACGGAGAAGCCATTGTGCACCAACATATCGCTACCACACCGCCCAAACTCAAGATACCCCTTCTCAACCGCCATCATCACCAACACCCCTCCTCTCGCGAATACGATACCCCTTCCATCGACGATCCATTCCATCCTTAAACCCCTTCTCCATCTGGTCGAGGAATGTGCAGCTATGTCCCGATCACTCGATCAGGGACGTTGACGTGCCCTTGCATATCAGGCATCAGCAGACGAAGAAGTGTCATCGGGGCTGCGGCGATCCCCCTCGTCTCGCTTAAGTAGCGAGGGAGGGGTGAGATCGCGGAGATGGAGGGAGGGGCGGAAAAGATGGTGGTGAGGTTGGAGGGTATAGTGGGAGAAAAGGGAAGGAGAATGCAGAGAAAAGTATCGCGGTCAGAGGAATGTTGAATAGGTGGCCGACAAATTACCTGGACGTTTACGCGAAATATGGTTCACATACAATACAAGGCAGAAGAGCGATAGTTGTTTTGATTATTTTTTCATTCAATCTACCTAGCTACGTGCATCCATCGTGCAAACTGGTAGTGATGCTCCTGCGATCAAGAACATCCAGTGATCGTTGCACAGAGCCAAGCAGCCTCCTAAACTGCTTTCACTGTCTGTTGTTTCCTCCCCTCGTCATCTTCCAAAGGGCGTTCGGAAATGACGATTCCAATCATACAATACTGTGGACGAATCCTAGGCAACCAATCGCCACCCCGTCCTCCTAGTGTTTTTCTTTGTTTACAAACGAAAATGAAAATCCACTTTTTGGACGACGGTATCCGAACCGGACTCGCGAGAGTCATGCATAATCTTATGTAGCAAAAGAGTGTGATCCCAATGATGTGAGATCGGGAAAGAGGGTACAGAGTTAGGTATACAGGACGTTCAAATGCCAAAGGCAGGTGGAGGTGGGAGGGCCATTTGCTTGCGCTCCCATTCCTTCGCCTTCTTGGCCATCACCTCGGGGTCGAACGCCTCAGTGGCGCGAACGTCCCTTGCGAGAGTCGCGCTGCTGAAGTTGGAGTGGCGGAGGTCGGAGAGGGCGGTGAGGCTGCGCATCTTTCGCAGGGACTTGGGACGGAAATATCGGATGGAGGGAGGGGGTTGGCTCTGCTCGAATGCCGACACCGGGGTGGGCAAGGGCGTGTGGCTTGGAGAAGTGGTGGAGGGAGATGGGGTGGAGGAGACGTAGGTTTCGAAAATTTCGTCCGTGTCCCGTCGACGGGGGCGCATGCGGCGGAATTCTCGAGCGAGGCGTTCGAGGGTTGAGCCGCGAGATCGGGAAGACTGTGCATATTCTGATGGTGCGTAGTCTTCTTTGACGCTGGGCGTTGGAGGTGGTAGCGGGTCGGTACGGTTGATGCTGCCAAAGCTACCAGAGGCACGCAGGCTAAAGGCAGTGCTAGGTCGTCTAGAATGGGTTTGTGATGAGGAATGCGATTGAGCGGACTGTGATGAGGAAGAGTGTGCGCTGTGCATGCTGACACCAGAGTCCACCTTGCGGCCGTGACGGCTGGTTCGTCCTTCGCCTATTGAGGCGGTGTCAAGTGACGATGTGTTCATGTCGAACGTCGGACTGCTCGGTGACCTGACTGGTTCGGAGGTTGCGGATGATTGCAGGTAAGCCGCCTCAGCAGGTGACGATTCTTGACACTCGTGGATGGCGTCGTTGGCGAGTGAGAGGTAGGATTCCAGAATGCGGCGCGTTGAAGGCCACCCCGATGACTCGCTCTCCGAGGCATTCTGCATAATCAAGGTCGCGAGGACCTTAGGACCCTTCCTATCAACTGCCTTGATGTACCGGAAAAAGCCTTCGCGTTGCTTGATGAGGATTTCTGGAGTGAGTTTCGTCGAGGTGCTGGGTGTAGTATTGACCACAGGTGGATAAAGAGTGTTGAGCATGGCATGGCAGTTGTGGAGGTTAAACGGGGTGAGAGACATCTCATTGATCAAGATCTGGATGGTGTTAGAGAATGATGGCGGATTGATTGCATAGGAAGTCTTACCCATTGACGAAGGCTGACGTAGAGACGAGAGTAGAGCTGATCGATCTTGCATTCCTTCACCTCTAGGTCACGAATCCACTCCGCTACGCCTGGGAATCGAGCGCCAATTTCCTCGGATGTTTGACTCAAGGTCCGTCGGGTGATTCCAAGGCGCTCCAATGCCCCGGCAACCTCCTTTCGCCTGCGCATCTCCAAGTCCTTCAGGTAGTCCAGTCCAGTCAATGCCTGGCAGAAGTCGATGAGGTGGATCTCCGGGGTGAAGACTTTATGGAGGAAAGACGTGATGAATGTCGGTGGGAGGCATGCCTGTTGCTGAGGAATCTTCTGGAGTTGCACCATGAGCGACGCCGTGAACTGGGCGGTCACTGCCTGTGTATCAACGGGAGAAGCAGGCGAGCAGCTCAAATCGAAGGTCGGAGTGGTTGTTCGAGTTGGGGGGAGTGCTTGAGCTCGTGGAGTGCTGTTGATAGTATACATGGTCCGGAGGGGCATCTCGTTGGTATTGGGAGGGGAGAGGATGTGGTCGAGGATAAGCTGGTAGGGTGAGGATGAGCCTGTGCTGGAGCTCGATCCCGACGAAGGATTTCGCGAATGCGGAGTTGAGTCCATGGTGTGGTGAGGATGCGATTCAGAATCAATGCGTTCGTTGTGTCCTTCCGTAAGAGCAGTTACAGCCAACGACACACAAATGTCAAGGCAGTCAACATGCAGATACTAGATTATAAAGACGCGAGGGCCAGGCGTGAGATCGCCTGATGACGGCGATTCAATATATGCAAGACCAGGTTGTCCTTGTCTGCGCTTCGAGCACTCGCCGCTCGTGATCTGGAGTCGGCGGAAGCTGGGGAAAAAGCTTGGAACGATCCTAGGAGGCGATTGGAGGGGTTTCGATCATCCCTCGGTGTCGAAATTCCAACGGTCGCGTCTCGTAGGAGAGATGCTAGGAAACAATGCAGGGATCTGCGCTTGTTATAGTGGTCGAGTAAAGGGATATTGAGGCCGGTGGCAATCGAGTGGTCCCAGCTCTTGACAATCAAGCGAACGATGTGTGGAAGTCCGCGAGTTAACTGGATCGACCCGAGGAGCGTGTTGATTTATGTAAACCGGAAAGCTGATGGAATGAGAGACGGCGAACTGTCGCGTTGTGAAGGTAAACAACGGAGAGTGTTGTGTTGCAAACGGGCGGGAGACGTGTGGTGAGGCTGGACGGGTCGGGAGTGGTGGGTGAAATAGCAAACGGACTCCCGAATTGGGAAGTCGGATGCAGAGGACGTCGAAATGAACGGCAGCACTGGGCTTGGATCGGAAGGAAGGGAACCAATTGCAGTAGAATTGGACGATAATTGAAAAGAATGAGAAGAGGATGGATGAGGAGGAGTCAGGCGAGACAAGGACTGATAAGGCCTATTATCTGATGTGAAGGAGTTGTGGACTGGTGGACTTGGTGGCACAGGATTCTTCCCCTCTGCTGCGTGCTTGCAGTGTCAGGGACTCAGGGTGCTCACGACCTCAGCGATCAGAATTCTCAATTCAGACATGGACATGGACTGCACGACTGTGGACATCCCAGCTCTCCGAGGGTCCCACTTGGTCTCAAAATTCTCTTACAGGCTGGGGCCAGGTATCAAGGTGGAAAAGCAGAGCCCAGAGGAAATCCAAACGGCGAGGGGCCTGAATGTGAGGCGTTGAGCTTCAGCAAAGTATCCGGAGCGATGGATGCTGACTCGAAACGGCTTAGCGTGGTGGACCTAGTGGAGGGGGTGGAGGCGGACAGGGGAAGATGGAAAGCGGGACCGAACCTTTCCTTCTGTTCTTCCCTAACTTTCACTTGTGATCTGGTGGAGTTACTTACAAGTTACGAGCAACAGTCAACAGACAGGGAAGCTACAAGCCCAATACTCTTCCCCCTGCCACATTCACCTCCATCTGGCAGGGGGTACCCTCGGGTCGCAGCAGGGGCCAAGGGTGTTCCTTCTCCCCGGTTCCCTGACTCTGCAGTGTGCATACTCTGCTCCGATTCACCATTCTCTCTCCCCCTCCCCAGTCTCCCTTCGAGTTGTCACTTCTAACTCTCCCATGTCCCAACGAGTTCAGCCAATCCAGTGTCCAATAAACGGACCGATCACAGTCCCCGCTGCTTATGGAATGAAGGAAATTTATCACGGCTGCTGAGTAGATCATCTTTCGAATCGTAGGTATACAAATGCAGTGACAGGAAGCTTCTCGCCCGTTCTGCTGAGTGAATCGATAATTGTACTACCTAGACTGCGTATGGCTCCTATTGTCCTACCTTGCCTTCCACCGTGCCTCCCACTACTCCCCAGGCACCATCATATTGCAATTCACATCAGCAGAGTGATCTTCTCTCTTCCAACCCATTACACTGATACGCTACCTGAACGTTATCGACAATTCAGTTCAGATCGACAGCCATGATTCATCCTCACTCCTCGACCTTGTAATTCATAAGTCGTAAGTCGTAAATCGGTAAGACCTTATCAGCACCCTAAATTCTAACGACACCGGCCAGAAGGTTCCTAAAAGCAATGATTCATGCTAGTCTTTCCCACGCTGCCAGGCGGCCAACAGGAGACCGTACCCTCCTCATCTCTATTCTTCTTCCGTCCAAGCGTTGCGGATACGATTCAGACAAGCAGAGAGTGGGAGAAAGAAGAGGGGGTGGTGATGGCTGGGGGGGAAGGAAGCCAACGACCCGAGCCCGCGGGCGGGAACGAAAAAGGAAGAAGAACAACTTGTATTCCACCACTCATGTTCGATCTCTGGGCAACAGGCCAGCAGCGCGCGGAGATCCGTCCCGACGAAACGGCCAGAAAGTCCCGACTCTCTCCCTCCGTCTCCAGAACGGAAGGTTCACAATATTGTTGATATGGGGTGACCATGCGCAGCAGATCCAATGATCCATGATTCTTCAAGGGACACACAGCAAACTGGAACCCATCGCCGAGGAAATCGCCTCTCTCCTCTCTATTTCAATGTACCGTGGCCACGAAGAGATTTTGGATGCCCAAGTTATGCAACCCCTTAATCAACACCAAACGCAACGTCCTCCAAACCACCGGGAACCTGGGAATTGACCTCTGTTCAACAACGGTCAATGGACAACGACCAACGGGTATAATCGTAGTACCGAGGATTTCAAACGACTAAAAGAAATCTTCGGTACGCTATCTTTTCCCAGGAGCTTGGATTATCGACCAAATCGAACCGTCGCGACCCAATCTGCGACCGTCCCAACCGACTCCATTGTTCGATTCAGTACCCCTGCTCCTTTCTGCATCGTCGACTCGACTCTCCCGAATTCCCTCACGCCTCAGTGCCTCATCGCTCCCCTACCCGCTGCGCCGAGGCGTAGGAACCCTGGACGACGTTAGCTTCTTCCCCTGCTTAGGACGTTCCGCATGGGCTGTATGGCGCTGGGCAAACAACGGCGCCTGAGCCCGGTTCGCAGCCGTCCACTTCCCCGAATCCCGGGGACGCGGTAGGTGTCACGACTAGTGTGCGCCTCTGGACATGAACCCATGCTAGTGGCTTGCTGCTGCGGAGATACATGCAGGGTGACTGAACTCAGAAGGATCGTTGGGAACACTGTAGGATTTCCGATTTTGAGAACGGAGGCCTGAAAAGTGAGAATGGTGATCAGGGACTCGCTCCACTGACCAGATCTCCCGAATTTCCGATGAGCTCCGCCGAAAAGAAGCGAAGGCAAATTGATGGCGATCGTCTTCAATTCGGAAGTCAAACAGCCTCATGATCCCACTGGCGTTTGTAAGTGTACCAACTACGAAGTAGCCCCAAAGCCGCCTCAATACGTTATTATAGCTTTGCAGATCCTACGATTTCAGACAACTTACCTACTTTACTGCAGTTCGATCGATCGACAATAACTGACAGCCGACAGGTCGCACGAACTGATAACATCTGTTTGACAAGTGACAACAGTTCCGTACGTACCAAACTACCAATTCACGGAGAACTTTCAATCAAGGAGCTTTTTCGGTTCCTTGCAACTCGCAGCAGTTCACTGAGACCTCACTCCCGTTCGTCGAACCATTTCTCGGCTCATTGGTGGTATTCGACTGGTTCGACCCCAACAAACGCGTGTGTTCCTCAACCTGACTTACCAGGCCGATCCATGCGTTTGCAAGGGACTCACATGTACGTCCATTATTCCAAGGTCCAACGCTCGACGTGCTCCCGTCCCAGCCTCCCAGACGTCACAACTCGCAAGTCACCACTCGGAGCAGTAGGTACGTGCCGGTTGGCCAGCTCAGCCCATAACGCCGCAATATATCCCGTATGCTCGCAAACCAAATATGTATCATGCATCGTTCATGAGACAGTGAGGAGATGCCTCCGATCCGAATCCGGATTCAGAACGTCCATTTCACTGAGACGCGGTGGCATTGACACGCCGCATCGCAGGCGTTGATTCTGCGGCATCGGCGCCCCTGAAAATCTCCCCAGGGTCGCAGCCCACAGGTGGTGCCTGGCGGGGTGTCCTTGTCTTCCAGCATCATTGCGCAGGCATTCGTCAAGGACTCAGCAGTCAGCACAGTCAGCAGCATCGAATCTGGGACATGTTTGCGGGCGAACTTTGTCGACCTGGCCGCTCATTCTCGCTGCTCGGATTCTTGGACCGTTGGCCGGTTTGAGGTCTGGAGAAGCGTGTCGTCGCCCCAGGTTGGTTAAAATTAGATTCTGGGAAGCCTCGGTGCCAGACTTTGCAACACCGAATAAATGAAGAGCCGAGATTCCACGTGGCAAATGATATTAACGGTCTATTTGCGGGTCTGTTCAATTTATGTTAATTACGAACGGTCCTCAGTCTTCATTCTTAAGCAAGCCTTTCACGGCAATGAGAGGGAGATTCATACGCCCCGCCAGGCCTCTCGGCGACGCCCATGTGGGGAACTACCTGGGCTGACTAATTACATACATTGGTGCCTTTCACAGCAATGATATAATGTCGTGGGTTTGGCTGCTGTGGCAGGTGGTGCGAATTCCTCGTGACCGTGTGGAAGGGCGGTTGAAGGGCGGATGCGATACCCCACTATCTAGGGAACCTGCGAAGTCCGTACCAGACCGAAAGACAATGAATCCTAGGTCTACTTTGGTAGTCGAACACGGAGACAGACTTCAACCTCCGCACACCGTCTCCTTCGTCCTACATCGATCATCAAAGAAAGTCTTGTCGTGAATAGATGTCGCAGAGACCGCCGCCGTGGTTCCGAGGTGTCATCCCTCGATGTTGACGAGAACTCCAGGATGGGAACCTGCAGACTGCACTCCATATTCAAACCAACGAAACAGAGCATACGGAATGTCGCGTCCCTCAGTCAGAAGCGAAGGATTACATGTGCTTTATGCCATCGAACCATCATGTCTCCGTTCACATCATCCTCAGCAGAATACGTAACTGTGAAAACTGAAAAGCATTGAGCCCACTATCCAGCAAGGACATGCCGGATGGGAATTACAGGTATGACCTCGTAAGTCTTCAGCAAACTCCTGCCAGCCGGAACAAGGCGCATATCTTCGAAACTCCCATGTCTGCAACGTTGCTTTAGCTACTCCTGTTACCCAGCAGCTCCCAATCGTTCGGATCCAGCCTGCATCGATTCACTGCAAACCCGTCCCCTATGATCACTTCCCAATGCCGCAGCGTCTCGACGACCGCATGAACCGCGCGGCCCAAGAAAAGAATCGTCGAGAAATGCAGCTACGTTAGGGCTTTGACGTTCCCTGCCTTTTCGCTTTTTCGCTTTTTGTGCGCATCACCGTCCAGTCAGCTGTCAGAGGGGCCGTTCACGGTGGCATTTCCGTATCGATTTGCGTCGAAATGTGGCCAATGATGGCGGGCGCGAGGATGCGGTTTTCGGGATGGAGGGCTCCGTTCCTGGTGTTGGCCCAGTTGACTTATGCTGATATCTTTGTTGCCAAGGAGTTTTTCGTTCTCTGGTGTCAATTGGTCAATTGGGGAAAATGTCGAAATGTCGATTGTGGACGCGACTATTCCTGAAACGCGGCACACATTACACAATCTCAACACTCTGCCTGATCGCCACCTCCTCCCTCTCACTATGTTCACTGCTCTGAAGGGAAGATCCCAAGCACGTGAATATCAACCTGAATACCTGATTTCTCCGCTGTTCAGTTCTTCACGTGGTTGTGTTCTAAACCTGTGGGGTTCGTAGCTACACGCTAGGCCACCACTGACTGGTCTTCCCTTCGCGCGTCGCCCGGCGCATCCCGGTGTTGCCACTTGCCGCCAACGATGAACGCGTCGGTTCCACACTTCCAGTGTGGAAAATGGCAATTCGTATTTCGTCTTTGTTGAGGTGTTGAACGTGCTGTGTCGTGTGTGCTTCAATTCTGTTGTGTCATTGTGATTTGTGGCTTGGACAAATTCGGTCCTAGTCTGGGGGGAGCGGTTGACGGTATGGCTTCCTCAACGGTGTGGATTCTCACTAGGCGGGCCAACAGCCGCGACGCGCCGTTGGGGTTGCAATCGGGTGGGGGAGTGGGGTGTGCTCAGTGCTGAGTTCGGAGGGAATCGAGAAAGCCAGAAGTCTCCGAACTCCCGAAGTGTTGAATGCTTTGCAGTGGAATCCCACAGTGAAGCTAATATGGCTATCGACGGTGGAGAGCTATGGGTAATTATCTGATCTGGGACTTGGACGATACCAGATAACCATACTGGCGGCTTTTCCAGTTTCGCGGTCCCACATCGATCGAGTTGGTTTCGAAACGAGCCTCAGTGTTGGGGAATGGGGGAAGATGCAATCATGCACGATGCTCCTGTACTCTTGTGGGGGTCGATAGGAATTACTATGGTACCAAACCTGATATCGCGAATTCGCGATATGCAATAATAGAACATATTCACAGTTGGGCGATTTCAATTGGTCCTCTAGCCTGATTATCCCGCTCTTGGAGGATTGAGGTAATATTGAATTGCTGTTGACGGAATACTTTGCTCAACAAGCACTCCTTCGGCCACTATCATTACTCAAGGCAATACTAATACAACAACAAGGTCTACTTCCTTCATTCTGAATCCAGGTCGCGTTATCGTTGTGACGTCGTCCCATTTCCACCATCTCTTGATTTAGTAATTACCGACGCCCTGGCGAATGGCACGATTTTCGATCACTCCCCTGCGCCTCAACCCCAAGGCGCATCGCATTATCGCCCCTTGACGATCCGAAGATCCAGATCATTATCGTGTCGGGACTCGGGAAGCAGCCTGGAGACGGAATGAATTTTCCTCGTCACTCCCCGAGGGTGAGCTGGTGGCGTGATTGAATCCTATCGCCTGGACGAAAAGTACTGCCGTCGGTGATCGTGTCTGATTGTAGGTATAACTAGAAGTTCCGAGAACTGGCCGGAGCTAATGCGACGTTATTCAACTCCTGGCAAGGCGGAGCTGTCTGAATTCGACCTTCCAGGGCTAATGGAAAGGCTCCGAATCCGACTTTGAAGGAAGGTTGAACCGGGTGGCAGTCAGTATCCCCCCTAACGATGATCATCCTCCTCCAGCGCGTACAATAGCGTCATGAACTTGATATAGCGGACCGGCAGTCCGGCAAGAACTGTCTGAACTCTGGAGATCCGGATCACGATTCAGAAGGGATTCGTCAGGGAAAAGATCCATCTTGAGCCCGTCGAAGTGGTTCCTGCAGGTACCTGCAAGGTTAAAAAAGGCCTCACTCAGCTCACTGGGTACGAATACGACGAAAGTTCCCGACAACACATGGCCTATTCATTGGTGCTAAGCGAGGACAATCATAGCCATATTCAGTAAACAGTGCCATGGGCTTGAGGTTCCTCCCGCCGTTGATGGGACCGAAACCATTCAGCGTGACAGTGGAGTGCCCTTGAATCTTCATAAGTGTGCAATTCGAACAGGCGAGAGTTCGGAATCTGCGAATTCGTTCCGACGGGTCTCGTTTATCAGTCTGATATTAGTGGGTTGACATTTGATAGCAGTGGTTTCAAAGTTGTACAGGTGCCATTGCGTGACTCTAGCGGGCCACAGCAACAGTGGTGCAGTTATCTCTCCGCAGACGGTGGTAATCAGAGATTGTCACACCACGAACGTTAATATGTAGTATGGTGCATCGTTTTCTTATTCTCTAAGCTCTAAACTTGGCAATATTCCGGGTATGCGATGTGATGAAGTAAAAGTGGGTGGGATGATAAGGTACATTCCCGATACTCTGGCTTACGGAACCATGGCTGTCGATTCCGAAGTCCCGGACTGAGTCAGGAGTTTTGCTCCATCTAGCATCCTTTGACCTTTCGTGTGTGAGACTGCTACAGTACCAATTTATCGTAGTATGAAACATCCATCTTGTTCCTGTATCCAAGGCCATGGCTCTGACGCTGATCATTGCGATTTTAGCAGAGCGCCGAAACCAGGGAAACGCGATGTCGGGACTACACTGACTCAGGGCCATCAAATGCATCGCGCCAGAAGCGTCAGAGATAGTGAGGCGATTGAAAAGTCAAGCGGAGACTTTCTTCTTGTTATGTACTATTGAAAATAAGCAACTGTACTTAATATCTAATGTGGATAATGCCGTTGCTGATCACTGAAGCTTGGATGGAGTACTCTGTAGGTAGCAGAGCATATTGTCGATCGGGATCATCACTTTGTCAGGTACAACGGCGACTGGGGCGCAGATTATTGCATGTGCTTACATAGTACTGTTCAGTGCTCACTACTCACTGCTTACTTTTCACAAAGCCACAAGTGACAAGCCGCAAGCGTTGCAGGCAAGACTCAGACTTTGAGGCTGTTCAGCCCAGCCAAATTGTAAAGATAGGGGTAAGTTTGGGGTTGTGCTACATGAATCGTAGCTAGTATACAGGATGACCGCAGTCGAATTTAGCTTGTTTATGCCTTCAGGATAGCTCAACTCTGTCATGGTGTTGGTATGCGGCTGGTTCCTTCTCACCCGCCGATCGTTGTTGTTAGCGGTGTGAGGTCGAATGGGACGAAGACGTCGATTCAGCAAAGCACCTTGTTTGGAAGCCGAAGATAGGAGAAAACTGAGGAAGAAGGGATTCTATTCTCTCTTAGAAGTCGGAATCGTCCCGAATATCGAGATCTATTCATGACATTCATGCGGATGCCTCCGCCATATCCTGGCGCAGCGCAACACTACCCTTTCTCCAAGCCAGCTTCGGATCCGCTTGCTTCTGCGCCTTGCTCTCCTCGCCAAACGGACCCCAACCACCTCCTCCGGGCGTCATAACGATGATTCTCTCCCCCGGTTTCATATCCGCCGTGTTCTTGCCGCCCAAGTTGATATACCTCACCTCATCGTCATCGACGATGGTCGTTGAAGCGACGCTGTCGGAATTCTCGTCGCTCCGTTCCACCTTTCGGACCCACACGTTCATCCCGCAAACTGCGTCTTCACCTCCTTCCAGGCCGTATGGATGGTAAACACGGCGCTCGCTGAGGATGCTGACTTGAACTGGGATGCGGAATTCAATATCTCGGATGACTCCGTCGCCTCCATGATGTTGTCCTCGCCCACCGCTTCCAGCGCGAAGGTTGAATTCGCGTAGGATGACGGGGTAACGACGCTCAAAGACCTCGGCATCGGTGATGCGTGTATTGGTCATGTGTACATGGACTCCGGATGTGCCATTCCAGGTCGGTCCTGCCCCGGAGCCGCCTGCAATGGTCTCGTAGTATCCGAAGCCTTTCACGGCGGCTTTCCCTACTGCGTTTGAACCGAAGCCGAAGGTCAAATTGTTGCAGTCACCCTGAGAAGCTGCACAGGCTTGGAAGGCTTTTAGTACCACATCGGTGACTCGCTGACTCTGCGTCCTGTTAGCGACATGTCAGCGGTATTCATGTAGACAAACATACCGTGAGGACGTTGCCCCCTACAACAGCGGCTTTGTCTGAGGGAGAAAGGAAGGACTTCTTCGGGATCTTGACATGAATTGGCTTCAGACATCCTTGATTCAGGGGGATGTCCTCAGAAACCAGACAACGAAGACAGTAGATGATCGCAGAGTACGTGATGGCCTCTGGTGCGTTGATATTGCCTAGTATCGTGTTAGTTGTGTTGTTCAAATGATGATATAGTAACTCGTACCGTAGACTTCTGGTCCAGTTCCAGTGAAGTCGAACTCAGCTTCTCCTTTCTCACGATCAATCTTGACTTTCAGTTTGATAGGGCTTCCATCATCCATGTAGTCGGTGGCTGATAGATCTTTGCCTTCGAACCGCTTATAGACATTCTTAAGAAGGGCTTTGACGCTCATCTCCGCATTATCTTGGATGCTCTTCATGTAGAACTTCACCACATCCTCGCCGTAGTCCTCAATCAGAGTGCTGATCAAATTGATTCCTTTCTGGTTTGCTGCCACCTGGGCCTTCAAGTCGTTGATGTTGTCCGCAAGACTTCTCGAGCCACTGCATCCAGGATATTGGGCTGGTTCATCGTACAATAGCTCGACCATTCGCTTCTCGTTGAACTTGCCTTCTGATACCAATTTCTCTGACTTGATCGCTGCACCCTCCTGGTACAGTTCTCTCGAGTTTGGAGGCATGGAACCAGGGAGAATCCCCCCAATGTCAGCATGATGGGCTCTCGAGGCAACATAAAACACGATTTTGTCTCCGTTGAAAGCTGGCGTTATCGCGGTAATATCTGGAAGATGAGTGCCACCAAACATCGGGTGATTCGAGACCAAAACATCCCCTCTTTTCAGCTTGCCTTTCCAGATTGCTGCTTGCTTCTTGACACAGGTTGACATGGACCCGAGATGGACAGGCAGGTGAGGAGCTGCTGCAGTTAGCGGTTGCACCAAAGATTCTGTGGCATCAGTATATACCATTTGCGACCAAAGCACCATCCTCGTCAAACAACGCGCATGAGTAATCCAATCGTTCTTTGACATTGGTGCTCACGCTCGTCTTCTGGAGCGCTCGTCCCATTTGCTCCGCGATGGCCATGAAGCGGTGCGCAAAGATGCTCAGCATGATCGGGTCGACTTCTTTAGTGTTGACCTTCACGTCCTTGAACTCACTCTCTCCAATGTTGATGATAACGTGAGTCTTGATAACAAGGGCACTGGCCCCTGGAGTGACAACAATTGTCTGGGTTCCATCTGCGAGTATGGCTGGACCCTTGACCCGGTCTCCGATCTCGAGATCCTCGATCTTGTAGAGGGGTGTGTCGCGTCTTCCCCCTTCGAAGTAAACTTTGCGCTCGCCGTATCGCTTTTCTTCTCTGCTAACGTCTTTCGGCTTGATCTCCTTCAACTGGTCATCCACGGTCTGTTCCAAGCCTTCAAACGTCTTTCCAATGCCACGTACTCGTACATCATCTACGATAATGTCACGGTCAGGCAAAGTGAACCCAAACTCCTGGTCGTGCTGCTTGACAAAGGCATTTCCGAACGCCCAGTCATCGCCGCCATGCTCCTTCTCAGCGACTTCTTTCGAGGGACGGATGATCATGAGCGCTGACTCCGTTCCTCGGTATCGGAGATTGAGGTATTCTTCAAAGACGATATTCTCGACTGAGAAGCCTTGCTCACGGAGTCCAGCCCTTGCCTTCGCTTTAAGATCTTCCACTTTATTTTTCAAATAATCCCGAATCTCTTTATCATCATCGGACCACACCTTTGAATCCGGTTCTTGTCTCTCATCTACGACATCGGCAAGTGCCATGCCGTAAGCCGACAGCACTGAAGAATATCGGTGGATCAAGATCTGAGAGATACCCAATGCTTCAGCAATTGCAACGGCATGCTGCCCTCCAGCGCCTCCGAAAGTAGCAAGTCGGTGCCTCGATGTATCGTGCCCTCGGGCTTCTGTCAGCGAACGGATCGGTCGTGTCATCGTCTCGTTTGCAATTTTGATAAATCCAAATGCGACCTCATCGATGGACATCGCTTTAGACTTGTCATCTCCAGCAACCTCCAAGTTTATGTCATCTGTCAGCTGTTTGAACAACTGCTCACTGGCTTCCGTATCAAGGCCCTCATCTTCATTCTTTCCGAAGATCTTTGGGAAGAAGTCAGGCAGGAGACGTCCAAGGAAGAGATTTGCATCCGTTATCGTCAAGGGACCGCCCTTCCTATAGCACGCGGGTCCAGGATGGGCACTCGCAGACTCAGGGCCCACCACAAAGAGCCCATTCCTGAAGAACAGCCGCGAGCCTCCGCCTGCCGCAACCGTATTGATATCAAGTTGAGGAGACTGAATTGTTACTCCTGCAGTCGTGGTTTCAAAAACATGATCATATCTCCCCTCTCCGTAACGACTGACATCAGTGCTCGTTCCCCCCATGTCAAATCCGATGACAGGAATGTTGGTTTTACGATCGTACGATGTCAAAGCGTAGCCCACGACGCCTCCTGCCGGACCGGATAGAACAGCTCGCAAGCCAGAAAATTTGTCGACATCGACTAGACCACCGTCCGATTGCATGAATTCGCACCTGGCAGCTTTCGCGCCCGCTTGCTTCTTGACAGCTTCTGTGCCAATGCCTCCTGCAAACCCTGCGGCGAATCCGGAGATGTACTTCTTGATTGCCGGGGTAAGATAAGCGTCGGCACAGGCAGACGTTGCACGAGGGACTAGTTTGATCATAGGCATGAGCTGATGACTGAGACTGACATGCTCAAACCCGATGTCCTCGGCAATTTTACCCACGAGGGCCTCGTGGTGAGGGAACGTGTACCCATGCATCAAACAGACTGCTATACTCCTCAAGCCAGAGTCATATACCTCCTTCAACCGGGACCGTATCTCGTCTTCAACTGGCTGTTTAAGAATTCGCACTGCTTCGCCCGAAAGGCCACGGACAAGCTGAGCATCTTTTCCAGCCTCTTCAATCGGCTTGGACTCTGTCTTGGTCCGTTCCGGATCTTCCGCATAGTCTTCTAAAGTCACTCTTTCGTCGATCTCGACAACTCGCTTGTAGAGTACTTCCGGTTTCCGGATGGCGAGATCGAAGATGTTTGGGCGGGATTGATTGCCGATCTCTAAGCAGTCTTTGAAGCCTTTGGTCACTACCAGGGCGATGTCCTCCCCCTTTCGCTCTAATAGTGCATTGGTTGCGACCGTCGTTCCCATTCGTATGCTCTCGATATTGGAGGTATCCAGCGGCTCACCACGAGGGATTTCCTTTCCTGTGAACTTAGACAATAATCTGCGAATCCCTTCCAAGGGTGCATCATCGTAATTGCTTGGATCCACAGATAAGAGCTTCACTACAACATCGTCTTCCATCCTCCCTGTCCCGGGGTTCCCAACACAGTCAGTGAAGGTCCCACCCCGCTGTTTTTCGTCAGTATTTGCTACAAGGCTGGGAAAGTGAGGGCATACGTCAATAGCAATTCTGATCCCCCGTTCAGGCATGTTGCTAGTACTTTGGCCGCAACTCTTGATTCTAGTGTTCTGTGAAAATCATGCACGCTCCATAGACTCGGGGTAAAGACTCAAAGCCCAAAGGATAGGGTTCTAAACGCTGTCGATAGGAGGTTCTGCTTGGGGTTATTACTTGTTATCGGGGTCTAGCGCGAGCTCTCAAGAATTCGGTCAAACCTTGTCAAAGGACAGTTGCAGTCCATGAAACCTTGCAAACCAACGTGTTCCAGCGGTATACAGGTAATTTAACGGGGAGACCTGAAAACCATTCGAGACCTCTGATATTACTGGTTTGGGGAGCCGGATAATCAGTCGCACAGGAATAGATACCTTTGCCGAATTGCGGATCCTTGAGCACCTGAGGACATTCATGGTGGGGTAGTATCGTCAGTGTATGACATAATTCAACTATCATATCGCGCCCTTGCGCCGTCTATCGGAGCTCTTCACAGGTGGCAACCCTTAGAACTCAATATTGATCTTAATACTCGTATTATAGCGAGAATAGCATTACCGTTGGTCTAGCTCGAACCTCCAGCAACGCACAGCAACCTCGCTCATTAAATATTACACGTGACCATGGAAAGGGGAAACACATGTATAGTTTTGGGAGCATCTTTAAGGTTGTCGACGGTCTTGGCGAGGACCTGGACACTCTGGAGAACTGTTGTGGTGATTCCCACTACTGAGGCGGTGATGCTGAGAGGATCCATCCTATTCAAACGAAAATATCAAAAAGAATTGCGAATTGACTATTTGAAACCAGGAGGAGAGAACGGGGAGAGGCAAGAGATCTCTATCTATATTTAGGGGCTGAATGGCTGCACTTCCATTGAGACGATGCAGAGGGGTTGCGGCAAACCATCGCGCGCATCTTGACGCCGCCAGTCCAGCCAGCCTGACGACGATTTTGCTCAATGAACATGCCAATATCAACGGAAAAGAGAATAACAGGTTGTCGCCGAATGTCTTCAGTGTCACAGAGCAACGGCGGTGATAGCCCCTCATGACTAGCGGCCCTTTACCCCACCATCTTGCCATCCATAACACGTCCGGACTCCGGAACCGATGGAGGCCAGAACTTTGCTGGCATCAACCTTGGAAGTATAACTTTTGCCTCCAGTGAGACTACTTCAAGTGAGTAATTCTGCATTAGAACTTGCGATGATGACAGATTAACTGAAAGCATAATTAGAACACAACGATTTACTTCAGAAGATCCTACCCATTGCTGCGGACGCACCGTTTAGCACACGCAAGCGGGAGCACGAACCAACCTGTCTCCCCAGAACCCGTACCGATCTCCTCCACGCCATATACAATTGGGTCAATGGCGAAACCTCACAACGCATCTTCTGGCTGAGTGGTTTGGCTGGCACTGGGAAATCTACAATAGCCCAAACAGTGGCCGCATGGGCAAACCCCGTGGGGCACCATGGGCCAATAATAGGGAACCAACAGACTTCCCCCACGACTTCTTTTCCCCTGCGGGATTTCGACAAGTGGAGACCGTGGTGCGCCTGGCCGCCGTGCGGAACTCGTCCCCGGCTTGCAAATGTGCCAGAGGCACCCATCAGCCAGGCCCAAATCTCGATCCGTGACAAACACTCACGACCGTACAAGAGTGAACGACCAGCTCACCTTTCAGACTTCCAACTTCCAATATGTCGAGCTCAGGTCCGGAGGAGGCCCATCGCTTGCCTTTCACTGTCTTCGCGAAATCGTATGCCATTTCGCCACTCTCCGATGACCGGTCGCTGATCGAGATAGGATGATTCCACTCTACTCAGGCCTGCGTCAAGATTTGCATCGGATCTTCTCGTGAGTACCTGGTGACGGAGGCACTCATCTGCCAACAGTCACCGTACTTCGCCGCCACATTTGGCGGCGATTTTCGGGAGACCCACGAACAGTCGACCACCTTGGCCGAGATCGATGGCGTGGTGTCCGTTCGAAGTTTCGAAATGCTTCTCCAATGGCTATATGTGGGACGTGTGAGCCTAGGGACATTGCCGGCCCAGGACGCCATCAGTTCACTGGTCGAATTCCTCCGACTTGCGGACCACTGTAGCGTCACCGGGATGGAAGGTCGAGTGGTAGATCGTATCAAAACGCTTCTGAACAGTTCGAATATCACGATTTATTCTCGACGACCGAACCCAACTCGAGGACCGAACCCAACACGAAATTCCTCACGTCCGAGCACATCCGTTCCGCCGCAGAGTTACCGAAATCCCATCCATTACGACGGTTGTTCGCCGCAGCAATGGTTGGAGGATATTTTCAATATGACGACTACAAGTTTCGTCAAGAAATTGAAGAATTTCACGACCTGTCCATCGAACTTCTCGACGCCGTGAGAAGGACGCGTAGCACTCTGAAATTCGTTTATCATCGAATCTATGCCGAAGACCCGGTCAGCGGAAAGGACATTGTTATCGGGAGTAAGAACTAAAGAAATGGTACGCACCCATCTGTAGCCTAGTCGTTATCACGGTTCTTGTTCTCCTACCAGCCAAGCAAAAGCTGCTGTGGCATGTATCAATCCCTCGACCTCCCTTTATACCGACTACTTCTACACCAGCCACGACTGTTGTACCTACTTCAGTATCCTTGCCAGCGCCCGCACCAATTCAAATGACTTCTTCTTCTCCTCCCTCTTCATAGTTGTCATTGCCGTCTGTTGCCAGAGCCCTATTTCATCAACAGCCTATCTGGAAACCTCCCGCGTTGGAAGAATTCCTAGCCGATATCGGGCATGACTGTAGCAACATCAACTCATCGATTCACTTTTTGGCCGAGAAGGACAGGAAAACGGCCCGACAGACCTGATTAAAGCATGGAATATGGCCATAAGCACAGAGGTACCCTATGCTTGCTATACTTGGAGATGTGGACGAATTCTACGCGGAAAGGTTTGCTCAAACGATTAAGACGAGGGCCAAGAATAGTTGTATTCCGTGCTAGAACTACTTCCTACAGAAGCTCTTCTGACTGAGCCGGCTGAATGAAGAATTGACGTCACAGATTTGAAATGGCATCCTCTCCACTGCGGTCTTATATCAAGTGCTCGACGAGTCGACGTTCCCTTCCACTGCACATCACTCACGATCCCGAGATCAACATTAAATTCTATCCCAGAAATCCCAGGCGTTTGACCTCTCCAATTTTCCGACGATGCCAAAAGTTCACGGTCTTCGGTGCCACTGGCATCCAAGGAGGCTCAGTGATCGACGCGATCCTCGGCGATGCAACTATCGAAAGAGTACTCCATTCGAGGCGTGACTCGCGACGCTTCCAAGCCTAAGGCGCAGGCACTGGCGAAAAAGGGCGTTGAAATTGTGACGGTAATATGGGCGAAAATCCCGAGGTTGGAAAACTCCGTGGTTATCTCGTTACAGGCGGACATGAACCACAAGGACTCGATTATCTCTGCGATCAAGGGTTCCGATACCGCCTTTCTCGTGACTAACTACTGGGAGACTGGTGATCCTGAAGTTGAGAAAGCCCAAGGGAAGACCGTCGCTGATGCTTCCAAAGAAGTCGGAGTCAAGCATCTCATTTTCTCATCTCTGCTGAACGCGACCCAAATCTCTAGCGGCCGACTCTCACACGCGAAACACTTCGACAGCAAGGCTGAAATCGAAGAACACATCCGCTCCTTGGGGATCCCAGCCACTTTTGTTGTGGCAGGTTACTACATGTCCAACTACCTGCAGATGCTGCGGAAGCGCGACGACGGCTCCTACAGCCTTGCATATCCAGTCAGCAAGGAGGCAAAGTTCCCCCTTGTCGAAACGGTCCAGGATATGGGTGAGCATTCCTATATACATTTCCGCAGAGCTGAAACACTGACACGTCTTAGGTAAATTTGTGAAGCCCGCGTTGAAGAAGCCAGACGCATTCAACGGCAAACGGATCTTTGCAGCCACCGACTACTATCCGGTGACACAGATCCTCGCTGACTTTGAAGAGGTAACCTGAAAGAAGATCCAGTTCACTCAAGTTACCGCGGATCAGTATAAGAGCTTCCTACCGGACTCGATGGCCCAGGAGATGCTAGAGAACCACTTGCTGATTGAGGAGCCAGGACTCTTCGACGGAATTTCCTTACAGGAGAGCCTAGATGCTTTGGAGGATAAACCTACAACTTGGAAGGAGTTTGTGAAGAACGCTAGGGTTTGATAGATAGTATGGAGACTTGGAATCGGAACGATCCGACAGCCCACCATGTACACTGACGCAGCCGCTGTGCATGCGTTACGAAGAAATCCGTATTCGAGCGGCAAAGAGAAGAGGCGGAGGCAAAACGCGCACGGGATGCCGCAGAAACCAAGGCCGCATACGACAAAGAACAGAAATGCATCCCTGTGAAACTCCGCATTGCCAGAACACCGCGCTTTTACGCGACGGGCTCCAGCTTCACGGCCGTGCGGCCGCGGATCTCCAGCTCAAAGCTGGCGTGGCCCTCCTCGTCGGCGGTCGCGGTCTGCTTTCCCAGCGAGTACGTGGCGCCGGGGCGGAGCTGCGTGAAGCCGAGCTGGAAGCGACCCGGGGCCTTGCCGTCGTAGAGGACCAGGTCGACGGACTCGCCGTCCACGGAGTACGCCTTGGCGACTAGGACGTCGGGGAACGTAACCTCCTCGAGGATAGGGCCGCTGCGGGTGATCTCCGGAATACCCTTGCCGACGAGGTTGGACCAATCCTGGAAACCGGACATGCGAGCGCGGAGGGTGGAACCGTGGAGGATGGTGGACAGACCCTGGTTCTTGCGGGAGCCGCTCTTGGTCTCCTTGACGGGATGGTACTCCTCATCGACCTGCTTGACTAGATCGTGGGCGATCTGCGCGTCACCGAACTCGGCGGCCACGGCGGCAAGGTTGGCGCGGATGGCTCCGACACCCTCCTTGTAGTTGCCGGGGTCGAGTTTGTCCGCACCGATGAGGCCGACGAGCTCCAGCTTGCCGTCCTTGTTGTACTTGAGGTTCTCACGCTTGATGAAGGCCCAGTTGCGGTGAGCGATGGCGGGGATGTACGGCGAGCCCTGCATACACACGCTGGCGTCGGAGATGGTGCCGGCGAGGCCGGGGATGGTGAAGCCGGTCAGCTCGCTGCGGATGGGGAGGATGGTGCCGTCGGCGTTGCTGAACTCGCGCTCGAGAGCCGACTCGAACCGTTCCCGAATACGATCGGCGAACTTGTTGCCGAGAACGCGGTCGGAGGCCTGGAGACCGATAACGCCGATGAGGTTGCAGATGGCGTAGACCCAGTTGGGCTCGCAGGGGTATAGGGTGTACGGGTTCTGGTCCATGTTGAAGAAGACGAGCTCGGCGACGCTCTGGATGTCGTACTTGTAGACGTCGTTGTGGGTGACCTCGAACGCGAGGCTGCCGGGCTTGGTGTAGCGGTTGTCGCCCGTGTTGGCTTGGTAGAGAGCGCACGACAAAAGGATATATCCGGACACCATCTGCGAGGAGGTTAGCCGGGTCATTTATCATCTCAGGGGACGCACGATGTTGTCCTTGCGGATGGGGTCGATGTCCATGGTCTTGAACTTGCCCTGCGATTGTTAGCGTGGACGTGGTGATTACGGCGCGATGCTTACGAAGAGGCTCTCCCACTGCCAGAAGTTCATGACCTTCTTGGTCAGGGACTTCTCGATGAGGTTCCGCTGTGCCAGGGACAGGTAGCCGTGGAAGTTGGGGGCGTAGATGGACTGATAGAGGGCCAGATCCCAGCCACCACCGTACAACTGGTAGCGGATGGCGGAGGTCTGGAACTGATCAATCACATCATGGTAGGACCAGTCGTCCCGAGGAGCAAGGCCCATCTCCAGCGTCCACTGCAGGAATCGCAGAGTGTCGAGGTCCATCTCCCGAGTCCCGGGAGCGGCCTGGGAAGACACACCCTGCTGCTGAATCTCCTGGACGGTCGAGATCAGGTACTCGTTCCGCTTCTTGCCTCGCTCGCGGGCCTCGTTGTTGGCGTTCAGGGTGCGGAAGGTGATGACCGAGATGCCGACCGCCACGATGGTCACCCAGAGGGGTGCCGCCAGCTCCAGCACGGGCTTGCCAGCCATGGCGGCGGCGAGGAGGATGTCTCCCAGGTACAGAGCCAGCGGCAGACTGACGCCGCCGGACGCGAACCACGCGAAGAGGAGGAGCGGGAGCAGCGCGGTGGACACGATGAAGGCGAGGACGGACCAGATCGTTCCGACAGCGATGAAACCGGCGCCGGGGAAGAGGACGCCGAGCGCCGCCGCGCGCATGCGAGGGTTCTCCGAATTGTAGAAGGTCAGAAGACCCAGGCCCGCCACCAGGGCGTACTGGTAGATGGTGCGGCGCTGGTAGTACCATTTGGTCACACCGGTGCCGGCATCGCGGGGGATGAGGACATCTGTGGATGTGAGTGCGTGGGATGTTGAAGCCGGAGATATCCTTACCCTTCCAGTCGAAGGTGCCCGTCAAGGCTCGCGCTCCGAGCTGCTTCTCGCTCTTCACCGTGGTGGTGGTCTGAGGATGTCAGTGGCTGTTCCCCGACATTGGTGACAATGATCTACCGTGATAATAGCCATCTCCAAATTCGCACGCTCCTATCAAAGGATGTCTCGATGATGTGACGTTCCTAGCACGAACCTCATTCTCTGGATCGATGGGAACAACGTCCCCAACAGCGGTGGACCGCTCCACCTAAATACGAACCCATCTCAACATGATGACTCGCGCCATCGACATCCCCGCACTGCATAGCCGTCTCAAGATGGCTCGCGCAGCGTTGGACTTGAGTATTTTCACTCCATCCGTCCGTGAAGGCGATGTTCCAGGTCCACTTCCACCACGGCTCCACTGCGGGGAAAAGGTTTCCCTCACGCGTCAGGGCGCGCATGCCAATGGGCGCGTGCGGATGGGCACCTGCGCCCCGCTATTCCGATAGCCGGTGACAGTGAATTTGTCGTCTCATCAGCAGTCGAGTAGGATTTTATGACATGGTGCTGGTTATCAACATTTTGTCGTGATTTAGCCGTCACCTTCAACATGGTTGCCCCAGCCTTAATCGTTCCAGGAAGTCCGACCACCAGCCGGAGGCGCTTCCATCGTCATGGCTTGCTGCGTCTTCATGGCGTATGCCATGAATCGGTTCATTCAATTGTGCGATGATCTGGATATCAAGGTATTCGATATCAAATACAATGTCTTTGATCGGGGTTATTTCGACGGGTCGGAGGACCAGGAGATGGAGTCGTCGTCGAGCATAAAAGTGCACATCCAGGGCATGACCTGCGTGTCGTGTGCGCAAGATATTGAAAGCTCATTGCACAAGACTCCGGGCATTCTGCGATGTTCGGTGTCGTACCCGTTGAGCCGCGCGTCCATTTTCTGCGATTCGGAACAAATCACCGCGCCCGCCGTTCGCAAGACGATTGAAGAGCTGGGATACGACACGCTCGACGGGCAGGGGACACCGGAGCAGCATATTCAGCTGCTGGAACGGACGGAGGAGCTGCGGATGCTGCGCGGGAGGTTCATGTCGTCGCTGTTCGTGTCGTCAGTCGTTGCGACCGTCGAAGCCATGGCATGGTCGGCGCGACAGTACGACGGCGTCCAGTCGTTCGCCACGCTCCTCCTCTTGGGGTTGACGGCATGGGTGCTGTTCAAGGACGCCGCTTGGATTCATAAGAGCGCGTGGCCTCGTGGTCGGCTGCGTCTGGGGAGCATGGACGCCTTGATCAGTCTTTCGCTCCTGTTAGGATTCGCCCTGTTGATCTTGAAGTTGTTCGGTCTGGGTGGAAGCTCCCGGTTCACGTCGACCTGTTTCCTGGCTGTCGTCGTGACTGGTGGGCGTCTGGTGCACGTCATTCTTCGCCGACGGAGTCAGTCGTCGTTGACGTCGCTCTTCCGACTGCAGGCGGAGGATTCGTTGGTGTGGTTGGAAGAATCTCGGGTTCGTCGTCTCGTGTTTGTAAGGGCTTGGCTGACATCGACTAGGAATATGTGCCGGCGGTCCTTTTGCAACAGGGTGATCGAGTTCGGATTCGCCCGGGGTCGCTGGTTGCGTGTGACTGTTACATCATCGATGGAGAATCGCTGCTGGACGAGTCATCGGTCACCGGGGAGTCCGCCCGGATCGTGAAGAAGCCGGGCGATTTCTTGCTGTCAGGTACCAGGAACCTGTCGAGCCCGCTGACCGCCATCGTCTACAAGAAACAGACGGATTCATTCCTGATGTCGCTGGTGAATGGCATCACCACGGCTATCGACTACAAGACTGAAAGCGAGGATGGGATCGGATGGTTTTTGTCCGTCTTCGTCAAGACGGTCCTCTTCATCGCGGCCCTTCCGATGGCGTCCCTCCTCCTCCACCCCTTAGATCTCTCCATGGACCAGATTGTCTACGCCATGGAGCGGTCGGCGGCCATTCTTGCGTCGGCATGCCCGTGTGGTTTGGGTTTGGCGGTTCCCTCGGCCGTCATGATCGGAATCGGTAAGCACTTCCTCACAGCCATTTCGTCGCTAACGCTCCTAGACGCCGGCTGGCGAAACGGCGTCATCATCTCTCGTGGCGCACGAACCATGGCGGCATTGGCGGGCATCACCCATGTGGTCCTCGACAAGACCGGGACCCTGACAACCGGTGAAGTGCGGGTCTCCTCCGTCTACTTCCAACCGAACCGTCGATGGACCAACCACCAAGTGTATCGAATGCTCGCCGCGGCCGAGGCTCCTCATGCTCAGCGACATCCCATCGCGAAGGCCGTCTTCCAATATTCCCTGCTGCAGCTGAACATGGAAGAGCGAACTTTTAGCGGGAGGGCCGCCAACGGGTCCGTCGTGAGTTCGGGGATTCAGTGTCGGATGGAGGTCGACGGGGAGGAGGTTAATGTGCATGTTGGGAGTGAGGCGTTCTTGCAGGAGCATGGCATCGCGATGGACGCGGACATTCCATCATCGGAACGGACAACGGCGGTCTACTTTGCCATCAACTCGGAGTTTGGTGGATTCATGGCGCTGCAGGTATGTCGTTGACGAGCTTTGGATGGCTGAGCTGACCAAGCAGGACACTGTTCGCGACGAAGCATTGAGTGTGATTGCCGAGATGAAGAACCGTGGATATCATGTGTTGATTGTATGTTCTCCATCTCGCAGCATTATCACCCCTGACTTGACTACAGCTCACCGGCGACGTCGACGAGGAAGCCCAACGGGTGTCCAAGGAACTCGACATTCCCATCCTCGGTGCCCGATCCGCTCCCCACCAAAAAGAAGCTAGCGTCCGCGACCTGCAATCCAAAGGGCACAAAGTGGTCATGGTCGGCGACGGCATCAACGATACGCTGGCACAGGCCGCCGCCGATGCGGGGGTGTTGTTGGCGTCCAGCTGGGCGAGTAACGCCGGTGCTGCGGACGCCATGATCGTGTCGCCGGATCTCAACGCGCTGCCCAAGCTGCTTTCAATTTCGAAGAAGGTCACCGCCCAAGCGAAGTTCAACGTGTGGTATTCCATGGCGTACAACGTGGTGGCCCTCGCACTGGCATCGGGGCTTCTACATCCATTTGACATTGTCATTACGCCGTAAGTTCTCGCAACCATGCAGCCAGTTCCAATCGCTGACCATGGACAGCTCAACGGCGGGCACGTTGATGTCGTTTTCGAGCGTTTCGGTCCTGGCCATGGGCAGTCTGCTCTGGAAACGGCTGGAGTGATACTCGTGAAGAGTCTCAAGCAGTATCCTTGAAGCGGCAAGGCCGATCAGCACATTGCGGCTTCCACTGCTGGTGTGTCGCTCTTGCCAAACCATGCAGAAGCTGGCGTGGAGGCCAAAATGTTGTCCAAAGTGATGGACGAGCCGCGGCTGTATCACTCCAGGCTGGTGTGTCTATGTACGAGTAGTCGGGGTTCAGCAACGGGGTTCATTACGATTATACCAATGCTACGATTAGAATCATGAGAACAAACCCTCTTAAACTAGAGTTGTTTCCCGCTGATGACTGCAATCGTGAACTTCGTATCCGGCGTCGACTCTCTCACCCATCCTGTGCGCGATCATGGCGAGACCTCGCCGACCAACACCCATGACGACCTTGGAAGTGCTATCCCCTGATGTCATGCACCACGTTCCTTGCCTTAAGGTCCTCGGCTACCGGACATGGCCAACGAGGGGCCGTGGTTAACCATGAATGCATAAGATGCCGGCGCCGTCCAGATCAAGGCCATCTCATCATGCGGCGGACACGCACCGAAGGAGGCCTGGCCAGTTGATCTGCGCGGCCCACGATGCTGACGCGTGAATGGACAAGGAATTGAGGTGTCGGAACCGCCAGCGCTACTCCAATGAATGCGCCGCCCATGCACCCTTCCTGTCAGGCACCAGCAGGACGGGCCGATCTGAATCCATCTCCAACTTGGCCCGCGTCGACCAAATCATCGTGGCGTAATCCAGATCCTAACCCTTCCCTTGCATCAAGTATCCAGTCTTCTCTCGCAAATAGCGATCCGAAGCAAACGGGAACACCCGCGATTTGAACAATGGGCTCTCATCAATAGAAGCTCTGACGTCTTTGGCACCCCAGTTTCGAGATTTGCGCACAACCAGTTCCGACAGGCGGAAGTCAGAAACCAGGCGCCATGCTGCAGGGTTGGTCCATTGCCCATGCAATCGTTCGAGGAAGAAGGTGTATGGCCATCGCCAGGCGTATTGAATCAACGGCGAGTCGATGAGAAGGGAGAAGGTCCGCCGAATGATGATGGAGGTGGTTGACGATTGCGCGTCCGGTACCCACTCTCGTCCAAGCAAAATGGCCCGGTACAGAGGGAAGACGTAGACGACACGTCCGATGAGCAGTGCGAGGACGGTCAGATTGATGAGCACCGCTGTGAAGAAGATGATCTTTTTGTGTGGCACCGGATGGCGGTCAACGTGGAGGAGGTAGACCTGATTGGCGTCCAGGTCCTGTAAGATTGGCCTGAATTTTGACGCGTCTTTCTTGACTTTCTCCATGCTCTTCGATTGATTGAATCGAATGGACGCGGGGGTTTCGCAGGAAGTTGAGTAGATCCAGGAAAGTGTGCCATCATTTCAGATGCGTCTGATGGCCGAGCAGCAGATGTCCCAAACTGCAATCCTGACAGAAAACCATTCCCAGTTATCAAGTCCAATCGTCACTAGTTCCGTCGGGATATTACTTACCATTTCATATTTGGTTAGAACCCATCATCTGCTGCCGGAGTTATAGGTGTAGAGCTCCCGCTCACGACGGATAAGAATATAGACGTCGGCATGATACTTCTCTCGGAGTTTTTCACCTCGCAGAAGGAATCCATTTACACTTTTTTTAAAGTTGTCGTTTGTCCTATCGCGCTTTGGTTTTGCCGCTTTCTCAATGGATCGGGCCATACCGACCATCAATTTGACTCCGTAATTCTTGCAGAACTCACAAAAAGGGGGTGTGATCAGGACGATTCGTAAGTATATCTGTCCCCAAGGTGAAGAGGGACTGATTTGAGGGGGGATGGGAAAGGTGCTAATTTTAGGAAGTGGTCGGCGCCTGCTTTGGGTTCCCGAAATCTGGGAACCCAATTTTGGGACCCTTTGGGACGGGTTCACCGGGAAACAGGATGCAAAAGATACATCGTCGACGTCATTTCTAAAGATACGAGAACGGCACCAGAAATGGGTCCTGGTGCTAAAGTGGCTGACTGATGTACTAGGACACCTGCGGCAGTATGACACTTGCTGTTCAAGGACACCTGCTGAACAAAGATATCCCTAGGGCACATCTCCCATGACACCCTGACGTCTAAGGGATCTCGCACTAGGAACGCGGATGTCCTGAGAACCACACGAGCCTATTGGTATGCCAACAATGGCTTGCTAAGAGTAGATCTTTGCAGAGTTCTCCAGCAGTCGACCACTAAGCCGTGAAAATAACCGCCAAAGACATAGAGGCTCACGTCGTTGAGGTCATGCTACATCCTTTTCATAATCCAGTCTCTTGGTGGCCTTGGCATACGCAATGGTTGGTGCCACGAGCCCGTGTCTGGCTTCCACTTTTCTTTGGGTCCATATACCAGTCTGCCTGTCCTGTCTTTGTAGTCGTCCCACCCGTCCAGAAGGGCTTGCTTCGATCAACCAAGATCATGCTCCTGATATAAGGCCACTCCTGCAAAGGGTTCGTTGGAAGAATCGGAAACCATTCCGGGTGCTATATCGGAGATGAGCCGATTCGACCCGAGCTGTCTAGAAAGACGCTTGGTTCTGATATAATAATCGCGCTGAACTCCTTCAGTTTTCCGTCATTAAGAACGCTCCAGAATGTTTCCTTTCTCCTTTGGATATTGAGCTGCAGCACGGCGAACTGCCTACTTATGGGTTGGGTATAACCGTCTTAGCTGTTCACGGTATACCGGGCATCCTCTGTCGTCTGCCCTGTGGGGGCCCCGGCATGAGACGCATCGTGGGCTGTCCGCAATACACATCGGGTGGCCTTCCTGCGAGCAGTTTAGGCATCATTGAGCTTTCTGACACCGGTATGCTTGGTGTCCATACTCCTGACACATTTGAAACAGCGCGTAACCCTCGGTCTGTATTCGTATCGGATCGTGAATCCGGCTTCGGCAAAGATAATCATGATTTTCTCGCTGATGAGCCGTTCGGCCTCCTCTTTATATTTGACATACACCACGATGGAGCAGTAAAGCTTATGTGCTGCTGGTTTCCCGAGTGTAGCGATTCTCATGATCGTCACTTGGTTTTCTTTACTGAGTTCTTGTTCCAAGCCGTCCTTGAGGGCCGTTCGCATTTTATTCATGATTTTGAGCTTGTCCACCCTGTCCGCCTTTACCGGGTACTATTGCTCTCCTCGTAATCGCCCGCCTTCGAAATGACTATCGAGCCATTGGGGGTTTCCACGGATGGGTTCTCCGTCTTGCTCATTCCGTGCTACCACACGGACGCGGTGAAGGTCCCTATTGGTTTTGATAATCGCTACGGGCTGTACATCCTTGGTCACCTGGTATGCATGCAAGGCTGTTGTCATCCGCTCCTTGATCTTCGATGCCTCCGTGGGGACCGGGCCATAGCAATGAGATAGATCGATTTCACTCCGGGTAGCTAACTTGGATTTGCGATTCTCTGCTACGACGCTGAGCTGTTCGGCGATATAGATGATCGTCCCGTGAATAACGAGGACTATGACCGAGCACCAGTCGAAGGCGGTGACGATGATGTTAGGCTCGATTTCTGGCCTCTCTGCTCAGAAAGGTCGATGATGGTTTCCTGAAGCTTGCGTATTTCATTCTGGAGGGATTTGTTCTCTGCTTGCATATAAGGATCGGGTCAAGGACTCGGAGTGAACAATATCTGATCAGAGCGATAAGTAGTTGAACCATGAGAATTCCTGTCGTAGAGCACATACTCTGTCCACTTCCTCCACGCCTTGCGAACTCCTTGTTCGGTCGCGTCTGTGATGGGGCGCAACGCTAGGGTCAGGTCGTCGGCATAGAGCGATTCGTAGTACGCGGAATCTCGCGAAGTATGCTTTTTGGGGCGAGAGCGTGTCCTGTTTCCCGTCACCATTATGAGGGTCTCGAGGATTGATGTAGAGCGGAGGGAGATCCAACTAAGGCAGTCGGGTATAGACAAGGGAGAGGAGCATAGCGACGGGGCGTAGCGAAATGATCTGTCGAGCGACGGGCGTGGGGAATTATCAAAAGTGATCTGAATGATGGTGTAATGAGAATCAAGGCAAACGTGTCCGTAGAGAGCGTAGAGCCGCCCTTATACTTGAGATTGCTTTGTGCTGACCCATACAGCAATGGGATAAGCAGCATTTATGCTCAACAATTAGTCTTTGATAAGTGTTGGATGTTGTACCAGAAGGTCAACCCAACACGTACGAGATCGATGTGGAGTAAGGTAGATGAGGGTGGACGTATGCGCCAGCGAAGATGTTCTCATCATCCCCGGCGAGGATATAGGATAATCCCATCCCGGACTCACTTGAGAGACATTCAGGCAGACGCTCATTGTCGTCTTTTTCTAATCTCTTCAAGCCAGCTGTCAACCCCGGATTTAGGGACGACATGAAGAGTTAGCATCCCATCCTTCAACACCACTTTTCCGCCAGCAAGCACCGATTCCAACTTCACTTTCCTCCCCAACTTCAGCATGCTCCCTTTGGCACTCTCCGCATAACACTCAGTGGCTTCGGGGGCGTACTCTGCGTTGGTATCCCAGAACGGCCGCTCTTCAAGCACAGTACCTATAACTTCACCGATCTTGGTGGCTTCTGACACTTGTTTCAAAAAGTCCGACTGCGCTGCTAATGGGTAGAGCACAAGCAATGGAAGGCTTAGCTCGCTTTTCGGGTCGTTGGGGTCGTCTAGACGGATCTCTGCATCCTCAAGGTCCGGTCGTCCGTGTCTTTGCCCCGTATCCGCTATGACCCAGCCTCTTGAAGTGAGAGCAGCTTTGAGAATAGCGGTTTTGGTGAACTTCTTCTGCTGCTGTTGGATTTTCTTCTGCCCCTTGTCATACATCTGTTTCTCGCGTGCATGAAGCTTCTCGGACAGGGCTACCAGGTCTCTGTCGCTCGGATGTACCTTCAGCCCTTTATTCGCCGCCTCCTTGGAGCTCTTTAAATGATCTAGGGGAGTAGCCGAAGGACCGTTCGGGTCGGAAAGATGGTAGTGCGCCAATGCAACCCGATAATAGCCTTTGAGACTGGATGGGTCAAGTACAAGGGCTTGTCTAGCATCCAATGAGGCCGATCGGAAGTTCTGCAACTTCAGATTGCATAAGGACCGGTTCAATAAACAAGCTAGTAAATGTGCATGTTCGACCTTCTTCTCCTCTTCAGGTGATAGTACCGGCTCCCCGTTTTCAAGACGAGGAAGCTCGATCTCTGCTTCTTCTACCTCCTCCTCCTGTGGTGCGGAATTGCCCTTTTCATCACTCTTCTGGCCATCTTCACTCGTACCATTTATCAGGTGGTCAATGGCCTTGGTGTAGAATTCCGCAGCATTCCGCCAGTGGCCCGTCTTGAAGCAATCATTGCCTTGTTCCCGGAAGTTGGCCGCGACTTCGGCACGAGTGCCCTCGTAGGCCATAGCCTGGAGAGCTTCGACAAATTCATTGGGTTCATTGGGTAGGGATTTCATGAACATAGGATGGGACTGAAGGTCTTTGAGCTGCTCGTCGATGGACTTCTCTCCAGCGTCCGCCAGAAGCGGTGGAAGGGCGGGAACGAAGGCATCGCGGTCAACATCCTTGGTATTTGGACTCTTTGAGGATTGCTCAGGACTTTCGGAAGAAGATAATTCTGCTTTCACATCCCCTTGAGCTGCACGCTCAGCGGCCTCATCGATTCTCAGTGATACCGCAGCAACAGGCAATGTTTCCTCTGATGATGTCATTGCGCCGGTCGGTATGGGTTAGGCGGGAAGATAAAACGAAATAGAAGAGAATTAAGTCTTCCAGGACTACTGCGTATGCATAAAATCATGCGGCTAACAAATTCCAATCTTGCGTGTTCGTATTCACAGACTCTGATGTGTTCCAGCCGAAATCAGATGGGGACTGGGGAGGATGAAAAATTCTTATCGATAAGGGATTTCAACATCTCCAAAACCCCAGCTACAGGGCCTGCGACCGCCAACGGGAGGCATCAGGCATGCGATGTGTTAAAAAGTCAATCAAGGAGACGGAATTATTCGGAATTATTCTACTTGTTCAGCTAATGATGAACTCCCACACCTTAAAGCCACTCTGATAAGTGAAACTACCCGTATGAAGTCGAAGAGGCTGGCGATCACAAGCACAAGCCTGAACTGCCGAACATGTTATTTGCATGGGAAAGCCAAATATAAGTCTCAATCAACTGTCATATATCCTAATGCTCCCTTCTATTCGCTTGCCCTATCCGACATCCGTTGGGACCTGCAGAGCACTGTGCAATGTGCATCATTCTATCAGACCGGTCCCGACTCCCGTCCATATGCTCCCAGGCCAGCCTACGATCCGATATATCGAATGCACTCGACCCCTTGACCAAGGTCTTGAGCTTCTGCACAATGGCATTATTTCCAAATGTACTACTATGTATGGATCTTGGTCACAGTGTTAGCAAACAACGCAGTCAAACAGGTTGAATTCGCGGGTGGACGATGTCGAGTGTCGACACCGGAATGTTAGCAACTCAACAAAGTTCTGTTCATCACGCCTCTCCATCGCGAAGTCCAGTCTGTTGCTCGCGTCCTCTACGGCTCTCCGCTGAGCCTCTCCAGGGTCGGGTTTAGAGTCTTTAGATCTCTGAGACTTCGTTTAAATCCCTGGCCTGGTCGAATTTGAAAACGAAGCCTGGCAATCACGTTCTGATCACATCTAACCTGCATATGCATTGTGACGATCTGTTTTGCTTATTTCCTTTGGCCGTGTCCGCTACATGGGGTTTCAACTAACCCCTCCTATAATTGAGTCCTGTTAGGCCATGGTTCTCACTGAGAGTGTGCGATCACTGTATCCCATGCGGACAGGCTCACGTGTGATCCGTTGACCAGTTATGGTGGGCGCCGGGGGGTGATATCGGGAATGGCAGGTCGTGGGCAGGCCGATGTGATGCCACTCCCATCACCATCACTTCCTCACTTCATCGGTCCTCACTCCTCATTCGGCATTCCTTATACATTCCCGATACCACGAGCGCCATTCCAACGAACACGACCGTTAGCAACTTACGTAGTACTACGTTACTATGTAGTATCCAGCTTCCAGGATGCGAAGCAACGCCATGTTGGCACCGGCGCAGTGGCAGCTTGTGCCGGAAGATGGCGAGTTACCCGCGCTCTCCAAGAATGGCAGCCACCAACCGATGGTTTGTAACCATTGGATATCTCTTGACTCGAGCATATAGTTGGGCCCGCCCGCAAACAATGCTTCGAAATCTCATCCTCTACGGAATATTTCGAAAAGCCAGGGACTGGATGGGATTCTTCCTCCGATTTGCACACTATTTCTCGTCTCAACGAGTCTTATAAGTTGAGAGAAATATCTCTAAATTGCAAAGCAACGAGTGGCTCCCCTGCGTTGACTTGTGGCAGCTGGTGAAACTTCGAGCCGGATCGAGTGATCACCCTGATTCCCCTTCAACCTTGCGACGAATTTGGTGGCGCCTAGACTGGAGAGCTCGGACGACTCGGGCTGTTGCTCCCCTTGTCCCCTAAGGCAGCCCTTGTCATAAGTAACCAAAGTCGTTAGGCCTTAGCACGGTCTCGAAATTGATCATCAATCGGGAAAGGATATTCATGCAATATCCCTTAACGAACGGTCCCCTGACTGGGATGGAAGGCTTCAGTACCTCAAAAAAATCAAGGGGGTTTTGTCCTCGGATTCTGGATTGCGTCTATTTTCGAATATCAGTATCTGGTAATATAACTACATGTCAGAGGTTGAACGACAATCACGGTTGGAACGGCGCACCACACTGATGAGAAACAGTGAAACACGCTGCTCTTCATGACTGTCTGACGGCTGAAAGGGACGAAGACAATGACTGGAGCGGCTTGTGCTGTTGAAACTTGAAACACATCAAAGATCCAATAACGCGGCTGTGGTTCGTGACGGTGTCAAGTGATTAGTGGCCCCAAGGCGTTGGATCGGTATTGGTATTATGGAGCCAGCGGGGCACTCATTCATTTCCTTTTGACGGCTTGACGGCCGATTTGCCAATTTTCGATCTGGTGCTCCATGTCATTATCCGGCCCCTCACCCAACTGGGCACTTTGCTGCAGGCGTGCTGCCTGCCGTATCTGGCAGCCTGTCGAGTACTTGAGTGTCCACGAAGATAGACAGGGGCAAATCCCAGCAACCAGAGCCAGGCAACGTGCAGGACTCAGGAGCCCATGCCCTGCCGGTGTGGCGCCTCCGGTTCCCACTGTGTATCCCTCCCCCCTGTTTCGTTGGATTGGAGGGAAAATGCGCCGACGCGGGATGCGCTGCTCGACGTATCGGGGTCCCGGGGAGGACGAGCACTCTGGACGCGAGCTGCTAGGTGCTAGACTTCAGGATTTGAGGACTTTCGAGGAGGGACAGCGCCCAGGAAGAATGTTAGCTATGGGGAGATCGTGCATAACGCTAGACCGACCGAGTCAAGGATCGATCATCCAAAGACGTCGTTCATGAACGAGCGCGAATCTCTTCTCCTTCTCATCCGTGGTCTTTCTTGTCGATAGAGTCCAATTGCTGGTCGACACTTTCGCGATCCTTTCATTGTTTTTCAAGGCGCTGTCACGTTTGGCTACCAACGACGGGTTCACTTTCGATCGGTCCCACGCTTTTTCCATTTCCTTTTCGGGGTCGGACAGCAGCCGTTGTGGAAACCAGGGTCCTAGACGGCATATTGATCCAGCCAGCTTTGGAGCGCTTCTCGAAGTAATCCAGAACCCCAGAGTCGTGTTATTGATACAACCAAGGTGTGCGCAGCTTTCTTTTCGCATATTATGATGTGATGCCCTTAACTTCGTCCAAATCGAAGAATTGTCGCGTTAGATGTTGCGAAGCGGATCAGAATTCCGCTTATCACCGCATGCCCTCTTCATTTGCTTCAGAATACCTACTTCACCGCTTTCCAAAAATTAACGAGATGTACCTGGAAGCTGACTTGGCCGTGCCTATTGTTACAGGAAGCGGAAGCTATTATCGTTCCATCGTTCCCTCTCGAACCCTAAAAAAAGTTTCTTTCGACCATATACTTCGATATTTCGGCACGCGTCCAAGTGTCTAATACTGAGACCTTTGGATGTTGAGGGACCTCATTCCAAGCTCTACCCGGTTGTAGTGATATTGCAGCATGCTTGGTGAGAAATCATCATTGCGAATGTTAGTTGGTTCCTCAGTACCACCCCCTCGCGTACATTTGGAGCATGCGGTTGGAAATCGTCACATCAGGGCTTGGGAAGGGCTCAAGTCGGATTTGTCCCTCCTTGAAAGTACAATGCTAACCGTTCGAGACAATAGTTAGGCGATGTGCAAATCAACCGGGCGCTAATGAATGCGCACCATCCATTTTGATTGCAGAAGTTTGTAACGTTTAAGCCTGCCAAGCAGCATCAAATGTCTGTAAGCGGGTCTTCAAGAGGAAGAACTACTTCACACTCTTACGAATACGAAAGAGAAGGGATATCTAGAGATACTCCAATGATCTCCTCTCATGGGCCTGGGGCACCCTCGTCCCCTCCGTTACAGCCATCCAACTCAACGGAAGGCGGCTACCCCACGATTAACGAGTCAATATCGATTCTGGACCCACGGAGGTTCACTCCAACGTTACATGCGTCGCTTGTGTCCGAGATCCTTTCTCTCCGCCGAGATGTCGATGCACGGGATGCTCTCATTACCGATCTCGAAGTTACCTTATCGGATTCCAAGTCGGACAATGAACAATTGAGTCAGCGACTGAGCTCTCAAGGCCGGGATCACCGCAACGTCAAACGCCAGCTTCAACAAATCGAACAGAGTACCGTATCTGCTCTAGAAGAACTCGTGAAGGAACGCGACGAGCTCAAAGATACCAACCGCGATTTAAAATCGAAGCTCGAGGATTCGAACAAGCGCTACAAGGACCGCGAGGATGACCTTCAACGAGAGTTTGCAGAGCTGCAGCGTGAAAGGAGCGGATGGACCGGCGAGCAGAAGCGTCTTGAACGACGTGCTCATGTGGCTGAAGGTAGGCTGCGGAGCGTCCTTGACGAGCTTGTTGCACATGCTGGTAACGGTGATGTTAACGTCAACGGACGCCACGCCGACTCGGAGGACGAGGACACCCGAGATTCCGGCCTCGGAAACGAAAGCGATGGCATGAGTGTGAAAAGCCAGAGTCCTAGTAAGAAGAGACAGAGAAAGCACTCCCGGAACATGTCATCTGCCAGCCAGCGAAGTCTGAGGGCCGCATTAAATCGGTTCTCGACAACTTCCAACGCCTCAATGAAACTCGCCAACGGTCTCAGTTTAGCCGACGAGCTGAACCTGGACAACTTCGACGAGGAAGACGAAGATTATGCCGATCTCGACCTTGAAGAGGATGAAGATGAGTTCACAGAATTGGAGTTGCGGGAGCTCCGCGCTAAGAGGGCCAGAGAGAGCAGAATGAGTAGTATGATGGGCTGGGTCGACGAGAAGGCAAAAAGAATATTAGGCATTACTGGCGAAATGCCTTCGAGGAACTCGATGATATCTCCGATTGGACACATGACGCAAGAGGCCCAACATCATGACAATGCCCCGCATGAATCGAATGGTGACACCGCATTGCCGAAGGACATGGTTCTTCCAGCGCTGCGGGACGACGAGCGAGGCTTTTCAATCGACACAGGGGGCTCTGAGCATCCTATCGAGTCAATAGAAGAGGTTTCTGGAGAAGAAGGCGATAGCGTGCGTAGACATACAAAACGCGATAGTCGGGTCCTTAAAGAAGTCGCTCGGTTTGAGACGATGGTACGATCAACTCCAAGCCCGACATTTACCATCGAGAGCGTACGCCCCAAACGATCAGTCCACGAGAAGCGCGAGTCGGCAAGACTAGACCTCCTCAGAAATGTGGACGATTCGACATCCATGCAGAAGACCACCGATTCCGAGCAAGAACGCTTGGAGGGCGAAATGAAGCCCGTTGACGTTGATGGTGTTGACGATGGTGTTGACGATGGCGTCTGCAGGACCTGCGGGCTGCCGTGCAACCGACCACCAGTCTTTGAAGCACCTCCTGTGGAAGAGCCACAACAAGAGCTTCAGAACGTTCCAGCACCGGCAACAAATTATGTTGAAGCCAGCACTCAATTCTCCCCTCCACCATCTCCCAAAATCGGATGGATAGACGAAGAAAAGTCCACAGCAACCGATATCCTGGAACTCGGCATGGTGGCGGATGGTGAGCCCACTAAGGCGGTGGCTGAAGAGAACAGCGCCTCTCCTACACCTACCGCGGAGGCAGAGCCGCAGAAACCGGCACCTGTAATGGTTTCCACTGCCATTCAAACTCTGGAGGAGCCTTTGAGTCCACCTGCTACACCGAAATTGAGTCCACCCCCTAGCCCGACTCATGCCGCCATCCCCGAACACGAAGAACAGGTAGAAGAGCCTACAGATCTGCAGGCTGTCCCTCTGACTCCGACCCGACTGCCACCTCTGCCTCCACCGAAGCCAGAAATGGTTTCAATGTCTACCCAAACCGAGGTGGAAGAAATCGCAAAGGAAAGGATGCCCACCGAGCCAACTCGACTTCCCCCTCCTGTCCCCACCCCGATGTTCGTCCCAGCAATTGCCATCCATCCTCCGGACGGCTCTAGGCCAACCTCTCTGCAATCTGTTGTCTTGCCTCCTGGGACGAAGAACGTGAGCTGTCAGACGACGTTCGAGACTGTCGTTCCAATGATGTCCGTTTCAATGCAAACCGACCCCATCAGGATCGACCAAAGACTCGCAAGACTCCCAGCTCATCTTCTTCCCTCTGCCATATCTTCCCAGCCACCAACACCCGAACTCGCCAAGAGCGGTGGGCGCGTATTTGGTTCGGTGGCCGCTGGAAAGAAGCCTGCAGCAGTATACACATCTGAAGACGATGCTCCACCAGTCCCAAGGATTCCCGATGACCTTCAAACTGAGGACCGCTATCCAGGTAACAATGATAACGGTCCTCTTGCTCGGACCGTGAAAGGAGACATTATCAGGCGACCTTTCCGCGACAGCAGCCTATTTGCTGGTTTTAACGGGCTCGATGATGAATCAGAGGCGCGATCAGACAATGAGCTGAGCGAAGACGATTCGCCAAAGAGATCGCAGTACCAGACGCCTGTCGCGCAAGGCCGAGGGAAAGTTGCACGCGCCCTGAACTTCCCTACGCCTGTGCCTGAAGAGAACGAAGTCCTGTCACGATCGCATGATGAATCTGACTTTGATGAGACTTCCTATGGCACTTATCCAGAAGCGTCTCAGCCGGAGAGGCCCTCGTTCTCTGCATCGACGAGATCATCGTTTGAACGGCCGAACAAAGTTGCGAAATCAATGCGGTCTGCCTCAGGCTCGATAACCCGGCAGCCATCCATCCGTCGTTCGGCAATGATCCACTCCGGTACTAACGCGCATATCCGTAGCCGCTCCCCCAGCATAGGGAGTGTCGCGAGCAGCTCTGTGGCCACGATGACGACAACAACAACCATGGCAGGAGCCTCACGTCCACCGCCGTTCCCTGTCCCCAATCGTGGATCGAGTCGTCGGGTCTTCAGCGGCGGCAAAAGCAAATCTGAAGGCTCTCAATCGCCTACTCCCCGTAGTGTGACATCCTCGTTCGCAGGACGTCGTGCGGCGCCACCTCGTCCGCTGCAGCGGCGCGACTCGTTAAGGAAGACCCGCTCCGCGGTTCATATGACTCGGCCTGTGGGGAGCTCGCACCAAGCGCGCAGCCGATCTCCTCCTCTTTCAGGCGGCGCCCACAGCCCGCTTGACAGTCCAGTTGAACTGACTCCTCAAGTACCTCCTCTTCCATCCAATATGGCGAGCTATCAGCATTCCAAGTTCACACACGGGTCGGCTCGTAGAACTGCGAGGGATGCTCGGCCATCGCGAGAACAGCTACGAACTACAGATCACGAAGTGGCTACGCATCCACCGCAGGGCAGTGCCGGCGTCGAGACCCCAGCAGGGCAAGCAAGTGTTGTGGAGGCCATTGCACAGACAATGGTGGGGGAGTGGATGTATAAATATGTTCGCAGACGAAAGAGCTTCGGCGTCGCGAGCTCTCAAGCTCAGGCACAAGCTGAGCTAGCAGAAGTCCGCGGAATTGAGGACGGCGGCGCTGTGAGCGGCGTGATGAGCGGCTCTGGGGGCCAGAGACATAAAAGATGGGTGTGGTTGAGTCCATATGAGCGAGCGATCATGTGGAGCAGCAAACAGCCGACCAGCGGAAACGCGCTGCTGGGGAAGAGCGGGAGGAAATGTAAGTTCCATCCTCATCCGTACACCCCCCAACCGGACGACTAACAAACGAGCAGTAACCATTCAGTCGGTGTTGGATGTCAAGGATGACACCCCCCTTCCCAAGGGTGCAACCGGCGTTCCCTTCAACCGCTCGATCCTGATTCTCACCCCCGCCCGTGCTCTCAAGTTCACTGCTACGACGTCAGAGCGACATTACTTATGGCTCACTGCGCTATCGTTCTTATCTCATTCAGCCACAGGCGCTCCCGAATTAGCAAACCTACCAAACCTGAACCTCGCCATCAACAACCTCCCAAGCTCAGCTGCAGCAGGCAGCTTCCCTGGAGCGCCGCCAATGCCCCAGATCCCAGACACCCATGACGACGTTTCCGCTTCCCCGCCGCCTATTTCTCGGGGGCCCGCCCCATCCCTTCGTCGTGGCGGTCCTATCCGCGACAGCGTCCTCCTCGCCAAGGGCAAACGCCCCATGCCCGGTTCCCGACAGCAGCAAGGCACCGGAACCGCTCCCCCGCCTCCCATTTCCACTGCTGATGCACTCATTTCCGATGCAGCCGACGCTCCTACCATCCCGCGGTTTCACACGCACGCACCCGAGCGACACGGCCGCAAACGCAGCATGACGGGCCCTCGCATCCCGCCAGTCAACCGTGGCTGGGGCTCGTATGAGCGCAGCGTCACGAATCCCGGGCCAGTGCCGACAACCGGGTATTCCGGGTATTCCGGGTATTCCGGATCCAGTGGGCCGTCGTACAGTGCCACCGTGCGAGGTGGGCCTGGCACGCCTTCACCGACCACCAGCAACCCCCCCGACAAGTTCATTCCATGGGCCGTCCCTACGAATGCATCGGACTGCGACGCACCACCGTTTCTGAAAGCGGAAGAAGTCGGCAGCAGCGCACCAAGCGCCAGCAATACCAACGCTCTCAATATGTCTGCAGCTGGGCCACCTCCTTCCCGGCGCCTCAACACGAGCACCTCGGCCAAAGAGTACGGCACCTGGCACGCGCCATCGAGCGGACGGACCTCCCGGTCATCTCGACCCGGCCCACTGACGCTGAACGGCGTCCATACCCTGCCATCCAGCTTCGGCGGCGGCAGCCAGCCCAGCAGCGCCTTGGCGAGCCCGTCGATCGCCGGGTTCGGCGGAGCGGGGCGGTCGAGCGAGGGGAGTAGCAATCGCAGCAGTATGCTGCCGAACAACTTCTTCGAGGCGCTCGGACCGAATCCGGGGACGGTGCGGATGGAGGCGTTTGTGGAGGGGAGGGGGACGGTGAGTGCTGGAGGGGGGATGTGGAGCGGAAGAGGGAGTGAAGAGAGTGGGAGGTTCCTTGGGGGCCCGGAAAGGGGGCATGGGATGAATGGCTATTTTGGCGGGAAGGGGAAGGGCACGGGAATTGGAGTGGGGACCAGGAGGAATGGGAGTCAGTGGAGTGCCAGTGGAAGTGACCCAAGGCGGGTCGGTGGAGTGTACGCCGATGAGTTTGAGGGGAGTGATCCGTTCCGAGGGTTCTGATTGTGTGGCCCCGTTTTGGATCGAGTTTGCTTCGCGTTCACGTTGATACCTCTCGGTTATGTGTATGATATATTGTGAGGCGTTTGATGGGATACAACCGGGATAGATGACGTCCAATGGCTGCAAAAGCCACCAAGTCGCTCCTAGCCCGCGAGGAAACATAAAGGTGGATTGTTCATGATTGTATATAATTCCGGTAATTTCTACAATATTCAGCCGACTCTGAATTCACGTCTTGAGTTACATGAACCTTGGTATAGTAGTAACATGCAATAGTGACGTAATTATACCCTGCAATACGACATCCCATTCCTTTGCCGGCGAGCTTTGTAAAAGCATCCGTATCTAGTCGACTGCCTGCTCGCAGTTTTTATATTAGTAGACACCTGTATTTTGCAAAAATGGAGCTTACTGGGTCTTGCTTCTGCCGTCGCTTGGCTTACAAGCTGGAACTGGACTCGCCTGACGATGCTCGAACGTCGGTTTGCCATTGTAAAAACTGCAAGGTCTTCTATCTCTTCGAACTGAGAATGTGGTTCTTTCCTTACGATTACTAGAAAGCATTCGGAACTACCTATGGCTTGACTTCGAAGGTTGCTAAAGACGCCTTCAAATATACGAAAGGCACCCCCAAAGAGTTCAAGGATGAAGCCTCAGGAGTCACCCGGGAATTCTGCGACCACTGCGGGAGTTATATCCTCGAATACGGGGTATCATCTCTTCTAAATGATCTCCGGGATCCAATTCTAACGGCTGTCAGGAACAAGTCCAACAGAGTTTCCGATACATCTGTGTTGGTAGTCTAGATGACCCTGAAGCACTCCCTCCGAAGGGCGAGTTCTTCTGCAAGTCAAGGGCGAGTTGGATGCCAGAAATTCCGAGTAGGTCGATTACAGCAAGTCTTTGGAAATCCTCGGATTCGCTGATGGCTATATACATAGATGTCTTCCATAAACAGGAGATCAAGGAATAGCGGTCGTATGGATGCGGGCAAGATGAGAGGGCTGGGCCCATAGTGACCTATTCTCGTCAGGATAGGGCGATACCAATGACCCTCGAATTCGAGCGTCTTTGTATAGATTATCCGCGTAGATTATCTGCAATTTATTCTTCACATCTACCTACCTACCGCAGTAGTGATGGCTGCCTTTGTCTACATTCCATTGTTTACTTTGTGCAGTTCAGTTCTGAGGGCGGTGACGTTTAGTGCCACCCCACATAATTTTACTAGGGTTATGGCCTGGCCTGAGCAACATCTGATGCTCCCGTGCGAGTGACGAGTGTTGAACTGCATGCGAATTAATACTATCGGTTGCCGAGAATTGACTTCACTTCCTCACCTCCCACGCTCCTCTCCTACCGAAAAGCCATTTCCGTCATGGCGTCGATTCGGACATGCGGTCGAGCTTCTCGCTCGTTGTTTTCCAGCCCACGATGCCGTCCAATTGCCTCGCAATGCGGCGTGATGCCGAGCTATCGTCGGGCGGGACATACATTCTCAGAGGGCCAGCAGAAGGTGAGGAGGATGCAAGCATTCGTGTGGGATGGGCACTTACGAATTGAAAGGTTCTCTCCGCGACATTACGAGAAGGCGATCCGGATGTTTTCGAAATCGTCCAGAAGGTATAGCTACTGGCGCTCGACTTCCGCCAGGCATGAGCTTACAGCTATCTAGGAGAGAGATAGACAAAAGCACTTCATCAACCTTATCCCGTCGGAAAATTTCACTTCACAAGCCGTGCTCGATGCTTTAGGAAGCGTAATGCAAAGTACGAAGGCCGTCTCCGTCTCCGGACGAAATCTTATGTTGAGCTCTCGCACGAGCAAGGAACCCTTCCAAGAAGCTTGGCTAACCCTGAATTTTTGTAGACAAATACTCAGAAGGCTATCCCGGGGCACGATACTATGGTGGCAATGAGTTTATCGATGAAGCCGAGAGGCTATGCCAGAGGAGAGCATTGGAGACTTTTGGCTTGAAGGAGGATGAATGGGGAGTTAACGTCCAGCGTAAGCAATTGGACACTGGACCGAAATGGCTACGATATATGCTGATTCCGTGAACCAAAGCGCTTTCCGGCTCACCGGCGAATCTCTACGCTTACTCTGCCCTGCTCGAGCCGCATGACCGGATAATGGGACTTGACCTTCCCCATGGTGGCCACCTTTCGCACGGCTATCAGATCCCTAGCAAGAAGATCTCGATGATCTCCAAGTACTTCGAGACCTTTCCCTACCGGCTGGATGAGTCCACGGGCCTGATCGACTACGATAAACTCGAGGAGAACGCCATGCTGTATCGACCCAAGATCATCATTGCTGGAACGAGCGCCTATTCTCGCCTGATTGATTATTCGCGCATGGCCGCAATCGCCGAGAAGGCCGGTGCTCTTCTCCTAGCTGACATGGCCCATATCTCAGGGTTGGTCGCGGCGGGTGTGGTTCCGTCTCCCTTCGCTCATTCCGCCGTCGTCACCACGACCACCCACAAGTCCCTCCGGGGTCCGCGAGGCGCCATGATCTTCTACAGGAAAGGCGTGAAGACGGAGGCCAAGGCCAGCAAATCTGGCAAGTCTTCGGAGCCGATCATGTGGGATCTGGAGTCGAAAATCAACGCCTCGGTCTTCCCTGGCCACCAGGGTGGTCCGCACAACCACACCATCACCGCCCTCGCTGTGGCATTAAAGCAAGCGCAGCTGCCAGAGTTCAAGACCTATCAAGAGCAAGTCCTTCGCAATGCCAAGTCGCTCGCTGACCGGCTGGGCGACTCGACGAAACAGGGAGGGTTAGGCTACGACATCGTGTCCGGCGGAACGGACAACCATCTCGTGCTCGTCGATCTCAAGAAAAAGGGCGTCGACGGCGCCCGGGTCGAACGCGTCCTCGAGCTCGTTGGCGTCGCCGCGAACAAGAACACGGTCCCAGGCGACAAGTCAGCCATGAAGCCGGGTGGTATCCGCATGGGGACCCCCGCGATGACGACCCGCGGGTTCGACGCCGACGACTTCGCGCGCGTGGCCGAGATCGTCGACCGCGCCGTCTCCATCACGCTGAAAGTGGACAAGTCTGCCAAGGAGGCGGCGGAGGCGCGGAACCGGAAGAACCCCGGCAGCGTCGCGGCGTTCAAGGAGTATTTGAAAGAGGGAGAGGAGATCCATGAGATTGTGCAGCTAAGGGAGGAGGTGAAGAGCTGGGTGGGCACGTTTGCGTTGGTGTGGGAAAAGCCGGGGAAATGAGCTTCAAGGGAATATGAGTGACGTTCAGAAGATCATGGCTTTGGAACGATGCGATAGGAATGAAATCGGGTGGCGACGGCCCGTTCGGGGATGTCGGCGGTTAATTTCAACAAGGCGGCTGACATGATGTAGGAGTCACGGTTCATGGATCTGGGACGTTGGAGATCAAAGGTCAGGTTTGTATATATGCTTTTAAGACTTCACTCTTTCACGTCGCTGAACCGTGAATGAAGAACTGCAAACGTTCCTGAAACTTCTGCATCATGCGCCCTCTGTGAGTACCGAATGATGGAGTTGTTCATTTATTTAAACCCGTTAAAGTCCCGATCGCCAGTCTAACAGTCCGTCAAGTTGCTTGCATCGTTCCTTCGCCATTCACCTTGCCCAACGATTTCCATTCCCGACACAACACACCTCCACGCCATTCCTAAATTTTGGTTCCAGCTCCCTCACTTTCACTTCGCCACTCCACCGTCAGGACAATGCTTGGGCATCTGATGAACGCCGGAACATGGCTCTATATCATCCTCTCCTTGATCCAAGCCGCCGATGCTCAAGTCGTCATCTACACGGCCACCTACACGCTGGTGACCACCCTCACCACGATCACCACCGCCCCGCCCCCCGTCTTCCGCACCGATGAGTTCGGGAGCCTGATCCTCAGCCGCTCCGGACCAACATGCACGCAGGTCGCCGTCACCACCTACCCTGCCTCCGAAGAAGAAGCCGTTTTTAGTGCACACGATGCGGGAGATCTCAAGCGACGGAGTATCTCGAGCGTCACGGTGGATGGGGAGCCGGTTGCCACTGATATGATGGTCCTCTACGACATGTCGTGTTGGTGGGACGACGAGGATACAGGGAGGGCGACGACAACAAAGACCGCGCTCGGGGTCACGATGGGGGCGGAAGTCGCGCGACCACCCGGGCCGGGTCGATCCAGCGCGAATACGCTTGTTAACCCGATTAGGGCAGCTAAGAGGTGGTTGGTCGACCCCGTCGTTGCATTATACCGGCAGGAATCGGTAAAGGAATACAACAGCATGTATGTCGGCAAGGTGCCGGCACATGGATTCGGCAAGAGGGATTCCGACAACGAAACGGAAACGGAACGGGAGTCGAATACGTACTTGGGCTTGGATTTCTCGGACGAGGTACTCTCAGGGTGCGAAACGCTGGTCCGACGATAGCTAACGGTCAACCGAAAGAGCATACCTTGGGATCGCATCACGATCGTACTGCTATTCTACGACTTCGTGCTGTTCATCGTCTTTCTGCTTGGTCTCCTGGTTGGCCTACTGGATAGATACTTGAACTTCAGGAGGAACGGTACCTGGTTGGTGCTCTCTATTATTACCCTCAAAGGCTGCCAGTCATACTGACAAGCATTCAAACAGGAACGGGAATTGGGAGGAGGATCGATGGATGGACTGAGCCGAAGACATGTGAGAATTAATGTCATGACTGATGAGGGAAATGATTGGGATCAATATTCATTTGTCGTTCTGAAATGGAAGATTACCCCAGCTGCGCAAGAATGCGTCGTGATCATTATCCGCCGATCTCCAACCCCATGCGACACAGTAATGCTGCGCCAGGAGGTTCCACTCCTCCACTTCATCCATCATCTCCAGTGCCGCGACTCTCTCCTTCTCGCCCTCGTCCACCCATCGCTCCCACAAGAACTTAATATCCGCCGCACTTTGGCCACCGTTGAACCCTGCCTCTTCGAGCCGTGCCCGCTGAGATGCCAGCGATGGGAATACAGTGAGAGTAGGCATGCTGATGCCACGGTTCTCAAGGTTTGTAATCATGGTGCGACCGAAAGCGTCATCCGGACGGATCGGCTCATATAAAACCAGAGAAATGGGAGTAGGTGGAGGGATCAGATGCTGACTGAAGGTGGTGATGATAGAGGAGACTTCGGAAGGTTGCAGGTAGACAAGACAGCACTCGGAGAGAAGAAGAGTGGGACAATCTCGGGAAAGGTTGGGAAGGGAGGGCGCATCTGAAGGGTTTATGAACTGTCTAAGATCAACGGCATGGAGATTATAGCCTTGTGAAGTGATCGTCCCTTCGTGGACATCTATACGAACGGTGGTGGCGTTGTCCCTGTGCGATGTGATGGCACTTAGCAAGGACTGTTTCTTCTGGATGGCAGAGACCTTTGGCAGGGTGTTCTCCTTGAAGTCCAGTTCATGGTAGACCAGATTGAGAGAGGGGTCGGAAAAGATTAAGCGGAAATAACGAGTGTCAGAGCCAGCCCCAAGAGAAATGATTTGCTTCTTCTGGTCAGGAGAGACTTTTACAAATGATTGGACAAGTCGGTCAATTGCCATAGATCGAACATAGGTCCCTGATGAATAATCAGCTTATATTACGGACTATTCCTCGGGACTTTACTACCTCGATTTATAATAGGGAACCGCTTCGGCGGCTCCTCATCCACGAACGCATGCGCGAATCGATCTTCCAAGTACCCGATCTTCACGGCACTCAGTCGAGACAGGAGCGCATCCTGATCGGTCCGCTGAATAACCCGATCTTTCGTGAGGCCACGACTTCCAGTGGAACTACCTCCTCGTCCCCGTCCGCGACCGCGAGCGCCACTCGAGCCCGACTTGAGCGAATCAAGGAGGTTTGGAAGCTTCGGAGACGCCATATTAGGTGGAGGAGTGGGTGGAGCCAACGGGGACAGTCTTTTGAGAGAAAGACTCAGGAGATGTTCGAAGGTTGCTCATGGTACTTGTAAATCTCTTGTTGAATTAAGACATTAGGGGATGGAATTTTAGAACATTACAGCCAACTTTGGTTATCCACACATATCAACATCCTCAACATCGACTTTGCTTGTGAATGATATTGGAGCAACGACGCGCATTGATTGGCTGAGGAAACCAGGTATGGACCCCGTTTCACGTGACCAGAAATTCTTCAACAGTCGTCGCGATAGTCGCGAAAGTCAAATTGAAGTTAGACTCCGACAGCATCAACTTACCTAGTAACTTGCTATAACCAGTGGGAGTTTGACAATAACGAATAAGCCTTCAATAATCCTGTCCGTCATCCTCGTCTACCCAGACAGAGCATAAGAACCGGATCCTATCGTTTCATCCAGCGGCTTTCATCATGGACGACTCAGGCGAAGGAAGCAAAGATCTGGTGAAGATGTGGCGTATATACAAGACCGTCAAGGAATTGTGTCGCGACAGGGTAGGTGATTGAATATCTTTGGTAGCATAGGAAAACGCTAAACGGTTCAGGGTTACGAAGTCACGGACGAAGAAATCGAAATCTCTCTCGATGATTTTCGCGCCCAGTACGGCGACCCATTAGGCTTCGCGGAGTGCGTCCATCCCTCTCCCAAAAGCATTGCTCTTGCTTACTAACCGTATCACAGCCGTGGTCGCATGCGATTCCACCTCAAACCCAGCGCAGAGATGCTCCAACTCTACATGCCCCCGCCGAAGAAGGACCAACAAGTCGAGCCGCAGATCGGCAACGTGTACGTGGAATTCAACAACGACGAGAACCTGGGGATCAAGCAAATGCGGCAGTTCGCGCACACCATCACGGAGAACAACTTCTACACAGGAATTCTGGTGCATGGCGTCGACATGACACCGTCGGCGCGGAAGCTGATCCCCACGGTGCTGCCGCACATCATCGAGCTGTTCAAGGAGACAGATCTGCTCGTGAACATCACGAAGCATGAGCTGGTGCCGAAGCATATCCTGCTGAGCCGGGAGGAGAAGGCGAAGTTGTTGGAGCGGTATCGGTTGAAGGAGAGCCAGCTGCCGAGAATGCAGGTGAACGATCCAGTGGCGAGGTATATGGGGCTGAGGAGAGGGCAGGTCGTCAAGATCATCAGGAGGAGTGAGACGGCCGGGCGATATGCTAGCTATCGGTGGGTGATTTGAGGCGGACGTTGGATCATTCCTACCACTGGCGTTTATGGGGCTCAAAAAGGCCGAACTGGGGCATGGCGATTAGACAACTAGTCTTGCGCGAGGCGTTTTGATGTTTGGGTATTAGCGAGCATCTGACCATGTACCGAATATGAACTATTGAAATATTGACTTTCGTAAGGAGCTGCTAGGAAAGGGGATTGTAATCCAAGGTTTGGTTCCTATGATTCGTACAAGATCGTGTCCATTACAATCTAGCCTTCTCGTCTTTGACCACCAAGCCCCTGTCGCCCGCATCTCTCAGCACTCTCCGCAAGATCTTCCCACTGGCGCTCTTCGGAATCTCATCGGTGAACTCGACCACCTTGACTTGCTTATACCGGACCTTGTTGTCCTTGACATATTTCATCAACTCCAGAGCCAGCTCCCGTGACGGCTTCACGCCCGGCTTAGGCACCACGAACGCCTTCGGCAGCTCGCCAGCATAGTCGTCGCGGATTCCAAGCACGGCAACGTCCTCGACCTTCTCATGGCCGAGCAACAGATCCTCGAGCTCGGCCGGCGCAACGCCGATTCCCTTCACTTTGATCATTTCCTTGATGCGGTCCAGGATCGTAATGATCCCTTCCTCGTTGATGGCGCCCTGGTCGCCGGTGTGCAACCAGCCATCCGCGTCGAAGGTTTCGGCCGTGGCATTGGGGTTGTCTAGATATCCCATGACCACCTGCGGGCCTCGAGCGAGGATCTCTCCCGGTTCGTTGTAGGTGGCTTCGGTTCCGTCCTCCTTGATGATCTTAACCTCGGTGTTGGCGACGATGGTTCCGACGGTGTGCGCGTACTTGTAGTCGTAGAGCTCCGGGGGATGGGCTGTGATGCACGAGCAACTTTCGGTCATGCCGTAGCCTTGCTTGAAGCCTGTTCCCGGGAACTTCTTCGCCAGTTGTTGGATGATCTCTTCACTGAGCGGCGCTGCGCCGGAGGAGAAGCGGGTCAGGTGTCTCAGATCGTACTTGTCCACGATAGGATCTCGAACCATGCGGATGAGGATAGGTGGAACTAGCAAAAGCTCCTTTAAGTGGTATTCGACGACAGTATCGAGCATGGCTTCCATTGTGAACGTTGGGCACATAATGACTTCTGCGTTCAATAGCACTGGAAGATGAAGGCCATGAACGAGACCAGTGACTAACACGATTAGCTTGAACTCTTATATCTGAAATAACTGAATCTTACTGTGGAAGAGCGGTAATATGGCAAGAGATTTCTTTTGATCCACTGGTGTTATCTGTTGTATTTGCGTACATTGTCCGATGACGTTCTGGTGCGCAATCATAACCTACTTTAATCAGTACTACTCCAGACACACATCCTTGGATAGCTGTGACTTACAGCTTTTGGCAATCCCGTAGTCCCAGAACTGAAGCTCAAGAATGCGCACACATCCTTGTTCTCCTTTCCGGCTGGGATTTTGAACGCAGGAGTTTGCCCATTCTCGCCATAACTCTTGCCGATTGCGATCAAGTCATGTATGGTTGAGTATCCATCCAGATTCCCCTCAAGGAGGAAGATGTGAGACTTCGGGATGCCAGCGTTCTTAGCGGCAGCTACGGCTACCTCCATCGATGACGGAGCAGTCATGAGGAACTTGGCTTGCCCAATTTTCAGCGCGTACGACATCTCCTCTACATTATAAGCCGGAGATGCACCAGAGACTTTGGCTCCTGCAACCTAGTCAGTGGCAGTCTACATTGGTGAGAGCCTGGAAGCGTACCTGCGCGGACCGCGCCATGCATTGCAACCGGGTACCAGACGTTGTTCTGGCTGAACAACGCAACGGTATTCCCTTCTTGTAACCCATACTTCTTAACCAAGGCGGTTGATACGTAGGTCGAGTAATCCTTCACCTCCTGCCATGATACACGCTCTTTTGTGACCGCATTCTGATATCCGGCTTGCTCGAACGCAGGATACCGGAATATTGGAGAATACTCGGAATCGAACAACCAGTCCCACGTCGTGAGATCCGTCGGGACTACACAAGAGACATGGTTAGTCTATATGAGCTGTAGGGGACGACAATAATCTCTGCAGGCTTCATGTACCATGGACTTCCGGCTGTTTTGACTTGAATATGACCATTTTGGTATGCAATTGAAGCGAACAGATTCACAAATTTAAGAACAAATACTTGGTCAAACGGACTCAACGGAACAGAGACAAGTAGAGGAAGAAAAAAGAAATCAATCTACGAAGTTACTCAGGCACTTACCTCCATCTGCACGACGATCCGTTCGCTAATCCGACGCGGCATCCCTCGGTCATGCCGGGAAATGCTTGAAGATAGTATGCGGGGGATGGGGGGATGGGGGGATGGCGGATGGGGAAACCGCTAATAATTCTTTAGCAGATCGGATCTCCACAACAACGACAACCCCACTCCACGGATTATGGAATCAAATCCTTGAGGCTGGTCTTATCGTTCTCCCCAGATGTGGATATTAATGACCGGATTGGTTCCGGTATCGCCTCTCAGTTCGCTAGAGCAATTCTACAAACCTCCAATCATAAATGAGTTGGTCCATGACTTCACCGTTTTGTCTCGGCAAGTTCATGGGAAGCACTTCTTTCTGATGTGATTGTCTATACCAATGCAGGTCCTGAAGACGTTAGGGAACGACAAACATATCTCTATCTCGGTAGATTTGAAATAGGTGGCGTGCGAATGGTTCGCGAGTCCCATCAATAAGAGCTAGTCGATGTAATCTGTACATCCCATCGCCTAGTATGGTATATATTGTAAATATATCTTTCCCACTCGACACTCGTCATATCTCTTAGGAAGCATACCCCATCTCCTGTACATTCACCCAATCCCTCTTCGACATCTTACCGCCAGCCGGAGACAATCGCGATGGCTCCAACTCGTGAGAGCGATTCCTACGATGACAATAAAGGCCTTGTCATCGCCCGAGCGGTAGCAGGAATGCCGAATTGCCATGCTCGTGAGACCTAGAATATACATGACCATCGAGACAACCGTGTCTCTTCGCCGATCACGACGACTGACCAGTTTGCCATTTAAGATTTCGTTGGACAAGGCCATCGACCCGGGACTCGACCCGTCTCGGCATGGGCAAGACTTGGAGCGACAGTGCATTCGCATCTCCAAGGGCTTGGCCGGGAGAAACGGTTCCTAAATATACTTGCTTGTCTCGCATTATTCCGTCTGCGTCTCTTGCTCTTCTGTTTATAAATGATTCAAAGTCTCCCCAGAAAATACATTTGCGCCTTCTGTTGCGATGAGTTCGTCTATCCAATCCCTGGGAGATATATACTTGTGTCTTTAAGTGGCTACAATGAGCTCCGGCGGGATAGCCTTGAGACGCGGCAGGATATGCGGAAGTTGGTCCCGCCTTGTCCTATCGCGGAAACGAGGTACCTACGGCACTGAGGGAGATCGTACCGGATGCCGTACTGATTGATCGCATCGTCGAGAATGGCAATGCATGTGGGCAGCTCTCCAGATTTTCTAGTTTTATATACAAGTAACAACCCTTCTCTGTAATCGGAACCCATCATCCTGTCAAAATTCTAGAGGTATTTTGAAAAAGGCACCCGGACATGTCTGATTGGGCCGACCAGAGAACGCCATACTGACCGACCGAGGGAACAACATCCTTTTTTGGTCTTGATGCTGTGCTTGTGCGTTGAGGAACTACCACTCGCCTTCGAATCGACCGGTTGCGGTGGTGCCGTCGTAGCTGAGGTTATTGTCCAAGCGAATGCGGCTCGCGTTGTCACCATCGTCGCTCATCTCGCCGTCGGTGCACGTCTCAGAAGAGCGAAGTGAGTTTGGAATAGGAAACCGTGGAGGTGAAAATGAAGTTCAAAGTGAACTTGCTTCGTTCGGATACAGGATAAGAGCTAGGAAAAAAGGTTATATCTGCTCTTGTTGTCGCGACCGTGGCCTTGCTTTTATTGGAGTCAGTCAATTGCAAGCTCTGGAGCCAAGAGAGGTTCCTTACTCGGTGGCATGCGCGATAGGCCGCCGCAGATCGTGGAGACTGTCCAAGGGGTCTAGACGGGTTTCCTCCCAGCGACGGGTCGAATCGCGTGAAAGCGTCTCTCGTCGATATCGAAAATATCCTCCTCGCCACCTTCACAGCCGGACCCTCATCATCCATGATTAGTCTCTTTTCCCTTTAATGTTGGTATCGAATTTCTTCCCATCCAGTTTCTATTTTGCTAATTGTAGCGCATCGGCGACTTCCCATGCGACTAGTTAGCTAGAACCATCCCAATAGTGAAAATTGGTCAGCTTCGTCCAGTCCAGCTCGGCCGCACGACTGAACGCATCCTGGGCGAGTCGGGCCTCAAATATGGGTCGAGGGAATGCGTTAGCAATTCGAAGGTTTCGGAAAGAGGGGAGATGAAAATGTAGAGGGCATGAAGGGTGTCGCAGCTAGCTTCTTCGACATCTTCGCAACTGGACCTTTTCCTCCAGAAAGCCGCTATCGCTGGATGCGATTCTCTTCGAATCATCCAGAACTGGGTGGTATAGCTCGCGACCTTCACGTCAGTGGATGAACGGGACTCGTTCGAGGGGACGGGATTGTTCCTAAGCAGCTGCTATCGAAGATTTCGAGTTCTTCACATGAGGATAGCGTATACCTCCACAAACTCCCTTCCCAGTCGACTTATCCCCGCGCCACAAAGAACCTGATCTCAAGCATTCTTGGCGACTCTCCACACTTTGAACCCGATGAATCCCCCGCCCATGCGAGGTCCAGATTGATTCAACGGAAGTAGCCAGACTCATGTTCCAGGCATGGTCAGCCTGTAACTGAAATGCGTTGACAAGCCAACTCACGATGTTCGGACATGCCATGAATAGGAGGCTATAAATGTCAAATCTGTTCATCCGGCTCCTATGCTAGGCATGGTCAGCATAGAACCGAAATGAATTGACAAGTCTGCTCACCGAGTTCTTATACTGCATGGTTAGGAGGCTATGATTGTCCAATCCACCCACCATATCCATATACGCCACGACTAGGAGGCCATAACAATCATCATGCGAGATGAGTGCCCTTCTCTCCATGGCCGTGTAGCGTGACAGGCCCCAGCAGCTGTCAGATTGGTCATGCTCCTTGGTCATGGCATCATCGAACTTCCATTTTGTCAGTCCTCTGCCAGCAGTCGCACACCGATGTGGGTGAACTTGCCATTGGGAGAAAACGCTTTTGGATTGAAGGCAAATTGTATCATTTTATACGTTTGAGAGGGCAAGCTGAAGTGCAAAAAGATCTCACGACGAGGTTTGTCATCATAACGACAAACAAGTATGGATATACCTGCAGAACGACAAACGAGAACACACTACTGGGGCAACAAACGCCTCCGCAACTGATACATCGGGGTCACTTAAATTTCAGGAGTCAGATCAAAGGGGATTCTAAATTCAGATTCCGCTATGAAGGATTTCTACATATACCAGTGAAGAGATGTGAGAGATCAACTGGAGCGCAGGTGCTTCCCAAAACTCACCATGTGCTGAAACCACTGAAACCAGGAACCCCACCCCAAAATTCCTCACAATGCAAAGTCAGTATTCTGCAAGAAAGTGGAATACTAGCAGTGTCAGTAGAAAAGGTAGAGGAGATGGAGGATACTCACCTTTGAAAATTCATCAAGTTCAAAATTCATCGAGATCGAGGGCAGGCTTCACTGCTGCTGGAGGGCAAGGAACATAGGCAATAAGAAAATTTCAGAACTTACCGGGAGGGTGGGTGAGGAGGAGGAGGATGGAAATGAGGACAGCGGCGACGAGGTCTATATGATAAGCCAAACAAACGAATGAAGTCAGTCATGTCCAACGCATTTTGAGGAATGAAGAGGGGACAAAAGTCACTCACCGAGGATCATGGGCTGACCCAAAGGCCAGTCCTTTATCGGCTAGGGAGACGAATCTCCCCTTGCAGTGGGTTTTCCGAGGCTCTGTTGCGCATCACACGATCAGCAAATGTTACAAGAATGAGATTTCATTACAGTGGAAGGAGAAGGGGAAGGGGAAGTGACTTACCCTGATGGGCACCTATATCGTACAAAGATTTGGGAAAGACTGGACGAGCACACGGGCCCCCGGCAGCGCGAGGACGGACGGGTCTTTGTTGTAGAAGTCAGCACCACAGTTCATCAAGCACTATACATACCGTGAGAGAGGAGTAGATCTAGCAGCAGCGAGCATGAATAAACAGAATAAAGAAGAGGGGGGGCGATGATGGGTTTCGGTTGGAAGTCGAATGAATTTCGGACTTTGTGGGTGGGCGAGGAGAGTGAGAGGAGAAGAGAAAGTGGTGAGAAGGAAGTTAAGGGTTGTTTTTAGACAAGGGAGGGGGTCATATTTATAGGGTCCCGGTTGCGTGTTAGGCAATGATTTACAACACATAGGAACCTTGAGGAAGCCACATGATGTTGCCCGGTTAGCCGCGGGCGCCAAAGTCGCTATAGCCATTCACTAGAGGAAGTTGAGGGGGGTAGGAGGGGTTGAGGACCCGGGTGAGGGGCCAGAGTACCCGCATGCTATACGATGGCCGAGCATGGCATGGCGGAGGGGCGGGGGATGGGAGGGACAGTCGAAACGGGATTCCGGGTGCTGAGGATACACCTCGTGGAGGAGGACTTCTCCACTAGCATCCGGGAAATATGAGAGAAGGAGACAGCATATCATCCACAAGCCGGCAATGGGACTGGGAGGGTCACTTGATCGGTACGGGGAGATCTACTGGAGGGTAGATTCCGGCCCAGTGGAACCAGTCCCCTTGGGACAGAATGAACCGTGTTAGATACGGAAATGAAAGGCATGAGCAGACCTCTACGTATGAGTCTATAGGTAGGACCTTGCCACGACCTCAAGGAACCCCCAGGCGAAAACTGGGGACATCGGAAAGCAAATCTGCAATGGGAAGACAGCCAGACCTCATTGGGAATGACATGGTAGCAAATACAGGTGTCTGCCGCATTGGATCGCACTGATCGGACTGAAAAACAAGATCTGAAGTGGCGGTGAAGATACGGACAATAGCAGCATTGGCTCAAGAATTCGCATAGGTTGGATGGAGGTTAAAATAAGTTTGCATCTGTGTGACGGGTGGATGGAAGTAAGTCGGGGGCGATGCGTTGAGGGTGGCATGTGGGTGAAGGATGAATATTCAGGACGGCGGATTGAAGCGGTTTTTAGGTATGGGGAACGAAGGAGTCAAACTCACTGACACGCTCTTGGAATTGGATGGTTGGTTGCATGAATGATGAGATATGCGGATCAAAAGGACCTTGGTTTGACCATACCCCAAAGTTTTGTCTAAGATACTAGATGTTAACCAAAGTGCCTTGATTTAGTGGGCAAGTGGCCCAAGTAGACAAGAACTGGAAGTCCCTAGAAAATCACCAGCATAAAGAGCAAGCAAGCATACATGTTTCAAGAAGCCATAGTTGTATTGCGATGATATACGAAACCCAAGACTCCCAAAAAGACTCCCAACATGGAAAGGAAATGGCGATCCCCATGATCCTCATGACCGACACCTGCACTCCCTCCCGAAGCCTGTGGCCTCATACGCCACACACGCACTTTGATCAAGTGTTATTCATATGGAATACCGCCGATTGGTACGCTGTGCTTGGTGACAATTGTCCAGCAAATGGTATCTAGATCTCATCGATGTCGCTCCACACGGAACCAAGCCCGATTGACGATCCGACACCGATGTACGGCACATGCTAGTAATTTCACCTTAATGCGAGCTGAAGATCTCCCTCAGCTCCTCCTCGACGAGTCCCTCGATCTTCTCACCCAGCTTCTCGAACCGGTCGGCGAGCCCAGTGACGCCGGAGGAGACGCGGTGACCGAGAAGATCGAGGTATTCGTCGGCCTCGGCATTGAGGCCGTGGGAGGGGGGGAGGGAGCCCACGGTGGGTAGGGACGCGGTGCGGGCGTCGTAGCCGCCGCCGTCGATGATGTCGGAGTAGTTGGAGGCACCGCCGCCGTTCCAGGCGAGGATCTAGGAGGGTTAGACGGTTATGGGATGGGGGAAGGGGGTACTTACGTTTTTGGTGTCGCTGGGGACATCGTCGAGGACACCTTCGGTGGCGATAGAGATGAGGTTAGCTTTCATCTGCTTGGGGGTGATCGCCGCGACGGCATAGCCGGAGTCGCTGCTGGGCTGCAGAGACAGTAGGTAGGCGAGGAGACCGGCGATGTGAGGAGACGCCATGGAGGTGCCGGAGATGGTGTTGACGGCGTACTTGCTGCCGATCCAGGTGGAGAGGATGTTGAGGCCGGGAGCGAAGATGTCGTTGCACTTGCCGTAGTTGGAGAAGTACGCACGCTCGTCGGCGAGGGTGGAGGCACCGACAGTGACGGCCAGCTTGGCGGCAGCGGGGGAGTAGTTGCAGGAGTCGGCATTGTCATTTCCGGCGGCGACGGCGAAATGGATGCCGGCCTCGACGGCGGCGTTGACGGCCATGTCGAGAGTGGGGGACTTGCCACCGCCCAAGCTCATGTTGGCGGCGGAGCCCTTCCAGCCCTTCTTCTTGCCATCCTTCGCGGCCTTGAGTTGCTTGAGGTGCTGCTCGGCAGCGAACTCAACACCCTTGACCACGTCGGACATGCTGCCGGAGCCGTTGGAACGAAGCACCTTGATGGCGTAGACGTTGGCACTCTTGGCAACGCCGTATTTCTTGCCGGCGACGGTACCGGAGCAATGAGTTCCGTGACCATTGCCATCGCGGTCGTCATCACCGGAAGGAATGGTCTTGCCCCAGTGTGCACGACCCTCAAAGTCGACGTGGTCGACGTTGGTGCCGGTGTCAATGACATAGACATCGACGCCCTCACCACCGTTCTTGGTGTAGAGGTACTTGTTGAAGTTCCCAAAGCCTAAGCTGTCACGGTGGGAGATACGAGCGAGACCCCACGGAGCGTTCTTCTCGATCTCCGGCTGGGTCTCCATGGTGTGGACGGTCGAGTCTTTCTCGACATATTCGACCTGTACAACATCGGATCAGCACATGTTTACCAAGTCTATTACTGGTGTAATTCCATGTCCGGTTCTTGATTGCGTGACTGCCTTGGCGGAGCTTATCGGACTTAGGTGGCGAAGCTCGGCTTCCCCGCCATACGCATGCAAGACTACCAGGAGAGTAACAACATGAAACGAGCAGATAGGGATATCGAAACACGGAGACGTTGTGGAAGCACGAGTTACTCACATCCGGATGCCGTCTGACTTGTTCGATCACCTCATCGTCGAAATGACCCGAGTACCCGAGCAAGCTGCCGGGGATGTTATACGTGTGCTTCAAGCCCTCAAACACCTCGTCAACGATGGGCAACTGGGACCGTTTCCTCAGTTCCATGCGAGTGGACTCGCCCTTGGTATGAATTCCTTGAACCCAAGACTGGTGTGCCTGGATATGCTCCTCCTTGACGTGCTTCTTGAAGACGACCATGTAGGAGTTCGGGATCTCCTGGGAATGAACGGATGAGATCACGGGAGCGGCATCTTTGTGGATGGTGCCGATCTCGACGTTAACGATGGGCGAAGCCGCAGCGAGGAGGGGAAGGAGGAGGTGGAGAGCGACCTTCATAGTGCTGGTGGTGGTAGCGACCACGCAAGCTGAGCGACGGAGCTCGGGATGAGACCGCAGGGGGTCCTATACGAACGAAAGTGACAAAGAGAAGGTGACAAAGAGGTTGGATAGAAGATAGGCAAGCGTTAAAGAAGAAAGGAAGATGGAACTCGAGGAAGAGAAGTCGAGTTAAGTAGATGACGGGGAGTTTAGTGTCGATAGTGATGGCGAAGTAGCAGAGAGAGTACGGGGAAGGCAGGTGATGACTGCACTGACGAAGCAACGGACCAAGGAAGTGGAGCTTATCGGGAGGCGGAGTTGGAGGGGGAGAGGATCCCTTGGTGGCCTTTGCTGTCCATTGCTGTCCATCGCATCAATCGGTGGTTGGTTGCCGCCATTTCGACAGCTGACAGATCGACCTTGGTGCCTAATGGCCTGAAATCCACGGGATTCCCCGCCCTTAGCGCTCCGCTGCAGCCTTGCCTGAGACTCTGAGTTGCTGGTACAACGAAGGTACCGTGACTCCCGACAGTGGCCCCGTGACTAGGAGGAATCACGTGCTAATTGCAAGGATAGTTGATGCCTGAAAAAGATACTGCCTGCTGGAGGACTTGACACCTAAGGCATGAAGTAGAAGACCCCGAAATCTTGGCGCATATCCTATCCATCTGAAATTTCGTTTTGGTTGTAATGCTCTTCTACACCAGAATTATACAACCACCCCACTGTGAGATATCGAGTTCCAAAGCAATCATGAAGCGGAAGCTCAACGAACAAGACGTCCCGGAGGTGATCGCCGAGGAGATCCCGGCCGAAGCACAATCCGATCTCGAGTCAGAAGAGAAAGTTGCAACCGAAATCGTCCAAGCCTCCACGCCTGCTCCGCCTGCATCGTGGGATTCGTTTAACTTCGATTCCCGACTATTGAAGGGCATTGCTCATGAGAAATACGCCAGCCCGACTTCGATCCAGGCGACCGCAATTCCACTCGCTTTACAGAGCCGAGACATCCTAGGTACCCTACTCCTTGCCCGCATGTGTCTGTCCGGATGCTAACAATCTCCAGCACGATCCAAAACCGGTTCGGGAAAAACGGCCGCATACGTCCTTCCCATTCTCCAATCCATCCTGGCCCGAAAACAGTCGTCGACCTCATCCACCGCGTCGAAATGCACCGCCGCACTGATCCTGGTTCCCACGAGAGAACTGGCATCCCAAGTGACGAAGTGCATTTTGGCGCTGTCCTCTTTCTGCTCGCAGTCTCTCCGCGTGGAGAACATCGCACGAAAGGAAGATGATAAGGTGCAACGCGCTCGTCTGGCGGCCTTGCCAGATATCGTCGTCTCCACCCCAGGGCGGGCGGTGGTGCATATCAATAGCTCGGCGTTGTCGCTCAGCGAAGTGAAGCACCTGGTTATTGACGAGGCGGATTTGATCCTATCGTATGATTATGGCGCCGATCTGGAGACGATTTCCAAAACCCTTCCTACCGACGTCCAAACCTTCTTGATGAGCGCCACGCTCCACACGGAGGTCGAGAGCCTGAAGGGACTGTTCTGCAAGAACGCGGCACCGGCCATCTTGGACCTGGAGGAGCAAGAGAAAGACGATGAGGACAAGGTGCAGCAGTACGTGGTGAAGTCCGCCGAGGACGAGAAGTTTTTGCTGGCCTACGCCATCTACAAACTGAAGCTCCTCAAGGGCAAGTCCATCATCTTCGTGGGCGACATCGATCGCTGTTACCGTCTGAAGCTCTTCTTTGAGCAGGTGGGGATCAAGAGCTGCATTTTGAACTCGGAACTGCCGGTCAACTCCCGGATCCACGTCGTCGAAGAGTTCAACAAGGGTGTGTACGACATCATCATCGCGGCCGATGAGAACGAGGTGATCGGAAACGAAGGGAGGAAGAAGCAGAAGGGCAAGGAAGACGATGAAGAGGCTGAGACTGAAACCAACGGCGACGCCGAGCAGAAATCAGAGCCTGCAGAGGGTGAGAAACCCACCGAAGCCCGCCCGTCGAAGAAGCGAAAGAGCAAGCATCCGTCCGACAAGGAATACGGTGTGTCCCGCGGCATCGACTTCAAGCACGTCGCCTGCGTCCTGAACTTCGACCTGCCCAGCACCTCCAAATCCTACACCCACCGCATCGGCCGCACCGGGCGCGCCAACCAAACCGGCATGGCCCTCAGCTTCGTGGTCCCGAAAGAACACTTCCGCAAGACAAAAGCTCTCTCGTTCGCCGGGTGCGAGAACGACGAGGCGGTCCTGGAAAAAATCACCGCCAGCCAGGAGAAAAAGGGCAAGACGGTCTCCCCCTACCAGTTCGACATGGCGGCGCTCTCGGGGTTCCGCTACCGGCTGCAGGACGCGATCCGGTCGGTCACCAGCACGGCGATCCGAGAGGCGCGACTGCGCGAGCTGCGGACGGAGATCGTGAAGTCAGAAAAGCTGAAGCGGCATTTCGAGGAGAATCCGGAGGAGCTGCGGCAGCTGAGGCATGATGGGGAGTTGCGGCCGGCGAAGGTGCAGGCGCATCTGCGGCACGTGCCGGAGTATTTGCTGCCGAAGGGGATGAATCGGGGGCAGGGGGCGGATGTTGGGTTTGTGGGGTTGCGGAAGCCGGAGTCGGAGCTGAGGAGGAGTAAGAGGGTTGGGAGGAGGGGCCCGAAGAAGGCGGCGGGTGCGCGAGGGAGGACAAGTAATCCATTGCAGACATTCAAGCGGTAGCCATATACATTGTAGCAAGCGGTCTGAGGCCCAATTTAAACACTATCTTTTTCGATTCCCGTCGGTAAAATCCACACATGCACCGGTTCGCCTCGACACGTCGGTGATATACAAAGGTGACGAAATACATTACAATCAGCCCTTGATCGCTCCATTGCCATGTCTCTCCGGCTCATATCACACATATCCCTCTCGCTCCCCTTCGAACCCCGTCCGCTCTCCGAATTTAATACCCACTCGCCCCCGGCGCCTTCTCATCCTTCCTCAAACTTACCAACAACTCCCGAAACCTCTCCTTCCCACTTCCCCCCGCTCCCCCTACCGTTCCCTTCCCACTCAAATCCACTAACTTCGCAATCCGCTCCCAACTCGTCCCCCCCGCCGCCGTATCCTCCCGTCCCTCCAAGAACTCCTCCGCCTCCCGCCGCGTCTGCGCCAAGCCCTTCTCCTTCTTCGTGTTGTAGTTTTCGTAGAACTCGTCGATCGACACCTGCGCGTCGCGGACGGTCGTGGCTTTGCGGTCCGAGGAGATCGCGTCGCGTTTGGCGATTTGGGCGTCGCGGGTCTCGCGCCACGTGCGGATCACCTCGGGCTCGGGCTCGTCGGTGAAGGTGCTAGTGCTCACGGCGGGGGCGCCGGGGAGGAAGGGGGCGGTGGTGCCGGTGATTGTGCCGCCAGGGGCCATGTGCTGAGACGGGCGGTTAGTGACCTTCAGCGGACAACATAGGGCGGTATTGGGGGTAGCATACCTCGTTGGTGGTGTCAATGGCAGGAAAGCTGTTCTCGAAGCCAGACATGTCGTCCGCGACGACGCCGGTGGGAAAGGCGTGGTCGCCGCCGCCGAGGAGGTCGTCGTCGCCGGCGTCTTCGACGGTGGCGATGTTGTCGTTTGTAGATGCGAACTGATCGGCATCATCACCGAGGGCGGCGCGTTCGCGGTCCAGGAAGTTCGACGCTGACGAGTCCGCGGGAGCAACGCCGATCGGAGCTGGTCCTGCAGTCAGTATACGGGACAGGGTCGGTTGGGGAGTGTGACATACCGGAATCGAGGTCCTCTAGCGAGGGAAATCGGTCAGCCATGGTGGAATTTAATAGCGTTGGACCAGAAGCGGGAGGATGGGGTTCAAGAGGTTGATGACTAGTTTAGAGGAATCTGGAGGTTCGATTGTTACAACAGAATGATTGCACTGATGGCAGAGTGGTGTGAAGTGTCCAAGTGTTAGTTGAGTGTTGGTTTGATGCTTCTATGAGAGTTCCATAGCAATTGGAGATGCGGCTCCAGGAGTGACCAGAACAGCGCTAGTCGAAAGGGGCTTAGCCTCATGGCTCCGCTTAAAGTGTTTGACGGAAGCTCTAGTCCCTGGAACTTCATGTTGGATTTCATTTCACAGGATCAAAACATTCAGTCATTCATATCGCTTTGAAAGGCCATTGCACGTTGTTGAGCTCATCAGAGGGAAGCAGCAGACAGATCTGGGATTACCTAGAGAACGGAGGAAGTGGACAGCGTGATAAGGAGGACCGAATATCTCGTAGATCCCATCTTGTGATCCGTCTTCTCCAAGTGCGATCCGATGGCGTACACCGATGATGCCGTTAAGGCTAAGCTCTCCGCTCTAAATGAGACGCAGGAGGGCATCGTCACCGTCGCGCAGTGGATTATGTTCCATAGGTATGCCTATGTCGATATTCGCGACCCCATGTGGTGTCAAACTCGTAGAAGCAAATTACTAACATCGTGGTGACTTGCAGACGCCATGCCGACAGGACCGCCCAGTTGTGGTCCCAGAGGCTATCCGAGTCGACGTCGAGCAAGAGGTTGAATCTTATATACCTCGCAAACGGTACGGTTCTTCCCGGTGTTGGGACAACAGCTCGAGAACCAGTCAACTAACGAATGCTACAGAAGTTATCCAACAATCGAAGGCGCGCAAGAAAAACGAATTTGTCCTGGCGTTCGCTCCGGTAGGTTTGAGCATCTGACCTGTTATTCGACCCAGCTAACACGCTCTGACAGATCCTCGGCGATGCGGTCGCCAATGCCTACAAAAGTGCCACGAACGACATACGACAGAAGATCCGGCGCGTGATCGAGGTCTGGAGAAGCCGGGCGATATTCGACCCGCCCGTACAAGACGCGATCGAAGCGAAAGTGGACGACATCGACAAATCGCAAGGCCCGGCACGAAAACAAGGACTCGGCGGCTCGCTCCTTTCATCGTCCAGCGGTGGTGTGCCGCCAGAACTGCAGCCGTTGGTGACATTGCACAACGTCCTCACCAAGGCCGACTCTAGCGCCAAACCCGCCCTGACCAACTCTGAAGCCGAATTCGAAAAGCTGACGGATCCGTCCGCTCTGGTGCCAACACCTCCCGTCCACGCTGCACGGCTGAGTTCGCTACTGAAGACGCTCGCAACCGCCGAGGGCGCCGTCAGCGCGAGCATCAAGGCACGCAAGGCGCTCGTCGAAGGCCTGGAGAAGATCGTTGAGGCGAATAATGCCGCCCTTGCGAGCGAGGAGGTGCGGAAATTCGAACTCCAGGGCCGAAAGGAGCAGATCGAAGCAAAGAAGCGCGAGGTGGAAGACAGTATCATGCGGGGGTTGAACGCAGAGAATCCGACCGACCTTGACGCGCTGGCCCCGGGCGTCGACGAGCCGCGGAGACCGAAGTACGAATCCATCACGCCGCCACCGGTCGAATCTCTCACGCCAACGGGGACTCCGCCGCCGATGCCGTTTGGAGGATCCAACGGAACGGGAAATCACACGCAGCAGAACGATGCCGATTCTGCCCCTGACGTTCAGATCGCGCAACATCTGGGACAGACCCGACCTATCTCGGCCGTCACCGGCGATTTCGTACATGACGCGAGCGCCTCCGCTACGAAGAAGCGGAGAGTGGGGAGCGGAGACTGGAAAGAGGAAGAGGTCACGGCGTTCGCTGATGGAGGCGTCATGGATGGGCTAGATGATGATGTCGCGGAGATGTTGGGGAGAGATTAGGGAGACGCTGTTTCGCACTATTATACTTCCAGTCAATTCTTCTGTTTCCGGAAATTCGATGACTAGCGTCCCTGTCAGCCTTGCGAGTGTTTCTTGCCCCTAGCGTCTTGACATCAACGATTTTCCTCTGGCAGTTCCCGAGCATTGCCAGTATCTTCAAAAGCGAATCGATTCTGTTCTCACGGCAGCTGTACACATATTCTTCCTATCGACATGGATTTTATAGCCTCTCGTTCCTTTACATTCTACTGCCATTGGCAGGTGTTTTAGATTCGCGACTTCCCTTTCATGATCTCACTCGCCACTTCGGCGAAATCGCCCTTTCCTTGTTCTGGAACCGGGTGTCATATCGCGGTCAATATCTGATGAAGCAACAAGAACCTCTTCTCATCATGACTTTTACTACTCATGAAACAAAGACCTACCAGTAGTTTCTAGAGCATGATTCTGATCATCTCAACTCTCATATGCCTTGTAATCTACATACTTCAATGCTCGCTCGATCATCCAGCGACGCCGGCGCGCGACTCCGACGTGCGAAGTCCACTCCATCCACTCGCCGGAGCTTCCAGGACTCCCTAATACAGTCGAAGTATGAGGATCCCGAATCACGACAACAGCATGCACTCGCAGCCGCTACCCGGGCCTTCGAGCGAGCGCAGGTGACCGAACGAGACACGTATACGCCTCGAGCCGATGTGGGTAAGAAGCGGACCCCGCAAAGACTTACCTTGATGGAGCGGCAGCGGGAAATGCAAATGCGCCGGCAGACCGTCAAGAAGCACGATCGGAGGCCGCTCGAGTTGAAGTCGTGGCAGTCGGCGAATCCCTCTCTCGCAGCGTCGAATCGACGTGATCGTGATGGGTACACTTGCGATGGCGTTGGTGCGCGTTCGTCGCCCATTATCGCCAAGTCGTTGTCCCGGACACGGAGCTTACTGTCACGAATGAGTCGCGCGGATTTAGAGAGTGAATCTCGAGCGAGCAACGTCACTGCCGCACTACGGCGATCGAAGTCCCTTTCGAACGCGAAGGGATGCAGTGTCTATGGCAGTCAGACAGAGGACCATTCAAAAGTCACCGCACCTCGCGCCGATAACTCGCAAAACAATTCGACTGAAGCCGCCGTCGAAGGCGCTGTTGTTTCTGATGAGTTCGACGCTCATGAAGCAAATATCTCCCCAGAAAGCGAGGAATACTCCAATTTCATTGGCGCGAACGATGTCAGCCCCAGTGCCGAGAACCACACGGAATCTTGGTGGGCTGAGGAGACTCGACGGCGCCAACGTGTGGAGCAAACCCCTAACTCTTCTGGAGCCTATCAAGCGGCCGATATGCCGGATGCTTTGGAACAGCAGCAGTCCCAATGCACCCCAAGCAATATCACGTTCTCACCCGCCTCCCCAGCAACAGGTTTTGGTTCGGAAGCCGCATCGTCTTCCCTCTTTCATTCCAAGGGCAAACGACTGTCAATGACATCTACCTTGAAGTCGAAAATGAAACAGCTTTTTCGTAGAACTTCTCTGATGTCGATCGCGTCTTCTCCACCGACCCACCTACCTATCCAACAAGCTACAGCGTCACGCACATATTTCGGAGACTTCGTGCAGACCACTACATTCGGCGGCTCCCCTGTGTCTGGGCACGGAACGGGGTCGCTTTCTGACATCGTATCGCCCGCCGTCGATGCCGCCAGCCGTCGGACCTCAAGGCAACCGAGCGAGACTTCCTTTACATGGCAGACTGCTTGTCCGAGTTCCCCGTCAGTTCATCGGAAGCTTTCATCAACTTCGAGCGAGTTATCCAACACTGGAGAAAAATCGCGGGTGACTTCCTGGGCGGATTCGACTTATACTGCAATCCCCACTGACAACTTGGGTGGCCGCGATGCGCCATTCCACTCGGGCATGCATGGGCCACTGTCCGTGATCCCCGAATCTCATCCACCAAGCCAACCATCTCAGTTAGGACGAAGTCTTTACAACACGTTGATGTCATTGACAAAGCACAAGGAGGCCAAGCGCCAGAACCAACAGCAACCCCCTGCTCCGGAAACACATCCAGAGTGCGGCCAAGAAGGCTGCGCCTACGGCTCTCTCGGAATCGCGCATGAGCATGTCAGGAGGATCTCCTATGATGGAAAGGAGGAGGATGTGGTTCTACCCAGCCAGAAGTCTAGGAATTGCCAGTCACAGGATGCATCTTTGGCCTCAAGGTCGAGCCAAGTGACCATTCGCGCCGTCCCTCCTGAGCTTGCGATGAATTTCTCAACGGCATCTCTAGAAGGCCTGTATCCTAATGACGAGCAGGGTGACCTAGGATTAGGCTATGCCAAAGTTACCCCGGAGACAGATGTCAATGCGGACTCCAAACTGGATGACGCGCTTGGTGAGGAACTCTCGACTAGTCGTCAAGTTGGTGGAGCGCCTCAGCAAGCAGATCTTCCTACGACCAGCCTGATTGCATCCCGCGTTGAGAGGAACCGAAACAGATGGCAGGCTCCATTGGAAGAGGACCGCAGCTTCTTCTTTCCGCGAACCTCTCATGGAAATTTCCGCTCGAGCGTGGAATGCCAGCTTGACCGAATCATTGAAGCGAATCCACCGCCTTCCATGGCCGCGCAGGAAGTGTCCCTGGATTTGAGGAATACGGTGATGTCTCCAAGCGTCTACTCTCAAGACGGGAGGGACACTCCCTTGGGAGATGGGGATTCGGGAACTGCAGTAATCATGGAGAGTAGCCCAGTGAAGTCATTTGCTCTCAGCTCCAGGACATCACCGCATAGGCGGACTCCTACTGAAGGTAGCCGGGACTGGAAAGCATGGTTGTCCAAGGAAGTGGCCGACCTGGGCTCTAGCCCGAACGAAGGACTCTCGGTCGAAGAGTGGGAGCGATACTCCCTGCCACCACGCGGAGCAGGTCACCGTCGGGAGCATGCTGAAATTGTTGAAGAGGAGCCAACCATTCTTGACGACATCACTTCGGGGGCTGAGACGCCAACAGACACGACTCAAGATGAGAAGCAAGTCAGCAACTGGGAGTCCATCATTCGTGTCGAACGAATTCGGCCCCGGTTGCAGGAGCGATCTGCGAGCCGGACAAACGAAGGCTCTCCAATGTTCGAGGCCGGACGGAATAATGGTGAACGAAGCTCCAATTCTCCTCGGATTCCCTCTCGGAGCCAGACGCCGATGCTCACCGACCGCAGGACAGATACGAGGATCTTTTCCGGACGAGATAAGGAGAATGCACCTCCCAATCGGCACCTCGCGCTTCCTCAAGCTGTGCCCGGCGTCAGACGTCCAATGTCACTTCAGGCCCTTCGACCTCGGACTACGTCCAACGTATACGAGGAAGATGAGACACTAACACGGATCCGCGCGGGACCATACGCATCTGCATTGTCGCCCAAAGACGACAACGACTCACCGCACAGCGGACGCAATGGAGCGAACTCTCCGGCGCATACGCCGAGTTGGATGGAGCGGACTAAGACCCCGAGCCGTCTTGGAAAGGAAAATCAGCGGCGCGCGCCCATTTCGTCGCCTCCCCTCGCGGAATCATCCACCCCGTCGACTGGTGGGCAGCGACTCGCGGAGAGGTTTTTGAATGAGCGGCGGGATAAGACGGGGGAGTCGAAGTGGAAGAGCGAGAGCCCTATCTTTCTTTGATGTGTCTACTAGGGAGAAGAACGAGGATGCGCTTGGATGCGCTTGGATGCCCCGGTGTTCGGAATGCTTGATGACTGCCTCCGGGCATGAAAGGGCTTGCACCTGCGAAGGCGAATAGGCACCCATTGGATGCGACGAGGAGATATTGTTGAATCCAGGTGTATTATAAATCACTTTAGCGTAGTTACCCTATTCGATATTCATAGTTATGATTTTGGGTCTGAAGGAATTAAGTGTCGTGGCTGATTACCATAAGATATCGCACGTAATCCCATCCCTGCGGCTCATGGCATCTCATAATTTACCTGGAATCGAATTTATAATTGATGCACGACGGGATGTACGAGCTTAGTGCCCTTCCGATTTTCCATCAACGACACATGCGTGATTCGCTTTATCGTTGTCCCCTTTCTGCAAGAATTTCGGAATCGGTTCCGTCGGTGTCCCCACAACGGAAATCCACCCCCTATTTTGCGTGCGTTTCAGTGCACACCAGTCGGTATTGACATCGCAACTGTCAAACAGACGCACCGCCGAACTACGATCTGAACCCTTTCAATTCCCAAGCCACCTTGAATGGGCAAGCCGGTGACTTCTTCGGACCGCCCTGCTTCCATGGATCCTGAGTATGTGATCGGTATTACCCCGTCCGTACAAGTATTAACCAATCACTATGACGTCAATTTGTATATCAATGGCCCAGGCCAATATTTGGTTCCTCAACTCCATTACAAATGAACGGAAATGTCGGTCGGTGTAATGGTGTTTAGACCATTGATATGTAATCACCATTGTATAGAATTGGGGTTGCTAGACATGTACTAAGTAGACAAATGTCTGCACACACCCCCGAAAATCACCAAATCTAATCGCTATACACCGTATCTTGAGATACGCTGCAAAACACATACAAATGCAAATTCAGTCTACTTTTTTGATTTCTTAATTGGGAAATATCTAATATTTCGTATGCCACCCTTTTGCCTTGATTACCGCC